GGTACTTCCCTTACCCATGGAACGCCACAGGCCTTTCGCCTTGGGCAATGGTCTTGGATTGTTCAGGTGTTCTTGGTAATTTGACTTGTCGAATGAGAGTATGAAGTATGAGGACTGTGGAACGAGCTCCAGCATACCTGTCAAGCATTCAAACAAAACGTTGAAGACGAAAGCAACATCGTCAATGGTAGATTGACCTTGTTGAACTTTGCGATCCCAATCCACGCCCATCGGACACAACAAATGCTCAGTCGTAGCGGCATTTAGGAAAATAACACACGAGCCTGGCGTTCCTGCCTCCTACGTGTGGTAGTTTCGCCAGCTTCTATCTCTTACAGAGTAGATTAGACTTGAGGAAGATTAGGTGTGCAAGTATGTCCAGCGCGGCGCCGTGTTGTAACTTGATCGATATTTAGCCTTCGATGACTTGGGAATGGCAGAAAGTAGAACAGTAGCACGAGGATTTTGAAATAACGTTTTCATTGTCTAGAACGACATCTCAGCAGAAGTATCGCGGATGTCGTTGGTATTTCCCAGTCATCATGAATGACCATGATGCTGTTTTCCTGGGTCCTGCGAGATGAATACGGGATAAGTCATGTTGACCTGCTACCGGATGATCATCGAGAAACGAGATTATGTGTTAGAGAGGCGCGTAGTATTCGAATTTTGACCGAATCGTATTGAGAATGAAAGAGAATGATGTAAATTATCACGTTCCGGCTCAAGTTTTGACAGCCGCATGGAGTCGAATTACCTGTCCTCGAGAAACGCGAAACAATGTATCAAAAGTCATAGGGCCTGCCGAGGGCTTCAACGTTACTGAATCCTGGATTGCCACACATCTCAACTCAATTGCTTTGTGAATTCAGATACAACATCAAAGCCACTAAGCCGGTGGTCCCAATCAGCACACCTTGATACTGTAGATGGTATTCAATCATTGAATCGTGAAATCATCTCCCTTTAGCCCTCAAACATAGCTTAGGCCGAATGCTGATCGTATAGTAATGAGACGAGCCTGCCATGTAAACTCACTGTTATTGTTCACCACAGCCACGACGACTCTCTCTGCCCACGTACTTTAATTCAGTTTCAGTAACCAGTGAGCAAATCTCAAGAGACACAACCCAAGAGAGGGCTAACGGCCCCCAAATCCCCATAGGATAAGGACATTCTTCACCTCGGATCGCTTAGGATATATCACAAAGAAGGCTGATAAGTCTATTTGAGCTCCATGTTGATGAGTGTATTGACTACATGGGCGTCCGTTTCTCTATTACTTAAAAAGCGAATGCCACCCGATACCATGAATGCCTGCTATGAAATAGAGAAGAAAAGAGACCATTGAAAACGACTGCTTAATGATATGCGGATGATGCGTTTTCTCTTCGCAGAGAATGCAAGTCTAGTGTATGCTTTGCGAGTGTACTGGTCCCCGTGTTGGTGTCTTCATGCCGGGGGCGTGAAACGGGGACAAAAGAAAGGGAACGAAGGACATGATGAGAAGGTTGACGTAGTGAGAATCGTAGAAACTAGGGATGAAGGTCCGAGTTGAGCCAAGGAAAGAGTCGACAAGGCACTGAGGTATAAGCAGCCATCAAGACGACCGCTTAGCAGGATCCTTAGACCTCGGCGGCTGCGGTGCTGAAGACCCGCATTTGGCAGCCGGATCCTGAACGGGACACCCAGGCAGTTCAAAGGGTCCCGCGATAGTCTCCGAGTCTCCATTGACAGCCGAGGAGGATTCGGCGCCCTGCTTCTGACCGGAAGCAGCCGTCGCCGTCTTCTTTCCGCTCTTCTCCTTCCCAACGGGTGCAGTCACGAACAACAGCTTGGACGTATCGGTGTAGACCAAAGAATCTCCAAGCTAATTGTCGTGGCCGAAGTGTTCTCCCAATTTAGGGACTGTTCGGGGGTGTAGGCACGTTTGGCCAAGGGGTAGGTCCACGTGGACCGCCGCCGGGTGGTGTAGGAGGAGGATCGGGAAAAGTGATTGGGTAGATGCCCAAGCCTTCGTCTAGAGTGTGTGTTGGTACGTGGATCTCTTCAAAGTCTTCGTCTGAGATGTGTGTTGGTACATTGGTCTTGTCAAAGATGTTTGAGTATATTGTGGACAGCATTGTTGCAATGTGTGCCTCTCTAGACGAGTAATTTTATAGTGTAGCCTTGTTGGAGTTGTTCAGGATTTGGGGGCCAACTGTGATCAAGTTGGTGAATAAGTGGTATCAAAGACGGTGTGTTCAGTGAATGATGAAGTGACTGATTCAGTGATTTCTGGGAGTCTTGCTAGGAGTGGTTGAGGGTTGTGGTGATAGAGTTCTGCCATCTGAGACATTCAGACTCGATGCCAGCCGCCTCCTATATACGTCCTCACGAACCCTCCGTGAGGCTCTGCCTGTACACCAAGACATATACACAGACAAAGACCCTCCACAACGTTGAACATTGCCCAGCTAGTCCATGGAACATGTCTATACCTCCGACACCATGTCCCCAAAGACATGCAAACGGCAACTGACCTGGCGCTTAGCGCGAAGATTACTGCCTTGTGTGACACGACTACCAGAGCTCATCTGCCAAATATCGCGTGTGACAAGGGGTGGAAGGGGGTATTTCGAAAGGATACATCAACTTTGTACTCCCTTCCCGTAGGGATCTCAAGCCGCTTCTGGCAAGGCAAGTCGAAGCACATACAGCCTGTCGGTCAGGCTCCCAGGAACCGGGAACGACCAACCAGATTCGGCATAAGGCTCCCAAGAGAGTGGGTAGGAAGGGCGCCCCCGCGGGCAAGGAATAGGCAAACATGGCTGTGAAGGGGTGGATGGACATCCTACTCCAAGATGAGTGCGGCAGGGGTCGGGTAAAGTGTGTGGCAGTTAACAACGTGGAATGCCAACGGCGAACGCGGGATTATGCCTCGTTGAAAGCAGCTGTGTAACCAGTCAAGCCAGGCAACAAATCGTCAAACGGCCGGCCGATGGCATGAATGAGTCGGAGACCTGTTGTTCAACTAACTGTCAGTCGCCCGGTACAATGTCCAGCAGTACCAAAGAGTATTCCTGGACTTGCTGCCTGGGCGTCACTCGCCGACTGAGGGGGGGTGGTAAGAGTCCCGCCGAGGTGGTCCGTCATGTGAGCGACGACGACGTCCTCCGGTTTTTGATTCCGGGCTGCAGGCATGTCGGGCCCGGCCGAGCGGACAACTCAGAACACGTAAGTTGAGCAGAACAAAAGGCCTTGGGGCACACTGAGAGGCTAAGAAATGGCCCCCATCTCGGAGGCTTGGGGATAGCAAGACGATGAACGCGGGGCCACTCAGCCGGGTGTGGTGTGGCTCGCGCGGATTTTGTCCAATCTACATTCAGAGAATTTGATATTCCAAGATAGGGTGTGGAGGGTAGGCGAAATGAGACATGGCCACGCTGACACTGGGACAAATTGAGCACCCGGGGGGCAGACGAGAGGGCCAAGATGTCCAGGACGTAAGCAAATAGTTGACGCGAAGGACGCAGTGCGTACGTTTTTCCGGTCTAGTGCAGAGCCGACGGGGCGGATTTGGCCACACCCACATCCCACGTTGTTCCACGCTTTCCACCCAGCAGGCTGGAGCAGGGCGAGGGTGTAAGTCCATAGGGCTGAAGGATGCCGAGGCTTTGTCAACCGTTGAACGACGACGTTGTACAAACTCTATGGAGTGCTGGATCGTGGCCGAGAACGATCTCCTGCATTTACGGCGTTTCAGTCTCGATCAGCCTGGTGGATCATGAGACCCAGTGTTATAAGGCAGTCGACTAGGTCAAGATGCGTTCGTTAGACCTCTTTGGTCTGTTTAGCTCAGCTTAGCTTTCTCCTTAGTGGGCGATGTGGGGGATTTGACTGGGGTAGGAGACAGTCACCAAACTCACAACGAGGGAACTCCCCTCTGCGCCGCTCCTAATGCTTGGCTTGCTGCCACGCAAGTGTGGACTGCGGCATATCGAACATGCCGTAAGACGACTGAAAGCAAGTTTCTTGAGTCAGAAAGAGACTTCGCTAGTCGAAATCGCGGGTGAGCCACGGCGAGTAGGGGGTTACTGTCGGCCGCCCCGGCCTTAAACCCCCCTGCTGCAGAATTGTTGCAGCCCTTCGATGGGGTGATAGAGCAACAGTAGGTAATAGAGCAGGGCTACCCTAGAGCCGAGACATCAATATCTTGTACCTGGCTGCCGGTTCTGATGTTGCTGCCGCCGCCAACGGTGTTTCGTTTGGGTGAACCGGCCAGGTGGTCGTGAAGCATCAGGCTGGCGGTGGGTGCGGAGTTATTGGTGTGATGCCTGCGTGAACGAACGAGTTCTCAGGGGCCACTGCCCCTCATCCCAGTATCGGGGTCAGCTTGAACAGCCTACGATTGGCTCTGACAGCTACCATGACGACTTGCATGTTGCGTGGGTCTCTTCAGTGCCAAATGAGGGTGCGCGTTCAGATATGTTGTCAGCGTGCCCGAAACCAAGCCCATGGAGTTTGTGTAACCCGAAAGATGAAGAATCTCTGTCAACCGTCGTACACTTGTGGTGGCCCCAAGGTACTGTGCATATTCTTCCCAGATAGTCCACAAGGTGATATCCGAAATAATAGCATTCGGTGTAGTGCGGTCAGTTCCTCCACTTCGGCGTAAGCAACCGTACGGCTTGGTCAGAAAGAGTCGAAGTGGCAACACGCTGCCTATTGTCCCGATGTCGATTCGCTCTGCGGGAGTCAAAAATAACCATGTATGGAAGCTGACTCAACATCGAATCGCTGTGAAAGGCATCATGGACGTAGGCAACATCGGTTGATCTGCATCTCTGGAAATGCTAGTCGGGCGGAGACCAAGATAGGTGCGTTCTGTGAGGTTGTGTAAGCTCACATGATACCAAATCGAGCCCAAACCGCATCCACTTTCTCCGCCCGAGAGTACACTCAGTCGCAACCGCCGAAGCAGAACTCGGACAGGTTTAGCCCTTGCTTAGACTTGGTGACTCTTCGAGATGACCGGGAACTTTGTCGAAAGCGCAGGAACCTTTGAGAACCGTGATGTATCGCGGGAACGGCCGGCAAGACTCCACAGCATTGCACTCACCGGGTTGGCTCTATCGGCTAAAGGATTGCGGCAAAGGCGAAAAGCACCGAAATAGGACTGACCGATCTTCGCACTACGCCCTCCTATTCGCCATAATACCATCCAATCAGCCTGCTCAGACCAACCGAAATAAATAAATCGTGTTGCCAGTTTGCAACATACGAAGCTCCGGCGTAAGCCTATACGCAACGCTTGATCCACGCGCGAGGTTATCACTTGACAATTGCAGGCTTTTTTTGATTAGTGATCAGGTGTAGTACAGCTCTGCAAGCCGAAGATGTCAAAAAAAACACAGTAAATTCCGCGGGCAAGGGAGACTCATGGCATCGAGTCACCAGTCGAGATAGGGCGTGAAACATGTGTGAAGATCCAGCAATCTAAGCATTCGTCTACGCATTATTAGCTGAGAATACGTGCAGGCATGATCAGGTCTTACGGGTTGACTGAAATGCCCACGCCCGCCGCCCGCCTTAGGGTATCCCAGCCGACTTTTCCTCGTTCCTCATAACGCCTGAAAGAGAAATCACAAACCAAACCCATCTCGCCCAGCGGTGCTCCAAACTTGACTCATCTGTACCTACGGCCACCGCCGCCGCCGCCGCGACCGCCACGATCACGACTACGGCTCGGGGACCGGGATCGACGGCTATCGTAGCTATCGTAGCTGTCTCGACTCGGGCTCCTTCTTCGGCGGTTACGGTCGTTACCGCGTGCACCTCCTCCACGTCTCGGGGGTGGTGATGGAGACCGAGAGTATGATCGTGAACGGCTTCGGTATCTGCTTCCACCACCGGCTCTGGACGGGGGAGCAGCGACAGGAGATCGGCTTGGGGAACGCGAGAGCGATCGAGGCCGGTAGGTGTCTGATCTGGGGCCAAAGCGACCCTGAGGTGATGATGCACCCCGTCGGGGACCGTTCTGGCCAAAAGGACCGGGTCCGCCTCCTCCACCACCGTGGAATCCGCCCTGGGCTCTTCCCCCACGGCCGCCTCTGGCATCGGAGCCTCCGCCACGTCGAGCGGCAGGAGGTGCTGGGGACATTTTGCGCCGGGGAAGGACGATTGAAACGTTGATTACCGCGCCGTCAAGCTGTGCCTCATGCATGTGGGCAATGGCATCCTCAGCATCGGCCTCGGTATCGAATAGGATGTAAGCAGTGCCGCGGTTAGTGCCGTCTGGAGGAAAAGGAATGTCAGCCTCATGTAGCAGGGATTTATTTGGAGGCCGTTCAAGTCGACCTTGTGGGGACAGATACTGACGAGTTCTATTAATGGGCAGGTCAAGATCCTTGATGTGCCCGAATTGGCCAAAGATCTCCTCCAAATGGGCTTCATTGATATTCTTGGTCAATCGCTCGACAACAATCTAATTCAATGCAGAGTCAGCAGCCTGGAAAATAACAGCGCGAGTGATTAATAGGGCAAGAGAATAAGTTCACCTTGGTGCTTCTGATGGCAGGACTAGCGCTTCTTCCACGGCTCCGGCTGTGGCTTTCGCTTCTCTGTCTGCCATTTCGTCGCGGCGTGGGAGATCTAGAACGCGACGGAGATCGCGAATCATACGTATGACGACGGACTGGGGAGCGAGACCGGTCTGACAGCGGTGTCAATGACCGAGAATGGTCGCGGTAGCGGTCGCGAGAGAGCGATCTCGTTCGGGACGCCATGGTTGCTTGGTTTGGGACAAAATCTTGGTTGACAGGTTGACGAAATTGACCAAGGCGTCGCAAACCGCGACCCTCTTTCCTGCCGTGCCAGGACTGACGTGTGATCACGTGATATCGATGGATCCACACCGAGCTGGCAAGTACCTACACAGTACGCGTCTCGGTGGGGTTCGGTCAACGGGCAACTGCGGTTCGTTCATTTTACTTGCACAGGCATCTAGATGCGGAAGATGGAGGTAAAACAACATTAGTTCAACGTACTCCGTTTGAAATTATGCTGTCGACGTGGCTCTAGATCAGCCGAACCGCAGTATGCCTACGCCTTGCCTTACTCTTCAACATTTCAGGTTTCATTCTCTGATTTGGTTCTTTTTGTAGCCTCCTCGAGTTAGTGATCAGTGTCTTCCAGTATGATTCTTACGTGGTATTGAGCGCCCGAAACGAGGACGAGACTTATGGAAGTGAGTTGCTTGTATGGAATTCAACCAGTATCGAACATCAAATACAGGGAATAGTATACAGGCAGATAATCAGGACGAAGTTCCATGACAATGTACAGATTCCTATTATTACTATGTACACTCGCTGTAACATTGCTAAACGTCGATGACGAAAACAAATCCCGTCAAAAAACCTGATATCTCAGACTCAGAGTACGCAGGAGTCCACTGCCTCCCAATCCGCTTGTGCTGTAATAATACATGGCAAAGGGCCAATTCATGTTTTGCTTTTGCCCCGAGCCACGTCGTGTCTTGAGGGTACCTGAACGCCTCAACCATTTCTGTTGAAAATCAACGGCACCATTATATTGCCTACTACCTTGTGCCCTCCGCCAGAACAAAAGAAATCACCAGGGAGCCTATGCGGCCCACTCTACGACCTCCAAAGCGCACATGACGAGCACCAAGGTTGATGGAAGAATCCTACGACACTTGTTAGTATATACAGAGGAAGAAATCCGGACACATTTGGCTACATACCAGATAACGTAGCTCTGGAAGAGGATTCTCGACATGACACTTTCGTAAACCTCGTTGATTTGACAAATCTGAGCCAGTTGGAGAGCACTCGGGGCGCCGGTCAACAAGAAGCAGACGATGACAAAGATGGGGTCATCCAGAATGCTGACTGGCACATACTTGGCGAAGACGGCCAGAATAGGAGTCATGATCAAAGTCGGCAGGAGCATGCGGCACACCAAGGATGCGACAAGGAGCTTGGTTCCGATCTGGTCCTCCTCAGGATCCCGCATCTTCTCGCTCTTTTGCGTGTTGCGAGCGAGGTTGGCACCAAGAACAACCAGGATCAAGGGCACAGCGACGCCACCACTGGACTGAACAGCATCCGTGAAACTGTTCTTGATGAAGGATCCCTCTTCGAAAAAGATCTTCTGCAGAGCCGGGACAGAGGCAACAACAACGGCGCTGAGCATGGCCCACAGAGGCGGGTTCATGAACTCCCACAAAAAGTTGTAAAACTTGCCGGCGAAGCGGCTTAGGGCCGAGAGAATCGTCTTGAAGGGGATCGGCAAACTGTTGTAGACTCTCGCAAAGAAGTTTGATGTCGATTGCTTAGCAGAGGTGACGGCGTTATTGAAGGCGTTCTTAATGCGGCTAGGGTAGCCTTTGACTCCCTCGGGGATTTCGGGTTCATCCGTATTACGAATGCGGGGAAAGGACGATATCTCATCGCCACTTCCGTCGAAAACGGGGTGGTTACCATTGAGGGGTGCGAGACCGTTGGTCTTCATCGGCTTCTTGGGAAGGTAGTCGTCGTCCTCGTCTTCGGTATCGGCGGGGGAGGCTCTGGATCTGCTAGCAACAGGGGTGCGACCAGCCGGCTCATAGTTGGACAGGTCATCACTCGAGTGACTACGAGAAGTAGCGGTGCCGTCATCGTACTCATTCAATAGGGGAGCGGTCTCGCGATCTCCCGGGTATTGTCCCTCCTCAACGCGCTCGTCCTGGTACTCGGGATACTTGTCCTTGGGAGCAAGCAGCACGTGGTAGCCCCAGCTCCAGCGCACCAACTGACCGAGCTGCTGGAAGATCAAGAGGTATAGAATACCACGGGCACCGACCTCGTCATCGTTATCCCCGGGAATCTTGTCCCAATGCAGCCCCTTGATAGTTTGCGACAGGGACAAGATCATGGAGATGGGCAGGGAGTTTGAGTTTCCAAAGACTCCCATGGCCGTGACAAAGTTAGTAGCGCGGCGGTTGAAGCCAAAGCCGCGGGCGACGCCGGTAGCGACGAGCCAGGAGACAAGAGTCTGGATGATGAAGATGATGGGGATTACAGCGAGATCGAGGAGCTTGTCGGCATTGAGTTGCGAAGCCAACTTGGTAAAGACTTGTGAACACTGTCAGTAAGGCTACTTGGACGCTATCGTGCAGACGAGGTGGAACTATAGACATACTAAGACATGGCGTGAACAGCATGACATTGAGGTTGGCCAAGAACTTTTGCTTTTCAGCATCAAAGTGGCCAAGACGGGCAATGATGTAGCCCGGCAAGCTCACGCACACGACTTCGAGGACAGCCTCGAAGACGAGAAGAACCAAATTGCCCATGGAGGGGTGTGAATCGTGAGGCTTCTTCATAGCCATGAGGGGCATTTCGTATACGTTTTGAGCCATATCTGCCAGTCGAAACGACGTCGGCGACGTCAAGTATTGTTGGTCCATTCTGGGCCGTGGATATTAAAAGAGAGCGCAAAGACGGAGACTGCGGATGTCGAGGTTGAAGGAAGGTTACGGCGGAGATGGAAAGGGCTTCAGGACGGAGGTCCTGAGCGGCCAAAGCTGATGGAACGTTCTTGAGAGGCTTGGCGCGGCGCGTTGACCTTGTAATCGGGCCCAAGCAGCACGATGTGAATGTTTCGGATAGTCGGCGATGGGACGGATCGCAACTGAAAGAGTTAAGGTACGGTGTTGAAGTCGGCGATCGGGTTTTTCGTTGGATGTCGGAATTATCGGTGGTATGTGTCGGGCCTCCACAGTAGAGTTCGGCCTTTTCCAGAAGATTGCGACCAAGCTCTCATTCTCTGGCAGCAAGAGACATGAGGAAGTGCGAAGGTAGGTAGTATTAGTGTGTTGGTGTCGCTGTTCGTCGTTTGGTAGAGAATCGTTGAGGAAAGGAAGCACGTGCAGTAATCAAGTTGATGGACAAGGTGTGGGAGGGGGAAAAGATGGAAGAAGGGAAAGGCAGAATAAAGGTAAAGGTGATTGTTGAAGGACCGGGAGTTCTCAGCCACAGAAGGGAAGGCACGATGATATGAGGTTGGTCCGAGTGGGTAGATTGATAAAGGAAAGAAAAAAGCAGGTACGTAGTCGAGGCGAGCTAATCACGGCGCAAAAAATGGCGATGGCGGCGTACCAACTGGGCTGGGCTGGGCTGCCCAGGCTGAGGTCTCCAGGGATGAGGGCGGCTCGCAGTGTGCCACTTCAGCGCGACAGCTCACTGTTTGGGAACAGCCCCAGATTCCGTCACCTCCGTTTTTGCCGTTTCTGCCTGCTACGGATACTTTTACTGCCTGTTCTTGCCAGCTTTTCGCAGTAAGGTACCTTAAGGTAAAGTCCAGACTCCCAGACCACCTCAGACTGGACCGTATCAGTTACGCAGATGGTGCAGCGGCGCAACCTTGACACCTTCCCCCCAGTGGGGATGCGCAACACACTCAGCGACAAGCCGCAACCTGGCACCCTGGCAGCCACCCACCCACTGCGTAGTGGAAGGCACTAAGGTAACGGACACCTCCCGCTAAGAAACACTTGGCGCCCAATCAGGAGCGCGAATGAGCCCACGATGACGCCGGGCTCCCAGCTCCAGCAGCAACAGCAGCAGGAGCATGTCTCCGTTCTGTGCCTCTGAGCAACTCATGCCGAAACTGAGCTGCCACCACCCTGTTGCTTCTTGCTGCGTCTTGCAACCCGCAAAACTCTGCATGCAAGGCACCCCGGCTATTCTTGCTCCGTTCTACCAGTACGCTTAGGTTGTAGGTTCCCATCCGTGCCATCTTCCTCCCCTCCCTTCCATCTGTGCACTGCCATTGTTCATCAAGTTAACTTCTTCCATTTCTTACAGACCATGCGAGCCCACAAGAGATATTCGAGGGAGGCAGCCGCTGCGTTGTACATACAAGTATGTCCTGGTGGCAAAAACAACACCAAACGGGTCCAACAGGAAGCACATCATCAATATGCACCCAGAAGCAAGCGCCTCACAGAACAACCAACTGACCTGACCGACTGGCTCTTGGCACAACAGGCGCAGCGTATTACACGGCGCCTTGGCAATGGCGTCGAATCGAAATCGAAATTGCCCTGACGTCGCCAGCTCCCGTTGACATGACGGACCCGACGTGGCCCCTCGCCTTTGGCCTTCTTCCTTACCGATAGCTGCTGCGACACCTCCGACTGCGACGCAATCCGCCATTTAATCCATCCATTCACCACCGTTTCTCTCTCTCGTCCCTTGCTTAGCTCTAGGAGTCAATCCCCTGCCGTTGGCCGTTTCCGGTTTTCCGCCCCCCATCTTTCTTGATTCATCCGTTGTCTGATAATGTTGCACATCGGCACACGACCTTGCATCGCCAGACGTTCACGACTTTTACGGCAGTACACCCACCAGGCACGGATACCTACCAAGAAATTGTTCGAATGGTACTCCATGAGTCCGTACTCCATACAGAGTATACGGAGTACCTACACTACCTTAGAGAGTATCCATTCGGGATGGGATGCCACACCTGACGATCCTTCTCCGAGAGACACCCGCACCCGCATCCACAGACACATCAGATCGTCTCCCGCGTTCCGCAGGTACGCATGCTGTACGTCAGGTTGCAGCGGTTGAGAAGCACACGTTCGTTTCGGGAACTTCACCTCTGTTAGCCTCCCATTTAGCACACGGCGGAACCCATTTCTTGCTTCCCAACACACAACTATCTTGCCTTTCTCTTTTCCCCAAGATTTGGGGTGCAAAAAGAATACCACATCAGCCACATTGCTGCCCAGACACCATCACCGAGCGCTTGCTTGCTTCGCCATCTCATCTCTACGCTGATAGTTCCCGCACCCTGGGCTGTGCGGTCAAGATTTGGTCCCGATACCGCCGCAAGCTGCCTCGGAGCCCAACTACTCAAGGGTCTTGCCGGCAACTTAAGCTTCGTGGCCGCGGTCCGCAGCGACTTCAGGGAGGGAACACTCGGCTGCGTTTGCCCTCCTACTTAGCTATTTTGCATGCACATCCGAAGTGAGGCTGTTGCATTCCCCATCACCCCGCCGTTTCTCCTCAACTTTGCCCATGATGGAAACGGTAGCTTTGAGCTTTACCAAACGTACGCACAGATGTTCCATCAAGGTAGATGCTTTCTCCTTCTCGACTACAGCTACCATATTCAGGTCACTGCTCTCAGTCCGTTGTCTGGTCGTGTCAGATGTATGACGAGAAAAGATATCTCGAGCCGGAAGATCAGGCTTCCACCGCGCCAAGTCGGGTTCAATACAAACAGAGAACATGAGGCTATGCAGAAACGACTTGGCTGCTACACTTTGGATGATTTTGTTATCAGATCGCCAAGACATACTCCACATTGCCCGTTGCTTCCAACCATGCGCGGTATCTCGTTGGTATTGCAGCCAGGCGAAACGTTTAATGCTACATACAGTCTTCCCGATTCTTCTGTGATGGTCCTTTGAGTATCGAACATGCGTCTTGGCAGGTTCTGCGATCTCCCGTCTTCGAAGCCCTGTACTTGCAGGTACTTAGGAAGGCAATCACTTGGTAGATAAATGTGCTGATGCTTTCACGTAGTTTCTTTCTCTTTTTTCAGTTGTTGAGCTGCTCTAGGGCCCGTCTCAGCATCCTTTGAAGTAGGCAGACGAGTGTTTGCAGAAATAAAATAGCTATTTCTCGGGCTTTCACTCATAACTTTCGTTCCTTGTGAGCGAGACGAGCAGCTTCAGGTTAACTGGTGACGTTCACAGCCATTGTCCAAAATCATTGAGTACAATCGGATAACACCTATACATAATGCCGTGGGACTGGCTCTTCTGAACGATGAAGAGACCGCTGGTTGCAGGCTGTTTGCTTTTGTTCTCCCGATCCAGTATGTCTCTCTTCGCGCCGAGGGTTTACTGCAGATGTCGTAGTTCATACAAAACCCTTACAACGGGCCCAAGAAGACGTCCTGAGGCCCACGATAATGCGGTTGACCGGGCAGCCTTGAGAGTGTCCTCACCTTCTCGTTTCGTCGAGGACCATCGAAGAAACAAAACCTCTTCTCAAAATCCTTCAAGTTGCTATACAAAATCAATCAAGACACCTGCTATACACCACACCACAACGCAACTCACAGCAAGCCCAACATGAAGAGCAACGAGACTGTCGATCAGAAGAAGAAGCAGAAAGAGGAGAAGACTCTACAGATGGCCGATACGAAGAACGAGGACAGCAAGCTTGCTGGCCCTGCGGGCAAAGTTGCCCGCGCTTCCACCGCACAGCACCAGCAGCACGAGAAGCCTCGTCGCGTCGTCAAGCCTCGTCCTCAGCACGCGAGCTCCCTCGAGACCGCGGACGATGACGAGTATGACGACTGCTGGGACCCTTACTATGAGGATCCGCCGGCCAAGGATGACAAAGTTGTCGAGGAGGACTTTGTCCTTTTGAAGAAGCCTGGCCCGTCTCGTTAAGACTCTCATTGTGGATGGAAGGGAAATAAGGAAGGAAGGAAGGCAAGGAAAGATCGGCTACGAGCCAGATTGAGCTGCGGCAAGAGCTTCACCATTCCCATACGGAGGTCAGTACTGCCCACTTGGCATCGTCGCGGCTTCGATATACTAATTTGAATATCTAGGTGATGAGAACCCTTTCGAGATTACGATGACTTCCTTCCCTTACATACATCTTCATGAAAACGAGGGCTAGTGGCCAATTTCCATCAATCAGCGGCTCTTTCTTCTGTGTGATTTCTTTCCGTTCCTAAGACCAGCTCTGGATCTCCAGCTCTGGATCCCTGCTTCGGATCGTTTGCCCCTTTACGCAGGTGAACGTAAAGAATATTGACGTTGAATAGGCAGTATGAGGCAGCCTTTCCGAAATTTCTGGCTGCAGGTAAGTCTGATAACGTTCCTACTCATTATCGTGATCATGCGAGATCACTTCACCAGCCCGGTGGCAGCGGTCCGGCCAGTAATCTACGACTCGATGCCGGCAGTTGAGAAGGTAGACGGGGAAGCTCTTCGTAATCAGTATCGTAGACTGTATTTGGCTGATTTGTTGGAATCATTGACAACGCGGTAGATGGTCGATACCAATCTCCGAATGACGCAACAAAAACAATCATCTAATTTTCCTCTTCTCAGTCCAAGATCGTACTCAATTGCTCCTCGTAAGGTAAATTTGAGGTGAATCGCCGTTCCTTCCTTCTGCAGCGCTAGCCACGTGGGTACATCAGGCTGACCGCTTGCCCGAGATGCCTCATGTTCATATTCAGCTTCTCCTTCCGTTGGTGAGCGTAGCCTATCCAGGATCTTGCATTCGAGGCTTTCAGATGTATGTCGATATAACCAGAGGCCGAAGGTATATCGAGACCAACAGAGCGCGAGATATATGACGTGGGTGCGAATAGATCAGTGATGGGAATCTTCCATGTCGAATGCCATGACTATTCCAAGTGTTCAGCACCTCAATGATTAGCCCATCTACGCAAAACGTGATTATTATCACCCAGTTAGTTCCACATCACGAAAGATGGCTCACAGATTGCAAGTGTGCTCAGTCTGGAGATCTATGCACCGGGCACATCGAGATGAGGGAAATAACATCGATTGACCTAGTTGGCCCAGTTTGCTATGAACGCCATCTGCAGTCTTCAAAATTATATCATCTATTTCACGATGCTTCAATACTCCCGGTTGATTCTACAGACGGCAGCGGACCTATCGTCCAGGCTTCAATGCCGTCAGCACTGAGATCTCCCCCATAAAAAGAAGAAGAAGAAAAAATCGTAATACCATGCTTGTGGTTGACGTTTCGATGTCTCTTCATGTGCTAGCTTGCGACCTTGACGTAATAGACATGTTATTCGGAGGATGAACAAGATATACGTCTACAACTTGCATTACATCAATCGCCAGATTTTCGGCTACGTACCTCAAAAGATTTGATGAACAAGTGATATGCACAAAAATTAGATGCATGATATCAATCAGCATCCCATCATGCGCCGAAGATGCTCAACATTACGGTCTTGTTCGACATCGAGATTATCGGAAGCTGTCAGCAGAGCACATGAGCTTACACACACTTGCATTAAAGGAGGTGATCGACAAGCGGCGTGGGGGAAAGAAGAGTCACACTGGGCAAGACTGGACAAGACATCAAAGTGAAACAGATGACAGATGTGGAGAATCGAGGATGATCTCTGCGGTGCTTGTGGTTGCTTTGTGGCACGACGGATGAGCAGAGTGCAGGTGGCGAAACCATGTGGCTGATGACGACAGCGGGTTCATCCTTTTCGCTCTGCTTCTCCCCGGTCCAGATATCGACAAAGTCGACAACTTCAACAAGACGATTACAAATGTTCGTCGACTGGGGCAAGAGACGCGGAATTGATAGGAGATACGGTCGGCAATTGCAACACCTCGGAGGCCGCTTGCCATTGAGTTTACGCTTCTCCTTGACACTGCAGGGCCTTCCCTGGCGAGCTGAACTACACTACAATTTACCATGGGATACTCTGTTTTGACAGCGTTTGCCACTTTCGACGGCCATCGGCGAGAGCTCCGGTCGACTGCGCGACAGGATTGGTCCGGTTTGCGCGGCGTCCAGCCTTAGCTCTTCTGGCTGTGTCCCCTCAAGAGGCAGATCTTTTTGGAGGGTAACATTTTCTCTTGGGCATCAGGGCATCAAAACACTATGTAAAAAGTTAGAGGACCCTTGAATCATTTTCGACTGCGTGGACCGTTAGACTTTGAAACTGCATATTTCCCCCGGGGGGCTGTGAGGCGATGATCGAGGGTAGGCCGTAGCGAGTGGCGGCTGTGGATGAGATCAGAAAACGTGCCCAGAGTCTGGATTCTGCTTTCGTTCACCGTATTCTAGATTCCGTATTCCAGATCTCGCAGATCAGGTCATGGGATTTTGCTCGCTGGTATCTTGTGTTTCCGCGATCACGCCCGCCCAAGCCGTGGTGGTTTCGAGATGCTCAGACGCTCCGACCGACGACGCCTTACTTGACAATCAAGGTACCTAGGTACCTTGGCTGTTAGTTTGCACAACGAAGACGTCAGCGAATCGCATAGACGCGGGCGAGGTTCCGGTCGAACTGCGATTGGACGAAATGCAGAGAACAATTTCGTACCTCGATGATGTCAGGCGGAGGTAATTGTCCGCTGATGCTGATAAGATAAGGCATCACAGTACCTTACCTAGTGAGGTACTCAACAAGCTGCCCTGTTCCATAGGTCCTTTGGGGAAAGCAAATGTACGTACCGTGCCCATGTTCTGGACGCCGGGAGAAAACGTCATCAGTCGATGGGAAATCGTCCTTGTGGCATGCCGTTTCTTCCATGAATTCCCAATACCCAGTGCATAACAATGATGCAAAGCCCATCTCGACCTTCTCTTGCTTTGGGGAAACCATCTGATGGTATCGTCTATAACCGTAACCTTTTCGAGGTTAGCAGCCTGCAAACCATGCCTACTGTGACCTGCTCATCCCGGATCCGCGATGGGAAGACGTGCTCCAACGACGAAGAGTTGCGGTGGGGGTCGAACCTCGCCAGGAGACGTTGTACGGGCTAAGTAGCCAGTAGCGCGAGTGTAGTGAGCCTCCCACAGGAAATTACGCTCGTCCGTTCAAAACTTCAAGCCACAAGTTTTCCTCAGTCTGTCGTTGGCGTTGCTCTTTGCGACTCGTGGAACTCCCTCTTACTCCATCAACGTCATCACTCCTCAGTGACGACCCCATAGCAAATTGACGAATTGCGAGACGCCGGAAGAGGGGGCCAGGATCAGTGACCGGGGTATGGATGACACTGGCGCTGAGGGGCCGTCACTATCAAACTTGTCAAAGGCAAGCATTCTCCAACAGAGACCTACCAAGCAGAGAACAGAGCCAACCTTCGTCCTGCTCTTTCGAAGGGCTTCTATCAAGTCGGCTCGATCATTGGTTGACGAGGTCGAGGATGCCATGCGCAAATTCAGATGGTCGCTGCTTCGGCACGGTACTTTGCGGTCTAAGAGACTAGCGTCAACGGGGGAATATGCAGCTTTCATCTTAAACTGCCCGTCGTCGTCCCTCCTGGCGGGTGCTTCGACCGCATGACAGTGCCGCCTTCGCCAATCGTTTGCTTTGCCTTCAACAGGCAAGCCCTCCGCCGGGCGCCAGAAGTCATGTCCGATGCGTCCCTATGTAATGTGCTGTGTTTGTGGGGGCCGCATCGTGAGAGGTGTCGAGGGAAAAAAGAATGCAGCTGTTGTTGCGGTGTAAGACAGAAACGGTCTAGTCGTCCGTTGCTTGTGTCTGGGTTTTGTCTGCTTGGTGGCTACTATCGCTTTGGTTGAGGTAGGGGTCTGTAGACCGGCTCGGTTCCGAGCTGCGAGTTACATCACTCTGGCCGTTGCATGTGCTATTTTCAGAAACATCGCGACGAAGTTAGCAGGTTTCCGCAAGGTGAGATGAGCGTTGTGATTCTCACTCTTGATGTACAGAAGCTAGCTCAGTCATTCCCGTCACTGGAGCGAGTATCCTTAGCAGATGGAGCATAATGCATGGAGCACATATGCAGGCGCGTCCACCGTCGAGAGGTGATGTGCGGAAAAACCTTGCTGATGGTCCCCTGCAATGATCACTAAAGAGCCACAGAGCCTGCTTGAGGGGGTTCGAATGACTCCATGCTCCTGGTCCCCTTGCGACAGCCGAGTCACACAAGTATCTCTGGGTGGCTGCTGGTTGCTGCCGTAGACGCAGGGCATCTCATCGTTTGGTGCAGTGTGAGGGAGGTAGTCGAACTGTCGCAATGGTGAGAACTGACTGACGATGCGTGGGTAGCTCTTGGGAAACGATTGGAGTGGACCGCTGTCACCGGATGCACGATGTCCTGGAAGAAGCCGGGAGGAAGTTGGTTAGACTGGGCGGTGATGCAGGTGGCGGTGCTCTCCAAGAGACAGACGCTGCATATGCGGATGTGCATATCGTTCAGGGCTCAGGGAGTCAGGGCAGGGCGGATGGAAGGACGCTTTCCCTTCATGCTTGGGACTCGGGAGAGTACTGCGAGGCCTACCCAGGTTGAGAGAGAACTTGTTGTTGCGCTACTGTTGCGCTGCTATTGCACACCGGGAAGGCTTGATATGTGGTTTTTGTTTCTTTTTGCGACGCATCTGCCCAAGCTGCCTTCCCTGACCTTGCCTGATGTCTGTAGCTGTAAAGCCAAGGCAGGGATCTTCTCCCTTTAGACCCTCAGATTATTGAGTGTTATTGACTGACCAACATTGAAGTCTGGACTGCCGGACAGCCGTCAGGTCCCACCGAAGAAGAACAGCATGGAACCGGAACGGTGCTAAGGTACCTGACCTGATTGTGGATGACACGACGAGCCTCTCCTGCCTCTTTTTTGGTAAGTTTCGTTTCTCGTACCAATGTACCTTGTTGAGTGGGCAATTGGAAGGCAAAGGCAGGAAGCAGACGTTCCGGCACATTGGGGGTGTACCTACCTACCTGCTTTGCTAGGTATCATTAACTGGACGCGGCTGAGATACCTACCAAAAGTACGGGAATTGAGTGTCTCTGGGCATACGTACCGTCAATAATGCCCGGTGTGAGATTGCTTTTGATGTAAGGTATCTTTACGGAGTAGGTAAAGTAGGGAGTATGGGCCGCGTTTTACGGAGACTGCATCCTGGATCTTCCATCTTGGTACCGTAATTAACAGAATAGCAGTCAACGTCAAGGTCAATCTCAACAGCCACAACCTGGACGTTGGCGCCCAAAGTGCCCCTTGTGCCTTTTTTTTGATCCCGTTCATCTTGACACATCCCACATATCTTTCGACTATTTCTGCCCTGCTGCAGCGTGCAACTCTATCTATCAGGGACTACCTAATAGATTTGTAGATTCTATATATGCTCTACTAGTTCGCCCCCCTCTTCCCATCTGAACTCGTCCATCACTTGGCCTCTCTCCGTGCACGCAGACGGATGCCCTACATACAAACACGCGCAGAGCAACATAGGCATTCGACCTCTGGCACTCAACACCCTCTACGGTTCAGTCTTTAGATTTTCACCAGAGATTGGTTGATTGGTGAGCCTCAAGTTTCCTCAACTCCCCGATCCCGTCCAGTTCCAGTTCACTCTCTCCCATCAAGCGGTGCATTTAAGCCCTTTTGTTTCTCTTCTCCTCCTTCCGCAATTCTGCTCGATTGCTCAGAGGCAGGCACCGGGGCAGAAGTAGAGGCAGACGTTGACCTTGCTGGATGAGTACAAGCGTATGGTGCATCCACAGTGGACGGAAGGTACAGGTACAAGAAAGATGGAGCAAATACCTTGTTGTCTGCTCCATCGTCTGCCCAGTTATCCAGTCCTGGCAAGCACGTCCATGTACCTTACCTCAATTCCGTAATCCCCCGCCTGGAATTTCTCACGAGCCACCCACCTCACTGCTGAGATGCTCTCTTCAGCTCGTGGAGGAGTGACTAAGGTTACTGCGTATACTGTGTAGGTCGTCACGGATGGTCCCATGTACCCCTACTCGACGACAGATGGCCAAAGTACTTCCGGGCTGCGCTGCATCTGTGACGTTTGCACCAAAATTGCGTTGCGACTTCGAACCCATTTTCCCTCGTCTAATTCATGCCCCGCCGCCAACCTCTTTTTGGGTTCTTGAATAGAGCAAAAGCGACAGACAAGGTCCAACGAGGACATCATATGTCGGCCTCTCTATCCGTACCTCGCTTTGCCTTCTCTACCTTTCTTCTCGATACCTATCCATTCTCCTCACTCTATCATACCTCAGCCTCCCTCATCTCTCTCTCCCCTTAAACGCCGCATCCACCCTCGCATATTCACTTCTTTTCTCATCACCCTCACTCCGTCACTCACTAACTCACTCTCCTCTCGCCCCACCACTCCCCATACACTCCTCTCTCTCTTTCACCATCCGTCTCTCCTCTCCCTATTTCTCTGCTCAGCATTGGACATTGGACTCACAAGCCAGTAAGCCATCAGACGACCGCTACAGCTCAACAAAATCGGACTGGCCGGCCTAGCCCGCTCGCGCATTCTCTGCCATTTTCCGACTTAGAGTTTGCCCTTGCCACCGCCCCGGTCGCAACCCCGACCCCGACTGCGCAGCAGGCCACACTACCAAAACCGCCGCGTCTAGACCCCGCGGCAGCATTTCGCTACAACCCTCGAGTTTTCGATCCTCTGCCACCGCTTACCTCTGAGCGATCGACCCTCCTGTCTCCCTAGCACCCCGCGTGCGACCGGACTTGACGATATTTCGATATCTATCGCGTGCCCGACTTTTGTCCTCCCGCACCCTACCGTCCCGGTCCATCACCTGCCGCACATGCTATAGGGTTATCCGAGACATTGCCTGCAGTCGACTCATTCGCCCACCCATTCCCATCGACCATCGATAGCATCAGGTCACCGCCAAGGTCAATTCATACCTCGCAATGACGGACCTAAATACTCCAGACTCCATGCCTGCCACCCCCGATGGCTACGTTGGCGACAGAGACGGACTCGGCAGCCCTACGTCGCCCGGTTCCGCCGACTCTTCCGAGGCCAGCACCCCACTCGAAGGCCCCTCGGAATCCCCTTCAGAAGTACCCAAACGTCTCCCGTCGCTTCGCACCGTCTCCGATCCCCAAAATATGACTCCGTCTTCGACACCATTGGGCATGCTGAGCAACGCACGCCGTCCGCCGCCTACCGCTTCTATGATGAGTATGGGTGGTGGTGCCATGAACGAAGTCATGGCAAGGGCAAGGGCGCTTCACGCTCAGCGCATGGGCAAGCCTGCTGGCTCACAACCTCCTCCCAATAACATGGCAAGCTCGCCGCAATCTCCAGTCCCACGACAAGGCTCTCCCGGAGGGTTACCTGGCGGAATACCTGGAGGGCTGAAGCTGCCTGCTGGTATGGTTCGCCCATCCCCTGGTGGTATGCCACGCTCTGCCCCGGTTATCCCAACGAAACCATCTCTTGCAGCCAGGCGTGGACCCATGATGAAACTTTCCGACATGGGCGGTGGTCCTTCGCCTGCCTCTCCGACCGCGCCGAAGTTGTCTGATATCCACGGTCCTTCCAATAACGGGAGCGGTGCACCCAACGGAACGACTGGGTCTAAGATGGACGAGTTCAAGAAATACATTGATTCGGAGAAGGGGTGGATTACGTTCGACGGTGCTGCGACTATCACCAAGAATGGTGTTAACTTTGCCAATGGCACAGCTTTCACCATTTCGCTAGACGAAGTGGAGGTCTTGGACGAGCTTGGCAAGGGTAACTATGGTACCGTCTACAAAGTGAGGCATACAAAGCCTAGAGTCCCGAGGTTTGGATCTGGACTGGGCGGTTTCAAGAACCCGAACTTGAACTCGTCACAGTCGGACCCATCACCCATCCGCCATGCCGACACATCAATCGAATCATCACCAGTCTCAGCATCCACCGAAGGTACCGGCAGGGTGATGGCGATGAAGGAGATTCGGTTAGAACTGGAAGAGGCCAAGTTCACGACCATTCTCAAGGAGCTCGTTATCCTACACGAGTGTATATCGCCCTACATCATTGACTTCTATGGAGCCTTCTTCCAAGAGGGTGCTGTCTACATGTGCATTGAGCACATGGACGGTGGATCGATCGACAAGCTGTACGATGGTGGTATTCCCGAAGGCGTACTACAAAAGATTACATACTCCACGGTGATGGGCCTCAAGTCTTTGAAGGACGAGCATAACATCATTCACCGTGATGTTAAACCCACCAACATCCTGGCCAATACTAGAGGCCAAGTCAAGATTTGCGATTTTGGCGTCAGTGGAAACCTTGTTGCGAGTATCGCCAAAACCAACATTGGTTGCCAGAGTTACATGGCACCGGAACGTATCTCAGGAGGAGGTATGACTGCTGGCGCCGATGGCACATACAGCGTGCAGAGCGATATCTGGAGTCTCGGTTTGACAGTGATCGAGTGCGCCTTGGGGCGATACCCCTACCCGCCGGAGGTTTCGTCGACGATTTTCAGCCAGCTGAGTGTAAGTATACTGATCACTGCTGAGAGACGCTAGCTAATTTGGTGACAGGCTATTGTTGAGGGAGAGCCCCCAGGCCTGCCAGAAGAAGGTTACTCCAGCACCGCACACGACTTTGTCCGCAAGTGCCTCAACAAGATTCCGAAGGATCGTCCAACCTACGCGGCGCTGCTCCAACACCCTTGGATGGCGCCCTTCTCCAAGATTGAGACGATTACCGAGGAGGCAGAAGAGGGAGAGGAGGCTGAGGCCGTAGCAGATGCCGTCGGCAAGCTCTCCCTCTCCTCTGGCACCGAGGATGAAGAAGTCGCGGACTGGGTCAAGTCGGTGTTGGAGCGGAAGCGCGCAGGTCTCATCGCTCCGGCCGCCAAACCGGCACTGCACGCTGCTCCATTACAGTCTCCGGCCGCGAGCCCTGTGGTCGGAGCTGGTGGTATGCTGGAATAGGAGTTGTTGAGAGAAAAAAAAAGTAGGCCGAGGCCACGTCGTCGGCGGGGGAGGTTTATGACATTCACAAATTCCCATGCTGACCGAGCTGGCCTCCGTTAGTCTTTTTATTCGGCCCTTTGCACTTTTCATCTTTTTTCTTTTCTTTGCTTTGTCTCATACCCTCAATCCAAGTATTTCTACATTGCATCATCAGCATATACTACTGGTTGGCAAGGAGTGTTTGTTTTCGACGATTGGGGTGGGTTTTCTGTGTTGCTTCTCGCGTTGAGTGGTAGGCTCCACGGCCTTTTGGAAACGTCCAGTATACGACATGGATGGCGTTTCCCTTTCTTGATGGGCAATTTTGCCACTCCCCTTTTCCTTGAATCACGGAATGATGGTCATGATGGTTTACTGGGTGTGGGAGGATTCACAACGAAAGGAGCATATACGACGGATGGGCTGGGTGGCATGGCAACGGGACAGAAAGAAAGAAGAACTTCAAGATGACAAAAAGGCAACTGAGGTGTCGAGAGATCCTGAGATGCAATCGACGTAAAATCCTGTGTTATGTGTGTGTGTACACGTGTGGTGCGATTTAGCATGTAGACAAGGAGCAGCGAGGACAAGACCTGATGCATGTGAGCAGAGCTGGTGGGAAGCAATGGACCTTTTTGAGTGAAATATTTCTAAAGTAAAGGAGCGACCCAATCAATCAAGTACCTTTGCCTAGAGAAACCTGTCTTTCGTCACAATCCAATCGAAAAGGAGTCCCGAAAGCATACAGACCTATTCAGTGCAACGTGTGATACGTAGCGGGTTCACGTAAGGAAAAAGTACGTGGAACATTACTCATGGGTAAGCAAGTTGCGACAGAAGTGAGAGCATTACAAACTAATTCACTCAGTCTTATACAGCGCTTGTGGGGTGGCTGTTGAGCGCTGCGTAACTCTTATACTTATACGTTGTAAATTCTCATCGTTGGAGGAAACATCGCCAAACATAGGGCACACGATTCAAGTGATCTGGAGTGACAAAGTTTTACGGTATTAGTCTATTAGTTTGAAGTAGACCTAAAGAGTGGTATATGTTGGTGCCGGGGACTAATAGACGCATAACTCCAAGGCCATGGACAAGAGGTTGACCATCAATCCATCCTAGGAAGACCTCATGGGTGTATGCGGCTCTTCCAAAACGCCAGCGAAATGCAGAAACAAGATAACATGATCGCGTAAATACAACACACACGATGGACATATCATTAATACAACATCCTTTACACGTTGGAATGGTCCCCAAGATTGGGAAATGTTGCGAGTATATTCGTGGTGCTCCTTTGCTGTGAACGGCCAGCAGCTGACTTATGCGTAGTCTTCCTTGACACGGCGGCTGCTGTTGACGTCGAACGACTGGCGGCTGCGAGTGCTGCGCTTGCGGCTGAAGCGGCTGCCTCCAGAGTAGCCCTTGTCGCCGCGGATGCCGATGCAGAACAGGAGGGTCGCGATGAGAAGAGCGGCCCAGGCTCCCCAGGTGAAGCCAAAGGCGTAGGTGCCAATGTGGGCCTCGCGACCTTCGGCCTGGAAAGCGTTGCGTGCCTTGACGAATGTTGCGCTATTTAGAAACGTCAGTCACTGTGAATAAAATGAGACGATGGATCAACTGTGGTGGGACGTACGTCATCAAAGAGGCGGCAACGGTCAGGAAGAAGAGAGCCGAGGCGGAGACCAGGCCGGCGACAGCGGCGCCGAGACGACCGCAGCAGGCGAGGAAGCTGGCGAACCAGGCCAGAGCCATAAAGAAGAGGGCAATCAGGTACGTGACCCAGCCGAAGCGCCACATGTAGAAGTACTCGGTGCTGGTGGTGCCGCCTCCGTGGCTACCTGAAAGACCGGTGGGAACGTTGGCCGCATCACGGCCCCAAGCCCAGCCAAAGGCCGGGGCAGGCCAGGCACCCCAGCACTCTGCGTTCTGATCATTGCAGTAGTAGAAGTAGTTCCATCGCGTCAGTCCGTTGCGTGCGCCGGTAATACCGGTGGTGTCAGCCTCGAGGAAAAAGGTGTTGTTGAGGGGCGCGGCGTCGCGGACAGCAGAGAGAATGACGAAGAGCAGCAGGACGATGGAGCCCGAGAGGAAAACGATGGCAGCAGTGCCGAGCGGGGCGTCTGGAATGATGCTGTGTCAGTCTGCGGCTGGGACTCTGGAGTATGTTTCGCGGCGCAAGGGCGGGAACAAGGATAGAGTACTCACGTTTAACCATTGCTGCGATTCGGTTGGGCTGTGTGTTGGATTGCCTTTTTGGTTCTCCGAAGGGTGGTGTTTGCGATTCTTTGCGATGGCTGGGAGGAGAGGGTCGGCGGAGACCTGTAGGGATTTGTACTCAGCGATTGTGTCTTTTTTGGGCGGCCGGGGTTGTGCAGGAATGCAAGGTAATGGAGAAGTGGTTAATTTGGCTTGGGAAGGACAAAGTGGATGGCGTACGGGTGTGTACACAATCGCAATTCTACACTCGTCACTTGGGGGGGAGGTAGGCTATGGCGTTGATGACAAGCAATAGGAAAACTCACCGGATTCGCAAAAAGTGTTTCAGAGGGACGAGGGAGCTATGACAGGGTGAGGCGGGTTGTCTCTGGTTTATGTTTCTGGGGTTGTTTTCTGTTTGCTTCCGACCCTTGTTCAAAACCCGGCAGCAATAGCTTGGAGGGAACTATAGGAAGGGTAGAGGTAGGGATGCCGGGGTTATTGATGTCTCTCGCTGTCTGGATGATTCGTTTGACCGACTTGTTGGTTCTGTAAGGCAGGTCAAGCGGCTCATAGGCGGACCGAGATTGCAACAAGGCTGGTGGGAGTGCAGGATTAGTGTTCCTAGAGACTGAGCTGGCAGAAGAGATGAGAGTATCCGTAGGTCGGGGGTCTGGGAGGGAAAAGTAAGGAATAAAGAATTGGACGACGGGCGAGCAATCAGATGATGCAAACCAAATTCAGAAATTCAGACAGCCGACGCCAAACCAGACTCGGGACTGCGCGTACGATGTACCTACTTCAGGTAGGTACCAGGGTACGAAGCCAAACTAGCTAGCGGGGAGAGAAGGAGCCCCCCGGTCTTCAGTACCTACCTACATTACTGTGTACCTAAAGTGAGGCCCCGACTGACCGCAGCTCCTGCGACTTTTGGCTGCTTGGAGCCTTGGATGGAAGGAAGCAGCAGCTAAGCTTGCTGCTCGTGGAGTTGGGTCCGGTGTTGGTCGCTGCCCACCTGCTGAACAGCGCATGCGTCGGGTGGGCCATGACGACACCACCGAGCCACTGCCGGGATCCACCTGACGGTGCAGAATATCAGACGGACTGTGGATACATACGTGCTTCTGCACGTTAAACGTACAGTTGATATTCCGTCGCATACGGAGAACCCGCCGTCAACCGAGACCTTGCTGGGCAACAGCGCTGGACCGTCCCCCCTAGCGCCTGGTTCTCCTGAGCCACTGTGATTCGTCGCGCACGCCAGTCACCGACTGCCAGCGCAGGGACCTTCCTCGGCCCAGCCCCCACCCTGCCACGACGTCATCCAACATCCTCTTCCAGCTCCTCTCCCCCCTGGCTTTTCTCTCTTCGCACCGGGCCAACCACATCGTTCGTCATGATTCAGTTCCTCGCACTCTGACCCCTCGCTGGCTGCTTGCATCTTCAAGGCTCCATCGTCTCCTTCGGTCGTGATCGTCAAAACGCTAATCTTCTTCAGGCTCCGAACAAGGCTGGCAATCTTCCGCTCAGATGCTTCATCGAAGTAAGGCCTGGGACTGTCAACTTGCATCTCAGTATTCTGTGCTCCGTACGGATATTCTTCTAGGATCCTTCCAGGTTCTGTTTGGGTTCGGATGAAAAGCACATGGCTGCGGCTTCTTCGTCTGGTGCTTCGGCCCAGCGTTTGCTGAACTTCAACCCATCCGATGAAAACCTCACGTGCGGCATGCCAAAGCGGACGGCTGGACCCGAACAATTGCTCACCCTTTGACTGGAAACACTGATACCTATCCTATTGTCAACACTGTGGGACGAAACGCCGGACGTTACTTCTCGAGTTGAGTGGCTCGTCTCCTCGGACTGCTAGATGCAGGGTCTTTGTCCGTCCAGCAGCACCCTGCATGCCGAGGTAGAACACCTTGTTTCCGCCATCCTTGACCAACTTGCCGAGACTTGCGCGTCTGGCCCAGCTCCCAGAGTGTCCAACGTGTGAGGGGTGGTCTGCATCTTGACATTTGAACCACTACCAACCCACCTGTCTTCGCAAGATTCGATGGCATCATATCGGGATGAATCTGTTGTCTTGATATCTTGCGCGGCCTGGACCAAGGCGATGTGTACTACTGTGGCTCAGATGTCGTGTTGCAAATATTCCACCCACCAGCTCGCACACACAGAGGCTTAGCTTGTGTGCTCTCGCGTCAACCGCCGGATGGGACGGGCACTCTGACTTCTCCCTCGCAGCTTGACAAACGCACTGCTTACTTCGACTTCGGTTTCGATTCTCCTCGCTATTGGGCCCCAACTCAGAAGACCTCTCCTTTCGAAGTCCCTTTGTGACTGACAAATAAGAAACACCTGGCTTGTCCGTCGTGCTCTTGAGACCATCGGCGCCAGATCGACTCGGTGCATCCGGTAACCCCACTTGGTCGTACGCCGGCGTCGGCTCGGCACACTACCAGACTTCGAGCTCCATACGAGACATCTTCTCAGCTTGACAAGGCATCTCAATGTCATCATCATGAAGAGCTGGGTGACGGTATCATAGCTGGAAAGAAGCGAACCTGGTCCAGCTGGTTTTACTGTGTGGGCTAGAGCTCGACGGACAATAGGGCATCGTGCTTTCCAAGAAAAGGGCAAGCCGTCATTAAGAGGGCATTGAGTTATGGAAAAACGCACAAGTGTCTCACCATCTCAAGGAAGTTACGGCATCGTGTCTTGGATGTCCAATGGCACGCACATGCAGCGCGGACACGAGCTGACAAGACCTACCTAGCTTATACAGATGACATAATGACGACTCGTAACCGACTCGCAATGAAGCCACAAACATACCGAGGGACCTTGAGGCAATCGTGAACGCACTCCCGCTCAAGCACGACATAGAACCGTGGGAGCGTACCTACCGATGAGCTGAATGAACTTGACGACGTGACAGTTGATGTGAGGCGACCAGCGCGGACAGAGGCCACACCTTATCGGTAACGATTGCTCAGAAAACGACCTGGATGCGGTAACAGGCCGTGGGTTCTGAAGGATCATGAACCCTACGCCCATCTCACGGTACCTATGACGGAAGGTGGCTTGTGCGTTTGCCGATAGCCCAACTCTATCGATAAGATACGTACCGATGACAGTTCCAGCCGGCTCGTTCCGCTAAACTTTGTTCGAGCTCCGGGCAGCTTGCGCACGACTTCACCTCAGCCACAATCTTCGTCGACAAACTCCGTTCAAGTCCACAGCAACCTCCGACAACACGCGAGCCGATGGGGACCCTTCGAACCGCATGCCGGATTTGTACCTTTCGAACTCCAAGCCTCACACGCACAGCTAATCAGATACCTGGTATCATCTCGCGACAGGCAAGATGGAGCTCCTCAACGCCAATCTCGAAGTTGGTCTTCCCTGAAGACGACGGCGCCGAACCGAGCGCATTGCGACACCTTCACCTCGACGGTTCTGATTCGAACGATTTCCCGTCGTATCACTCGGCTTCAGAGTTTCAAACTGCCTTACGTCAGGCCTTCCTCGACTGGAAGTCGGCCCCGAACTCCCGCCCTCCGTCGCCGCTCGTCCTATCTTTCACTCCGGCACCAACGTATACGCTCGGCCGACGCCAAAAGACCTTACTACCCGAGCAGCTGGAACGGCTTCAACAGCCTTTGACTGTCATCGAAGAGATGAAGGCCGCGGCAGGGGTGAAAAATGGCGGAACAAGTTTAGGAGAGCGGCAATTCACGCCCAAAGTCATTGAGACAGATCGCGGCGGATTGACAACATACCATGGACCTGGGCAGGTCGTCCTGTGGCCGATACTGGACCTGCACAGCAAATACTATCCCCAGCTGACCGTCCGATCCTACGCGCGACTTCTGGAGGAGACCACACAAGCGATCCTCGCTGACGGACCTGGGATCCAGACGTACCTCTCCGAGGACGATCCGGGAGTTTGGGCCGAGGCCGCAAGGCAGCGAACAGGAGGACAGGAGCGCAAGATTGCCGCCATGGGCGTTCACCTACGCCGTCATATCTCTGGGCTCGGCACGGCGCTGAACGTGGACGTCGTCGTCGATGGTGACGAGACATTTAATCCTTGGGCGAGGTTCGTGCCGTGCGGACTCGAAGGTAAAACCGCCACCAGTGTAAGAGCTGAACTGGGCGAGGATTCATGGAGGCAATTGAGTCTTGCTGGCGATGGCAAGGCGAAGAGAGAATGGTATGCCCGCCGGTGGGCTGAGGAACTTGCAAAGCGCCTTGGAGTCGGCATTGCGCCGACGACAGTGCATCAACGACTTGGATGATTGTATCCTCGATACTTGCCTCAATTGGCTGATTACCGTCTTTTTATGAGTAGCACCCCGGTACTGGTCCATGGATAAGACGACCGCCAGAAGCAAGAATGCTGGTGACTGGAGTGCATCACGGGTTACACAACATGTAGCTTGCCCGCTTCTTTTCCTCTTCTCGTCAGCTATCAACTTCTGAGCCCCTCTTCCGGACATCGGGGCAGCTAGCATTTGACCGGACCGTTCGCTATGAACGGCACCTGTTGAAGGGAGACGCGCAATCCGTGGTCGGTCCGGGTCAGCATATCCTCCTTTTGCACTCTCTTCTTATTTCCGGAAGAGCCAGAACGTAGTGTATCAAATTCCGGCTCGCTGGGAGCCTGGTTATTTCCGGTGCGGCGGGGGCGAGGATACCTCACCGGACATTGTCGATTATGATACCCCCATTTGCATCAGCAAACATATTTTTTTTTTCCATATCTTGGCATATCAGATCCCAGCCTGCCAAGCCAGGACGACCTCTTGGTCTTGTGTGGCGAAGCCATCTCCATCACCTCTGCAAACCGGAGGGGCAAAGCAAGGTAGGCATGTCGGCATTGCATGTCACGAATACGATATCTCACTGCCATCGGGTCTCTACAACCAGCTACTGGTTGTAGATTGCCATGTCGATATCACGCTTAGCGAGAGCCTTGGCAGCTCGCACTTTGTCAAGCTGCCACGCACATCTTCCCGTAACGTTTGCTCCGGAGTATACCAGGGACGGACGGGGAGAGAGAGAGAGAGAGAGAGGAGGGGCGTGGTGGCATGCCCGAACCCCATAGGATGATGCTTTTTCTTCCACAAGAGGGCCGCCCAAGCGGGACCCCCCTAGCCGTCAAAGGTTTGCAGGTAGATGGGCGTAAATAGACATGGATGGAGAAGGAGAGCCAGTATAGATGCTTACTTCTAACCAGGTAGATAAGATCCAACTCCAATTCCTCCTCTTTGCGGGATTTCTACCGCCGCATTCTCTCTCTCCGATTTGTTTCTCTCTTAGCAATCGAATAATGCAATGCAATGCCCACCCGTCCCCCATGCTCCGGGCAAAGTCCATGATATGCCGCGCCAAGCCCCACCACCCGTGGGACCTCAAGCTCACACCTCACATCTCACCCCGTTGACGCCTTCACGCCATCCATGTCAGAAAAGATGAAAAAAAAAAAAAGAGGCCAAGAGTCTCGACGGGCGTTCGTCGCATGCTTGATGTCAGGGGTGCCAGGTGGCAATCTTTCTTTAGCCGCAGACGCAGACGCAGACGCAGAACGTGTGTGAGAGATCCTGGATAGCCCACATGTGCAGTGCATACAATACTTTTGTACACACCCACAACAATCACCTTGGAACGACGTTGCAGATTTGTTCCCATAGACGGGGCAAAAGGGAGGGGGCGAGGGGCGGCAAAAGATCGACCATCACGTTTCCATGTCAAGCCCGTTTTCGCGGCAGGCAAAGACTCTGTCTTCTTTGCCTTGGCGTTGGCTGTCTAAACTCGCCGCTCCAATGATACAAGAGTCAAACACCTACTCAATCGGATCATAAGGGGCAGCAGACTTTTGCGCACTAGAGAGTACTATTAATTATCAACGCCGATGCTATGATGAGTATCAACCCGAGGAGCGAACCCTCCCGCCAAATAAAGTCGTGAAGAAGATGAAGCCCTCCATCATAAAATCATGATGCCTTTCCCATCTGCGTAGAGCAAAACACTAAAATCACAATGAGCCAACTCAAGGCAAATTTTAATTCTCCCACAATGCGGGCCCCCAGAGACCGCCCAAAAAAAAACAAGTAACACCACCTTGTTCCCCCGTCCCCCTCCATTACACTCCCGGAAAGCGCAGTGACGGTCTGCCTCCTGATGCCCGTGGACCACGGCGAAAGTCCAATATATCACTGGCGCAATGGCTGATGGTACAGTGGTCCCATCGTTTGTGTGATTGCCTGGCCTAGTGATCCGACCTGACTCTTCCCTTCTTCTTGGGCGCCGGCAGCCGCTCGTTGTGGCCATCATCGTCCGGAGTCCACTCCTCGGGATGAAAGTGAGGATTATTATAGTGCGCCTTGTTGAAATGGCTGTTCTTGAACATTGCAGTAGTAAAGCTGGGTTCCTGGAAGCCTGCTTGGCCGGGTATCACTGACGGTTGCGCCGAGCTAGTGTTGTTAAGATGCCAGCACTGGTGACTAAATCTGAGCTGGTAGTCAACAGGCTGCGACGACTTCGTAGGGGCAGGCGTCGACTGTTGTGGTCGAGCTGGCGTTTGAGGCTGCGGTCGAGGGGCTGGTGCCGTCTGCTGTTGCTGCTGCTGCTGAATGTGATGATCAGAGTACGGCGTCGTGAGCCAAGGAGATTGAGGTGAAGGGTCATAGGCGTCTGGGAGCGGAGATGTGGACGTGGGCGAGCCGAGTGAAGACAGGGCGGAAGACAAACCCGAGGGCGGGCCCCCGAATCCGGGCAGCATGGCCAAGGGGCCGTAGTCAAGAGAATAGCTGTGCAAAGGGGGGCCCACGCTCGCAATCTCTTGAGAATGAGAAAAGGAACCAACACGGTGAACCTGAAGATTCAAGGGCGCCGGGTTCGGAGGCGACTTGTATAGAATGTCGTAGTGGTCGGGCCGGTAGAGCAAGTAGATGATGGGGCCCAGAGTGGCAGGGTCTTGACCATTGGCCTCGTCCGGAAAGCGGTAAATGTTGACTTGGTTTCCTGGGCTACGATCCAGATATGCAATCTCCAGCACGAAGTTGATGGGCTTTAGCAGCACCTGAACGAGCAGAATGATGCCGAGATGGTCAATCTCTCTGTTTGGGCGTTCGATTTCGGCGCAATAGCCGATGATACCCGTCTCGGCGGGAATGAAGGGTTCGTAGAGCTCAACATTTCCCTTGAGCCACGAGAGTGCCAACAAGCGAAGGTGGTAGATGATGGCGTTGGAGGAGCCCTGATCGTTGAAGCGCTGGACCATGATGTCCATGGCTAGCTGTGGGTTGGCAATATTCTGGGCGACATCTTTTAGCAAGCCAATCGTCTCTTCCACCATGTCCTCAAACAACATCCGATCGTAGCCGCCGACATTGAGGAGATACTGATTTAAGCTCGTGATGCGCGCGGCCTCGCCAAGGATCTGATGCTGGTCGCCATTGTTGATGAGATGCTCAAAGTAGGAGAAGCCGATTGCTAGAGAGAGATAGTGTTAGTTACAACTTGCTTTGAGTGCTGAAGTGAAGCAGTGTCCCCCATTCCAAGCAACGAACATGTGCGCCGACATGTGTCGAATTGAAGAGTGGCGTGTTTGGAAAGAAGTGATTTCCCAGGAGCCTTCCACCCTGTCGAGGGGCGGGGATGCGGGGTAGAAGGAAATATTGGTGGTGGTGGTGGTCAGGATGGTGAAAGGTAAACTCACCTCGCCAGCCGCAATTTCCATCACCTTGAACCGGACGATAGTGAGAATATGTCTGGGGAAGGTTCTGAAGTGATGAGAACGAGCAGAAGCACTACGTTAGCCAGTGCAACATACTGCGCGAAGTAGGCATCCCCTAGGCAAGGAAGGAATGCTAGAATGTAAGACTCACGATGGTCTTTGCGACATAGATTTCGTCAGCCTTGGCGTACTCGTCGGTTATGGCGTCGCTGGTAATCTTGTCGCCCACCAATAAACCCTAGAGCAGGGCGTAAGCCATGTTAGCGTTGCATGTGGTAGGGTGTGGATGACGAGTAAGAATTCGGGTTCGATGGGGCGCTGTCGACATGGAGGAAATGTTGAATTCAATGGTATTGGATTCAATAAAGAGATGCTCAAAGAGGTTTGTTTGTATAAGGGTTAGGGGGTTGAGGGCGAGAACGAGCACAAGCACTCGAAGCTTGGGGTGTTGGGTGACGGGAGCTAGGCGTGCGTCTCCCGGAGTCGGGGTGGCGAGCCAACTTACCTCGAGCTGTGGCTGATAATCCCGAGCGGCGGCTTCTTGGGCGGCAACGTCGGAGGGGTCGCCGGGTTCCATGGCGGAAGAAGGACGAGTGCTGCTCACGACGTGGGCGGGAGCGTGGGCGTGATCAGGAGCGAGGGCGGCGGCGGTGTTTGTGAAGCCTGGGTTGGCGTTGGAGTTGGTGGTGTAAAAGGCAGAAGAGGATGTTGTCGAAGAAGAGGCGCCGGGATGAGGATGAGGATGAGGAGGAAGAGGGCGTTGTTGCTGGACGTGTCCGTGGAGGAGGTTGTGGTTGGAGTAAAGGTTGGCGTGGGAGTATCCGTAGGACGACGAATGGGAGTGGGAGTGGGAATGGGGGTGGGAGGAGCGGGAGAGGGAGCGGGAGGAGGAGGAAGAAGACGCGGAGGAGGAGGAGGAGGAGGAGGATGAGGAGGATGAGGCAGAAGCAGAAGCAGCGCCGGGGCTGTTATGGTGGTTAAGGTGCAAGTGGGCAGCAGAAGTAGCAGCCGAAGCCACGGCGGAAACGCCAGAGACAACGTTGGCGTTGGCGTTGGCGTTGGTGGTTGAAGTGGTGGTTGTGGTGGTTGGAGGAAGTAGTAGTGAAGGATGAGGAAGAGGAGTGGAGGCAGATGAAGGAGACTGAGACTGTTGTTGCTGTTGCTGTTGCTGATGATGATGTGCAAGTGCAGCAGCCTGACTCTGAACAGGAACTGGAACCTGAACCTGAACTGCACGCGATGTGGTGCTGGTGCTGGTGCTGGTGCTGCTGACAGCTGGAGCCCGGCCGGCACCCGGGCCGGGGCCGACCACAGGCGCTGTAGCCGCTGTTGGTGTTGTCGCCAATGGCCCTCCTACTGCTCCTGCTATTGCTGCTGATGGGACTAGCTGTCTTTGCTGTAGTTGCTGCTGCTGCTGTTGCCGCCCAGGATACTGCTGTTGGCGCTGTTGGTATTGATGATGCTGCTGCTGCTGCTGCTGATGTGCTGCTCCTGCCATTAGCGAGGTTCCAGGTCCGGCCGGCGACGCAGCATTCAGGCTGTGTGTGCCTGCAGCTTCCCCGCCCATCCCCATAACACCAGATAGCGACTGTGACAGTGATTGCGACCGCGGCTGCGACTGCGCCGACAGGGACAGCCCACTGTGGCCCAGGCCCATACCCATGCCGTTCAAGTTGCCCATGCCCATGCCCATCTGTCCCATCTGTCCCATCCCCATCCCCAGCCCTAGCCTGCCGCCGCCGCCACCATCACCACCATCACCACCGCCGCCGCCGCCCATCACCAGGGGGTTACCCATGCTGTCCAGCCCCACCGACGATGCACCCGACGATGAACCCACTCCAGCTCCAGCTCCAGCTCCCATGCCAGGTCCAACAGCTCCAGTTTGGCCATGACCTCGACCTCGACCTAGACCATGTCCTTGGCCTCCACCACCAGAACGAGAACCAGTACCAGATCCAGAAACAGCATCAGAATCAGAGCCAGAGCCAGAGCCAGAAATAGGGCCGCTTCCTGATCCCCTCTCTTCTCTCGCTGACGACAAGTAGCCGTAATGCGAGCCCGCCATTCCTGTATCAATGCCGACGTCGTGAGATGCACCTCCTCCGACACCATCGCCCACCATACCCATCCTCATCCTCATCTCCACTCTTCCTACCCCTCTTCCTCTTGCTCCTCCTTCTCCTTCATTCCTCATCATCATTTCTCCTAACCCTGCTGCGCCAGTGCTGATGCCATAGCCTCCGCTGTTCTGAGACCGGTGGTCCTGCGGCGAGCCACTCTGGGTTTGCATGTACGTTTGATCATGACCGTGGGGATGAGGGTGAGAGTATGGGTTGTGTGCCGAGGCGTGAAACGCAAAAGGCGTTGGTTGAGGCTGGAACATGGCCTCACTTGCGCTCTCGCTCCTTTTGCCCTGCACTTTGGCGTCTGATTTGGTCGACTCGGGCGTCTCAACAAGGCTGTTTTTTTTTTTTTTTTTTGCGTCTCTCTTGGCTGTCGTTCCAACACCCGGCCAAGATACCTGATGTGATGCGCTGCGCGCTGCGGTGCGGTGCGGTGCGGTTCGGTGCGATGCAGCAGCTGTGGGTGCTACCGGCTGTATTGCTGCTATTGATGCCGCTATTGCTGACGACTCATGCAGTATGTCTTATGCCGCGTCTCCGGTCCTGAGTCGGTCTGAGGTGATTGGCACAAGAAGACGACGGCCAGAGACTGTGGAAGCAAAGGAAAAAGAAATGAAAACGGGATGATCGCTGAAACGATGAGAGAAAAGGGAGGGAAGGGGATGACTGAAAAACGGGCGAGGCGAGTGTGAGTTGAGTCGCGTCCAGTCGAGTCTGAGTCGGGGGAGTCGGACGATGTGACGGGTGCGATCCAACGAGCCAGACAGCAATCAGTCCAATCTGCTCTCCAGAAAGAATCCTTACAAGATTCCAACGACGGGGTAAGGAAAAGCTCACGGCGACCAACAGGTAGAAAGACGGCCGCCCCTCTAATTTACTCTACCACGCAGATCGAGTCGAAAAACGATTCCCACGCCGAGCCAGACAGGTTCGTAGGTAGGTATTCGGCTTCTCTGTTTCTTCCTCGCTCTGTCTCTGGACGAGTGTGTGTGTCTCCTCCTCTAGATCGGGTCGGGGATTAGGTCAGGTCAGCTCAGAAGCAACCCGACTAGTACTTCCCTCCCCCCCAATAGTGAGCCGCTTGTATGCAGCTTGGCTTGAGATGACGAATAGAAGGGCCCGTAGCAGGGGTGATAGTAGTGCAGAAATTCGATGGCCGTCCGAGGGGCTAAAAAGGAACAATAATGTGACCTGTGGTTTTCCGGGGTGCGTCTGGCTGGCCTTGTGCTTTCCGTCTGCGCGTTCTTGGACGTTGACGTTCCTTTGGTGTGAATCCTCGTTGCGACAGTCGCGAGAGCAAGCCAACTTGTGCGATCGACTCTGGGGTCCGGGCTTCGCTTGTGGAGGTGGTCCGATGCTAACACTCTTACTGCCTTAGACTAACAGGAAGTACTCCGTATGTGCCTGTCACTGCCTGCGGCAAAGACTGTTATTGCCAAAATGTCTTGGTGGTTTGTAGCCTAGTCTGACCTCCTGTCTGGATTTGGAAATTGGCGTGTCCGGTGGTGCTCATTGCCGTGCTGAATACAGCTCGAATGGGTGTCCTGAACCGGCTGGATCTGGGGTTTGGTTCTTGATTCCGGCCTCTCGGCGAGCCGAGCTGAGGTGCCTCCGACGAATGGCGGATGATAGAGGATGTGGAGGAATTTGATGTGATGTGATGTGAGTGTGCAGTGCCGTGCCGCAGCTGGAGATCGGAGGGTAAGGTAGGTACAGGTAGGGCAGGGCAGTTGAGCCCGGTATCGCGGTTGTACTGCCTGCTTGCTGACGATGGCTTGGTGGCTAGGTAGGTGAGGGTCTACCTACCTGGCTGTGGTGAAGTTGACACGATAGATGATAGATGGCTAGCAGCTGGTTAGGGGACAGAGTAGGTATGCTGGTCTGTCAGCCTCCTCCAATGACAATTCGTAGAAGAAGGGAGAGAAAGGTGAAATGTGAAAAACGAGATTTCCAACCAAAGAAAAGAAGATGGGAAGATGAAAGAAGGAGGGAGGAGAGCAGGTGTAAGTACTGGGGGAATGGACGGGAGAAAACATAGGGGCGAATAATGATAATCAGAGTCCCGGGCCTGTCAACTTGTGTTGCGTCCACACGCGTAGGCAAGGTGGACGAGGCCCGGCAGACAAAAAGACAGGCAGCGTATCCGTATCGTATCTTGCTCTGGGGTCAAAGTAGGTAGGTAACCATGGTTGCACCAAGAACAGGCGATGGGAGCTAGCATGACACAAGACTGGAGTAACGGCACAAGCAGCCGCATGTGCAGGTGCAACAACGTCGGCAACGGCATTGAGGCAGGGATGTTCAAAGGAAACAACAATATCAGGACCGCGACAAGACGATGAGGAACTGGACGGCATCACCCGGCCCTGGAGTTGGAGCAAGGCCAAAGTACCTTGCCGTCCATGACTGAGTACTCATCCGTGGAGGTAAGGTAGGTAGGTACTTGGGCCGAGGGAGTTGCAAACTCCATGTAAGAAACATCAGGTATCCGTACAGATACATGCATCCCATGTAAGGCAAGGGAAGCCAGGGGATAGAAATGGGCCATGGCAGAGCACTTGGAGATGAACGGATAGAGAAAGAAAGAAGAAAGAAGGGGGAAAGTACCGGTAGCCGTACGGTACTGTACGTAGTACATAAGGTACTGTAGCCTCCAAACTCAATGAGGCTTCATTGTGTGATGCAGTGGGCAAGTACTGAATATGGGGTGCCGTGCCTCAGAATGGTTGGCTGGTGTTCTGATACAAAGTCTGCATACCTAGTCCGGTGAGGTAGGTATTCGTACTATGTATGGCATGACATGGTAGCCGTAGCGTGCTGTGTAGGTGGTTGTGAACTTGTGGTCCCGATGGTGGGATATTCAGATACCACCCAGAGCGGCGCGCGCAGCAAATCGCCCGTGATGGCAGTGATGGGATAGGTATGGGACTGAGCCGGGGGCATTGGCATACAGAATACATACGGATAGACATGGGATGGGAACGTTGTCAACGGGGATAACGGGGAAAACGGGGAAGGGAATGGATACGGACGTCCAGTGTACATAATTGCTAATTGGGGTCCAGTCTGTGGATGGTGAGTTGTGAGGGCGCACTGCGAGCGGCGACAATTGAGAGAGAGAGAAAAAGCCCCCTGGTCCATGTCTTTTTCCCTCTATTCGGATGGATGCTGCATACGGGGTCAGGTATTTTGTCGAGAATGTCCCTGAGGTAAGGTAGTCTTGACGTGCTTTGCCTTGTACATCTCAATGCCAAGTACACCTCTTTTTGGTATCCACAGAGGAACCGTCGGCCCCGAACGGCCAAAGTGGCACAGCCAGAGAAGACTGAGAAGAAGAGGATTGCGGATACGTGGAGAAGTTGTGTGCATCGTCGGATAGGTACCGTTTCGAACAGATGACAAGGCTGGAGGGTCGTCGGGTCAAGGATAGGTCGCAGAACAAGACAGAGAGAGAAGAGACAAAGGAAAAGTCGGACGAGATACGGAGACAAGAGCGCGAGCCCAACGATCCTGGTCTGCAGTCGGGCCTAGGTAGGCATGCTTCCTAGACTCCTGGATTCCTGGTCCTCAGAGGTAGTCTGCGGCGGTCTGGCCAGGTCGGCGCCAGGTTTCCTCCAAATCGCGGACGTCGATTGGCCATCTCAATCTGTTGGACTGGTCGACAATCCCTCAGTTGACAGTCGGGGGGTTCTCCGTCTGCTATGGATTGGTCGCGGGCAGAGGTACACCATGGGAAGTCGGTAGGTGTGCCGTCGTAAAGTACCGTAGGTCAACGATGCCATGGTGATATTGGGTACCCGCACGAGGGGCCACGGGAGCGGCATGTCTTTCAAAACCTGGGAAAATTAGTTTGGGAATGTCCTGGACGAGGCGATACGTACCTTGCTTTGTATGCAGATTCGAACACACACGGGATGCCTACCTGTGTCCGATGTAAGATAGGAAGCAGCATCTTTCTGATACCTTGAGGTAAGGAATCTCGGAAAGCAGCACAGACTGAACGTCAATCCAAGGACCTGGAGATGAATAATTGAGATGAAGATGAAGGTTCTCTGAAGTTCTCTGGAAAAACCTGCCCAAGAGTAAGGCAGAGCCAAGGTGCTCCTTACCTTTCCTTCAGGTTGAAGGTACCTTGAGGTCAATCGGGCAGGAACCTGGGATCAGGATGGGATGTTCTTTCCTCTTTACTTTGCGGTATTTCAGCACGCGGCAGGTCCGCCCCGTGACGTTGCTGAGAATGAGATTAAAGAGGCAAGAACAACTTCAGCCTCAAGCTTCCGTACCTAAGGTAGCGACGAACCTGCCTCACTTTTACCTGAAGGTATGGAAGGCACTTTGGGTACCTTGCCTTGGAGACAGAAGGAAGATACGGAAATCCCAGGGTACCTACCTAACTGCCTTAAGGTAGGTAGATAGGCCTGTCACTTTGAGACTCCTCAACTGCTCTCTCTTTCCCTCTTCATATTCAACCGTCTTCAGCGTCGTCTCTTTGTCGTGGCCTCACCATCTCCTCACCTCCTCTAGGTATCTGCACCTTGCGTTTCTCTGGATCTTGCACGCGAAAACTAGGTATTGGGGTTCCTCCTTATCTTCGATGTGGATGACTCGTTTCTTATTCCCACCAAGTACAAACAGTCGTGACTGATCGCCATTTGCACACACGCGCATACAATGAATGCCTCTGCAAAGCCTAGGTAATTACCATGTGCTTCCTTACCTACAAAGTAGTCTGCTCACGAGGTACCCCAGACCTATCCAAACTGAGCAACATCAACACGAATCCTTCCCAGCGCCCGACCTCTATGTCTTGCGTAGGAGATACATTGACCTTTACCGAGCGAACACACACCTGCCTCATGGACATTGCGAGCCTGCGAATCTGCGAGCCCGTTGGAGAAGCAAGAAGACCAAAAACACGCCGATAGACAAACAAGGGTGGCATTCTATGGGAGGAGGGTACCAGGGGTAGGCCCTGTCCTTCACCGTTCCGACTAGCAAGGGACAAGGTTGACTGGGATTTCCACTGCGAGCCCGCCCGTCCTCCCCCCATCGTGCCCATCCCACAGACATTCAACAGGGACTGGACGGACCTGGCAAGCCTCGACGTCGATGGGCTGCGGGCATCCTAGGACAGGGTTCCAGGTTGGCACAAGCATTTCCCATCAGCATGCCGCACTGCATCACCAGCATCCAGCGGGCCAGACGAGACCACTCAAAGGGCCGTGGCACCCCTCGATGGCTCCTTAGCGCCATCATATGGGAGGTATGTAAGACTAAGATGCGATGGCCTCCACAAGCCCCCGAACGACGTGACAAGGTATCCATACCAGGTACGTCCAAACACAACCATCGTGAACAGAAGCTCATGTATCCCGTAGTAATGTGGTCCGAATACAAGTCTGTGGTGCTGATCCGACTTTCTCCATCGTGATCAATCATCACACTCCCTCCACACGTCCCGTCACCCACGGTGGCCTGTGGCCACCCTGCCTCTAAAGCTCAAGCCGGCAGGATGTGTGCAAAGGACCTCCGCCCAGCAAGTATCGTGGCATCTGTTCACAAAGGCACAGCGTCTCTCACGATAGCCATACGCGCCGAGCATGCCATCGCCTTCAACCATGGCATGGATGTTAGTCGACTGTACGAGCAACTATGTGGATCATTGGCAGCCAAAGGTCCAACAAGCACGACTCCCGGGGAAGATGCTGATTGAACAAGAGCGTATCCCAATGCCGACACGGTGAAAACAGCATGTCCCACCGCCTCGCTTCTTCTCTCGCTGGCCCTTTTGTTCGGACACCTCCAGCATGAGATCTCAGGCATAGGCACACACGCACGCCAAAGGCTGGAAGGAGAACTGGGCTCAGGGCCAAGGAGCCGCAAAGGAAAGCGGGACGACCACCGCCAGGAGCGTCAGCATTGTGGGCTAACGACATTCCAACACAGGCCTCGTGGCGTCAGAAACAAATCGTCGTGCTGGGCCTTTCCTTTTTCTGCTGTTGTTTCCGAGAGCCGCCGCTGTCCATCCATTGGCCATCACCTCAGCATCTTGACCGCTCAGAGTCTAAAACTAATATCCCCAACAACTCATGGTCCTACCAATGGTGTCGTGTTGAAGCTTACTTGCTATCTTAACAGCACTGAAGTTCCCACGAGACTGGCTTACACTATCCGTAAAGTAAGCTACGAATCTAGCCCGCCACACCCCACCACGCTTTCTTTGCCTTGCAGGGAACAAGCCAGTCACTGGCTGACGGCCGAAGGCGGCCGCTGCCGAGCACACTTTAGCTGCGCCGGTGTGCTCGGCTGCTACACTACGGACAAACGTTTCCCACGGACAACTTTGACATCATGTTGAGCTAGCTCTCTCCGCGGACGGATCATCCATCACCTGAGGCTGGTTGACATTCAATGACACGTTCTGTGAGCGCCACGCTGGAGTCATTCCTCGGGTGTAGTCTTGCATCGCATTGACTATAGGTTAAAAACCCCTCGCAATATTACACATACCATTGTAGGATCTCCATCTGAGGTAGTGCCTGGCCTGCAGCTCGGCTTTTGCGAGGATCTTACGAAGTAGAGTGACTCGACCGCCGTCTTGTAGCGATGGTCGGGACGCCCAACTCCAAACTCATCAAATTAAAGCAAGAGACACGAATCATTCTGACAACAAGATGGAGTGTAGACCATGAGTCGAGTTCACTGGCAGTTGATGATACCCCTGGCTACCAGGACCGAGAGATCCGTCTGGGCACTGTGTATCTGCCCGGTTTCCAAGACTCCCGTGTCAGAAATGGAGGCCGTGATATCGAATTTTTCCTGTTCCATGGCAAATCATCTCCACCGACTCCATGGTGGTGCAGGGAGACGACATCTCACGCTGTCGATCACTTACCTCACCACAGCGGCCAACCACACATGCCGCCCGTGGCCCGCTTGTCAGAACGGCCGAAATAAGAGACTATCAAGTAGCTCCCACTGCGTACTTTGGCCCCGATCTCCTGCAAATGTCTTATACTAGACTTTGCAGGAGATGCTGCCGAGAATATCCCGCCTTCTGTCAACCTGTCAAAAACTAAGACGATGTTCGTGGATACGGGATTTCGTCGCACCTGCATTGCGCACCGTCTTCAACCCTGAGACGCAGCCTCACGACCAATTTGACCCTGCGAGCAACGCCTAGTATCGGGCGCCAGGGGCCAATGTCCTCGCCTGTACCAACTCAATAATAATCGCAACGTGGTGATGGAAGGTACTTTATTGCGCAAATTTGAGCTTCGGACAAGGCGGACAAGCGGCACAGCCAATGCCAAGGGTCACCGAATAGTTGGGATCCGTGACACATCGGGATGAATGGCTTTCGATTCGACAAATCACTCGCCAAACACGCTTACTACTACTGCGGACATCTGTCAAGAAGTATATTGGTCACTGATCATGATCAAACAAAGCCAGACGACCACGATATGTCAATTCACCTTCCATGCAGCTAAGATTGGTTGGTGGGGCTTTTGGACGGCCTGTTCCGCACGCGACCTCGACTTGGAGAATGCGGTTTGTCCAGGGGAAAGCAAACTCGACAATGTCAACTTTGCAAATTCGGTCTTGTGGCAACGTGGAGCGTGGGGACACCTAGGGATCTACATGCCCCGTTTCCCGGTGGGCACAATCTTGAATCATTGGCACACGTCGAGGGCCATTTCTCATTCACCCAAGCGCGTTCAATACCCTCTGCTTCCGAGAATTATTGGTATTGGAACAGATCGCAACATATTCCGATATGGGACAGACTACAGTTGAAGTGCGCGTCCCGAGCAAAGCAAGAAATTATATGAGCCTCCTGAGATACATTCTGTCGAGACAAGTCGGTCCTGAGAAGCCAAAAATTACAGAGACTTGGCGCCCAACAGAGGACCCTTACCGACCTTTGCAGGTTTGCTCCAACCAATCTCTTCTTTTTCTCTTGCTCCATTAGGCTCATTGTACCAAATGGGCCGGGCACACCAGTCTCGTAGTAGGCAAAGGAAGCCAGAGGCTGCCATGGAGATCCGATACATCTTCTTATATGTCTTGCGTTTGGAACAGAGTAAGTATCTCGTTCGCTCTGCACAGCTTTCTGCAGGGTTCTCCACATAACATAGGGAAGAGGTAAGAAAGAATGGGCGATAAACAGCTTAGGCAGGCAAGACGACAGATGAGAGCCTCTCCGATTCAAGGAAACAATTTGATTCCGGCTTTTGGAGTACCAACAAACGAGCCGGTTCCAGCACTTTCTCGGCAGGAGGAGGAGCATGGGTGACTGACTGGCGGCGCTCCTCACGTACTTTTCAAGTGAGACCAGCTGCACTCTGGCACTGTGCAGACGAGACCAAGATAACAACGTTGCTGCCCCAAGCCCTATGCCCCTGGTATTTCTCTGACGCTATCGCAGATTCGTCTTAGTCTGTATGCTTGAGGAAACAGGAGACTACGAATAGCACAGCATCTTGACCGGGCCTCGTCCACTGCTCGATCATCGGCAGAAAGTCGAGGGCATGTGAAGAAGTTGTGGAGCGCTTGCAAGGACAATGGAAATCTTCTCGGCCGGGCGGGCACAGCGGCATCCGAGGCCACCAACAATGCTCCGTCAACGACGATGGTCTGGGATGTCTCTTTTTCCAAAGGAGGCGCATTCGGAGCTCTGAGTCTGGAGACATTAGCTGGGCCGCCGAGTATATCGCAAGCTATGCCAACAACGTTCAGTCGCCAGCAACGTCGCATCGGCTACGTTGCCGCCCACTTAGACCCCGTCCCGTCCCACGTTCGCTCCGTCCCGTCTCCACAGGCGCGAAGAATGACAGATGCATTCCAAGTCTTCTACACAGTCCTTCGGACCTGATCCTGAGCAGTGGGAGATACAAATGAATGGTTGATAGTGTCGGCACTGAGGCAGTATGGCTACTCCGTACATCCGCCATCTCTGCAGTCTTCCTCTTGGTCTCCTTGAATACTCCCAGCCTCGGGAGCTTGCCATGCAGATACGCAGCTGGGGCTGCACGAAATACTCCTCTGCCCTTTCCCGACGGAGGGCCTCCAAAATAACCACCGACCTTGGCAATATGACAGCTCATCCTTCAGAAAATTCTAACCCCTGCGTGCGCATATAGAGGGTGATCACTTGTTCAATGGTAGACGGAGCCCGTTATTATCGCCTCATCCTTTGATCAAGGTCCACGATTGAGCCAACGTCAAAATTGACATCTCATCGATGTGGACATATGCCTTGGACCATGTCGCTCATTCGTACTTTACTGGTCGGCTCCGTCCTCGATGAGCCATGCCTGCGTTGATCAACCTGTCTAGTCTACCCCAGAGCGGCGGGAAGGCAAACAAGCACGACAGGGAGTGAGATGTTTGGCGCATACGGGATACGGATAGCCACAAATCGACATGGTTTGCGGCGTAATCTCCAACAACCAGCTGCAATCATTCTTTATGACTGCAGTTGTGCCTGATAAAACCGCCATCGTCATTGTACAACACGCTTCCTGCCCTCAACCGCCAATGAGGGCCAGTGAGTGTTGCGGCAAGCTGCAGAAACATGCTCGTGGCGCATCTCTCCAGCCAAGCTCGGCTCAAACATCCCCGCGAATTCAAACTCTGTCAGATCTTCCATGGCACCATGCGGGAGAGACACGTTTGCCATGAGCAGAATATTTTACAACACCTCACCCCCTTTGCCCCCAAGTTTTGATCATCGTGGACGTGTAGTCATCCGCTTGGGTCATCGACTGTGCTAGTACGCGGTACCGATATCCGTCATGTAATGACGCGAAGTCTGAGGCACAAAGCAAATTTAATTACACTCTCGGCATGCAAGCATCCATAACGCAGACAAACATACACTTGCCAAACATGTCACATTAGCTTCCCTCCGCTTGAGTCTTGACTGCTCTGGCCGCGAATCTTCTCAGTAACTACCACGGATTCTCCATCTGCTCACTTTATGGACTTCTCGTCCCTTGTACTCGCTGAATGGAACATCCAATCATCAAGAGTAGGCTTTGGTTCTTTAACACGCAGGCTTCTCCGATGGTTGAGCCAGATTCGCCCGCTCAGACCATCACGGATTCCACTCTGCATTCGCCCAGTAATCGGCCGAGAGAAAGAGGAGAAGGAGGAGCAGGAGGAGAGACAGAGGCGGAGAACGAAAGCAGACCACTCGCCCGTTCGCTTCTCTGCAGCCCACCTGCCGCCTGCGTTGCGCACCACAGATTCGCCCTTGTCGCGGCTTATGCAGGTGTCGTTTGAGCATTTGAGTGGATGAACCGGCTCGTCAATCGCCCTGCCACGCTTGGGTTTTTTCCCCCCATTACTCGCGAGCCCGCGGAGGTGTAGTATACTTGGAATACGCAGGAGGTGGTGGCCACGGAAAGACGCATAATGAAGGCTATTTAATTGGCTTCCCCTTAGGCCAGGTCTCCATTCGCAGGGAGGCGATGGCGATCTGCCATGATGGCGGATCACGATCATTGGACTGGCCTCGCAGAACCGAAGCAGAAGGAAGAAGGTTGAAAAAGTGTCTTCATGCTATGTAGTGTGACAGATCTAGATTCCGGAGCAGAAGCTACGCCCGGTCAATCACCACCACTGAATCTCCGGGTAGTGGTCAACGTCCGAACTAGACGCCAGGCGACGCAACCTGAACAGTGGTATTTTGGAGACGATGTGAACCACCATCTAGGTATGCATCTAGCAGACGGGCCGGGGATGAAACTCGACTGCATAATACCAGCCCAAGTGTGATCTGCAAGCGGGATGGTGATTGATGGTTCGATGTTGTTGGAGATCTTACTCCAAAGGCTAAGGCAAATACTCCGTGCCGCGATGAAATAAAGCACATCACGGGAAGCGAAGTCTGTGGGCAAAATGTTCATCAGACTTGCAGTTGAAGTTACCTTGACGAACCAGGGTAAAGGCGACTAAAACTTTCCGGGTCCACTGTCTCTCTCTATTTTATGCGACGCTGCCAGGAACCATCGGTACAATCCCGCGCCAGCATCGTGTCATATCATTTGACGGCCACGGACACGACGCCGAAGAGTGGGTGATGGTGGTGCAGAATTTTTTTTTTTTCTTTTCTTCCATTTGCTTCGCGTTCTGGCTCGGCTCCCTGCCTTGAGTCTCTGCGGTTTCCCTCCCCAGCCCCCATCCTGCTGCTGCGCCCATGTCTGGCTGGGTAAATTACAAACTGTCAGTCAAACTACGTCGAGACCAACGACGCGGGCCATGCAAACCAAGCAAGCGAGCTGAGCTGAGCAGAGCACCAACACATCGTTGCTGCAAGGTGAAGGTCTGAAGACGGAAAAATCGATAAAGGTTGGTGGTGGTTACCACACAAGACAGGGCCAGATTCATCTCGTCTGCGTCTCGTTTGGGGGACTGCGCCGCGGCCAACAAGACAAACTGCCGCTGCATCGATCGGTCAGGCGCCTTTTCGGCCCATTGATTTGCGAACTGGGACGGTGATGGCGGTGTCGAGTGAGAGCCAAATAAGTTGATCACCAGTCTATCGTCTGCGTGTCCAAACTCTTTTTTTCCCTGCTGTTTGGTCAGCTCGATGCCCCCTCCATTGTGTCGCGGGGGGGAGATAGATGGTCGTATTCCGGTTCCTATGGACAAATGAGATTTCCGGAAATGAGATTCCGGAACGAAGCCCAAAGGCTGGATGATAGATCTGAGGTCTGGATTGGATCGTCACAAAAACACCATGGCGAAAAACACCATCGCGTATTCTACTAGCGTTGAGGGAAATCGAATTGGGAGATTCCATAGGCGTGTCCGGCTCTTCGTATTTTCGGTTTCTTTCGGTTGCCTCCACGGGATCTACGAGTCCGAAGAGGTGATGAATCAACATACGTATCTAGTGTGCTAGTGCTGTCCTCTATTGAAATGTACGAGAGGGCCTATACCTCTCCCAGCCAAGGAGTCAACTCCTCTCGATCCCTCGCGTCGTCGTCGTGCGACGTGATAACTTATCCCACGCTTAGCCTCCTTCGCCGTCTCCTGCTCCCTCGGCCTCGTATCCCGTCACCAGCGTTCCACGAGATCTTGGAAGCTCTTTGAATTGAGCCACCCGCAGCGGGAAGCTGCCTTTGAACCGTATTCGTCCACGGATTTGCCTACATCCATACTTTGCATCGATTGTTTGGCGTGCTACTTGAAGTGCTTGATGAAGAACATCTCCTTCCTTTTTGGCTAATAATGTTGATTGCATGATTTTTGGTATCTTGTCATGGCCTGATGAGCTACTTTGACAACGCCTCTACTCCTTTTCCATGCTTGCTGAGGCCGTCATGGCATCGTCTTCCTTCTTCGTCTAAGCACTTCCGTCCCCGTCCCTGCCGCAACGTAGCTGACGGAGCAGCCATGGTGCAATGGCCAGTCGTAAGTTTTGCCTGCTATGTCCATCGCCCGTTGTAATCAACCGGCATGCGCGTATACTCATGCTTCTCATGTCCACATCGATGGCACCACGCCCTTGCCCTTCCGTCCGACGCCCCGCGCCTGTCCACGACCGCCGCCTCTGGGGGTCATACCGCCGCCCATCATCTCCATGGTCTGCTCATCGGTAGGAAACTCGGTAGATCGGAAGCCTTCGCCCTCCTTGAACATGGTAGTGTACAAAGTCGAGACAGATTGCGTCAGTTCGTACAAAGCCTTGGTACGATCGCTATCCGCGTCCGATTGAATCTCGAGAGTGCCGGCTTGCTGGTCAATCTTGCCCTGGATCTTGCCGTCAACAATGAGGAAACCTAGGATGTCTTGAACTTCGGGCTCTGAGATCTTCAGTTGCTTCGCGATCCATGACAGCTTCATTCGCGTGTACGGTGCAATCAGCTTCAGGACGCCCTTCGTCCTCATGTTGCGCGTGACTTCGTCAATGTTCTCAGCGATGAATGGGTCGGCGAGAATGTCTTGGTTCTTCTGCAGGACATTTTCGTAGGCGTGGACGTCGTCACGCTGGTATGCGTCCACCAAGTCCGTCATGGCAGTGATTCGGGGATCCTGCTTGTACGGCTTGGTCTCCTGCGAGTCGAACGGGTTGATGGTAGACTTGACAAGCATAGTCGTAAGAAGTAGGTACTTGAGCACCTGAATTCGCTGGAGCGAGCCGGCCTCATCGTAGTTGCGGAAGGATTCGAAGAAGTCCGTCTGGGCTTCGGCCCAATTCTCCTCGCTCATGTGCATCTTGCCACCGCATTCGCGAATGATGCCCATGATTTTGGGGTGAGGTACAGCGGACCGGACCTTGAGGGCGCGCTGGTAGAGCCTCTTCAGCTGCTTGTTGTTCTTGGTCTCGGCGTGCATCTGGATCTCGAGGGCGTATATCTCCATAGAATATGTGCCCTTGCTGGGATCGTCACTGCCGTCTTCCTTCTGACAGGCCTTGTGGAGGTCCCTCAGCTTCTTAGTGACCATGTTATAGTCCTTACGGTCGAGAAGGAGTTTGGCCAGCTTGATGTTCGTCTTCAGCCATAGCCTCTCGTTGTTTGTGCTCTGGAAGCTCTCGAGTGTGAGCGAGTAGAACTTTTCGACGCACGCCACGGCCTTGGGGCTGTCTGATCCCTTCTCAATGTAGTCCAGCATGTTATTGATCGACTTCTCGGAGTAGTTTCTCGTCACGGCCGACTTGACGTAGGTCAACAGCTCGGCATAATGTTCCGTCGCCTGGTACCGGAATCAGTATTTCCCTTCTATTGGTGGCAGGACTTTCTTCAAGAAATGGAGATTGGTTGTACCTTTTCATACTGTCCCAGCTTGAACTCGAGTTTGATGGCTTGCTTCAAGCCTTTGAAGCCCCATTCGCCCTTCTCTTCCTCTAACGGTGGTATGCCCAAGAATTCGGCAATAGCATCCTCGGGATCGGTAAGCTTCAGTTGCTTCGCATTGTAGTATTTGTTCTCGATGCCGACATCCCCGGAATCCTCATCGTCGTCTTCCTCGTACTCAAAGTCGTACCTGCGCCTAGTCAGTCTCGGCGGTTCCTGCTACAAAACCCAGAGTTGAGAGGCCCGTCTGGGGGAAGCTCACTGCTCCTCATCAGACTCCTGCATGAAGTCCTCGTCGTCAGACATCTTGACTGCGTGATGGAGTTGTGAGGTATCCGAAAAGGCGATCGCAAGAAGTGCGCTTTGGTGACTGGACTGGAGAAGAGCTATAGAAAAAGAGGTGGTGGAAGAAATTGTAGGTTTGTTCGTCGTTGGAAATTGAACGTGAAGGTAACGCTGATTGACAATGACCGGGACAGTTCCAGGCAGGTGCAGCTGTGGTGGACAATGGAATGAATGGAAGGCGGGGGGAGCTTATCGATTGGCGGACCCACCAACGGCCTCTGATTGCGCACTGGCCACCTGAACGGAGGCGACTTTTGGCTCCCATGGCTTTTTTGACTCGAACCCATCCGTGCCAGCCTTTTGACTTTCATCTGCCTAATCTCAACCTCCATCTCTCCCAACAACCTACATCTCCAACTGATCTCCACGCGACTCCCTTTCCGGCTTGGCCCATTCTCTAATAACTGTCGACGAATACTTCAGTACACTCGACTAAGCAGTCGGAAAGATGGGTGGCGATCTCAACTTGAAGAAGAGTTTCCACCCTTCTCTCATCAAGAACCAGGCCAAGGTCTGGGAAGAGGAACGCAAGGCCCTCGATGAGCGCAAGAAGACACAGCAGCGAATCAACGAGCTCAAGGAAGAGCGCGAGCGTGAAGAACTCCAGAAGAAGCTCGAGGCTGCAGGGCACACCAAACGAGTCGACCGCGTCGAGTTTTTGTACAGCGGACCTACCGATGGACAGACCGGCACGACCGAGGAGCGCGAGAGCTACCTCTTGGGCAAGCGCCGCATCGACAACTTGCTCAAGGGAACGGAACACAAGAACTTGGAGAAGCAAGCTGGGCAGGAGAGTTTTATGGCCCTACAGACGGCCAACACAGCACGCGACACAGCAGCCAAAGTTCGAGAAGACCCCCTACTCGCCATCAAGCGACAGGAGCAGGTTGCCTACGAAGCCATGATGAACGATCCTATCAAGCGTCGGCAATTACTTGCATCCATGGGTATGGCAGACGATAAATCAAAGTCGAAAGGAAAGGAGGAGCGGCACAAGAGAAGGCACCACAGGCATCGGAATGACGATGACGATCGGGAAAGGCACCGCAAGAGGCGGCGATCCTATTCAAGGTCACGAAGCCCGCGCCGTCGGAGAGACGACCACGACGAGGCAGAGCGCTCTGAAAGGCGGCGTCGACGCAGCGATTCCGAAGACAGGCATCACCAGCACAGACGCACTTCTAGATCCCGATCTCCTCGAAGACGCGACTCTGGCGAGAAGAACGATTACGATAGACGCGATCGACGCGACAGGCGTGACGACCGCGAACGGCGGCGCCGAGACTCAGTGTCCGAGGACGAACGACCCGTCAGGTCACGGGAGAGATCGCCACGAAGTTACGACAGGCGCGGCGACCGGGATGGAGAAGCTTCAGTTTCCCGGGGTCGCCGGAACAACGATAATCATCGGCAAGAGCCTGACAGACGACCTGCTGCCCGTACCAATGGATCCAGTAGTGGCAAAGAGGTCGTTGACAAGGGCGCTGAGGAGGAAAGGGCTCGCAAGTTGGCGGCGATGCAAGCAGCCGCTTCAGATCTCGACACAGATCGGGAGCGCCGACTAGCTGCGCTTGAAGAACGGGAGAACGCCGCGCGACAAGCCGATGATCAGGCGAGAGAACGATCATCCAAGTTTGGGGATAGGCAATTTGTGAACGGTCTGCATCGGAAGGCCGGCAACATGAGCCTCGGGGAGAGGATGGGCCGTAGTAGGCAGGGTCTGCAGAGGGACGATGACTGAGGGGTGAATGCGGTAGGACCGGCGAGACCTGGCCGAATCAAATCGAATACCACGCAAACTACCAGCTTGCGGGGCAAACCTGAAGAGGAGGTCGAGCATTCGCGGGGCAAAGGTCGAGCGCCAAAGAGCGGGCGCCGTGCGAGCCGACAGAACGGAGCTGGGTCGCAGTAGCCAGCGATCGCCTATGCATGGTCGGGCCCGGCGGGAGCGAAGTCGGGATGGGACGCTGCCGGAAGACGGAAGGAAGGGACGACGTGCTCAAGCGCGTCCATGGATTCGGCGCAAGAATGGGTCGAAAGCCTTAGTGCCACCGACTGCACGTCATGGATGGATTCTATGTAGAATGCGAGGCATGTTGCAGGTTGCACACACGGTGATGGAACGCTGCAACGGATACCCAAGACACGGTGACGAACGTTGCCGTTTAACGAACAAGTAGAAAAATTGAACAAAAATCGAATACTTCACGATACGGTGGCATGTCATCTGACGTAAGGCCCCGAGAGAAACAGCAAGTGAGCACTGACGATGGGATATCCGGGGTAACGGCACTCGGACTGGGTGCGGGAGGCGTCGCCGGGCACAACAAGGGGGGTTGAGGATCCGAAGCACGATGGAGCGGCGAACGGGCGCTTGGCGGAGGGGTGATGATGCGTCACGATTCTTGGCCGTGCCTCACTGTTCCGTTGCGCAAGGGTTGCGTTGTCAGTGAGGCTGACGATGCCAGCTGCCTTTGCCTCACTGATGGGGAAGGTCATGGAGTGATGAGGGGTAATGAGGGGCAGAATATGATCCCAGGATGCCTTCGGACACTGCAGTCAACTGAGGGTTCTCGCAGCCCTGCTTAATACCTTTAGGGAATAACAAGAACAATCGAACCGAATAGGACCAAAAGACCTTCACTTCGCACGGGGTAACCACGGGCCCGGCCTTTTGCCTCTAGGGTGATTGCTGTGGTGGGTTCGCCCACCTCTCTCGATCCGAAAAAAACAGGCGCCGCTCTCGGGGCTTCCAGCGAGTCGAGCTCCGGCGCTTTGTGGCGGGAGTGTCACTGGGATGAGTCTGCCACAAAGCGCGGTGCTTCCTTGGCTAGCGATGGAGTTTTTTGTCTGAGTAGTGGAGAGCGTTTGTTTTGACAGAGGTGGGTTTCGGATTTACTTCCTTGGTTCGTTGCAGTGTGGACTATGGACATGACGATGGGTGGGATGAGTGAGGGGCGCAGCGAGTCGTACAGCCCACGACAAGTAGAGGTTGAGCGGCGGGATTGATGAGGTGAAACCAGAGGATTGCGTATTCTGACTTCAAATTTTGGCCAGTATATTGAAACGGTGCGAGGGATACGGCCGTGATGGCTTCAGCATACATTGGAGCTGCATATTCGTATGTGAGTGAGACGGAGGTACAAGGTTTGTGTGGATAGAGGTCGGGGGATCTGGCGATGGATCGTGTCTGACTTTGGCGTTCTCGAAAGGTGCCGCAGCCGGGCGAAAGAGCGGAAGATAAGGTGGCCTAGGCTTACAGCGCAGCCGAGCTCCGGCGGAGGTTTCTGGCGTCCAGTACCGAACATAGATAGCCCTCGATGCCTTCCTATACGTGAGAACTTGGTGCCCCTCGTTGACCTTGTCTGCCCCATTCAGCTGTCTTACCAAGAACGGCCTTGACGGGAGTTGAGTTGAGGGGCTTCGGGGGTCCTCAAGCGCCACTCGGCCATGTTGTGGCAGGGGGGAGAGAGAAAAGCCTAAAGGCTAAGCTGGAAAAGCATTGGATCAATGATGCCGTTTTGGCGAGACCTCGTCGTCAGCCTCAGCTCAGCTCACATTGGACGCGCACTGGCCCATGCCCCGAGCCTCTTCATCTTCATGGCGTCCATCTTGGTGATTTGTGAGAGGAATATATCATGACTTTATTGGAGGTCGCGGGTACGTTCGGGACGAAGGGCAACTGATGGGTTCTTGGGAGGGATTTTCTTTTCTTTTCTCGCGCAGCTCAATCGGCTTTCCCTGTCGTGACATGTCTGCAGCTCGATAGTGAGTGCAGATGCGCGCAATTGTGTGGCGGGGAAGTCTCCACTCGTTCAAGTTGTTTCTTCCCAGTTCGCGTCTATGTACGGATATTTTAGCGTCTTCGTACACTTTCGGAGGCAGAAGTAGATGTCCGGACGCTGCAAACTGGAGTCGCAGCCCAAGTGATTGGTCTCCTGGTCGATAATGGAGCAAGAGTGTCAAGTTGGACAGGCAAGGTAGGTATCCGTAGAGTGTCCTCAAGTGTGCTCATAGCATTCTTTGGCAGAGGGGCCTCCGCAGCTCGGTGGAGGCGCTCAGTCAGTGACATTCATGAGGTTCCCCATTCCGGTCCTTGTGGATTCGTCAAAGTGTACCGAGTACTGACTACTGAGTGACGAGCGACGGAGTACGCAATCACGCAGCCTCCCTGCGCTGGTCCCCTTTTCTGCTCTGATCGGGCTGGCGCTGAAGTACCTATATCCCCATGGAGGAAGAGGAAGAAGAAGATGATGATGATGATAGTACCTACCTGGTAGTTCAATGTTTTTCCCACACAGAGCAAAAGGTTTCTTAGGTAACAGCTTGGGAAGGTGCCCATCTTCAAAGTCCCAGTGGCTCCTGCCTGTCCCTAAGGTACCTTATCCAGCTGGTTGGCTTCCTTCCTCCATTTCCAGCCCAGCGCCAAAAGGCAATGAGTGTTGTGTTCCTCCGTCTCCTTTCCTCCTAGGCTCACCCCGGCAAGAGGTGCCTGACCCTGTCCGCTATTGCTCTTTTCTACTCCATTGAGTGGCCCTCTGACATGACTTCAGCCAATTGAGCACCGCACCTTCTTCCAACCCAATTTCAATTTCCCGCTCCTGCATCTTTTGCTCACCCCAAATTCACACTTGCACCTTTTACCTCATTTTGGTCTCCAGTGCCTGCCTCCTTCTCCCATTTGTTTCTTCCCATCTGCCTTCCCTGCCTGCCTTCTCTCTGCCTCACATCACAGTCACAGCCATCCCCTAAGCCACTCCGCTTTGCCTGGCACTTTCCTCTCCAGCAAAAAGAGGCACTGTTGCACTGCATCTACGGAAAGAGCACTGGACCTTGGACCTTCCTTGCTCTTTTTGTTCCCCACCGTTCCCTTCCATTATTCCTATTCCTGCTCCTGCACCTGCACCTGCACCTGTACCTGGACCGCACCGTACCGTGCCTTCCTTCCTGCGTTACCATCAATTTACCTCCCTTCCACTTTCAGTGGCAGTTACCCCAAAGTCCATCGGCCTTTCTTTGTCCGTTTCCTTTCACCACCACATCGCGCACCAACCAGCCGTGCCAACCCACCTCCAAACAATAACCCAGAACCCTCTCTGGCACCTTCCCCTTGCTGATTGACCGACGAACCACGAACTCTCCTCCAGATTCCTCCTACTGGCCGACTGCATCCTTTTTTGCTTTCCACAAACAACCAAGCAAACCGATCTCGTACAGCACCGCTCCGACTCGCCTCACCTCGATCAACCCTCCCTAACCAACTTCCTACAACCCGACCGAATCTACCTCCTTCAGATCGCCCAGTATGCCTTTGTGCGGTGGTAACAAGACCGTCCAGCGCAAGCTGGTCCTCCTGTGAGACCTCCCCGACCTTCTCTTTGTGCTGCCTCCTTGGTGGCTGCGATTGCGAGTGTTTGGCTAATTGACTTGCGACCTGCAGTGGCGATGGCGCGTGCGGCAAGACATCGTTGTTGAACGTCTTTACCAGAGGGTAATTCCAACACCATTTCCTTCAACCCTCGAGCCTTAAGGCCCGGCCTTTTCCGGGCTTCCGATTGCGCATCTCTTGCTGACTCGACCTAGCTACTTCCCGACCGTCTACGAGCCCACTGTATTCGAGAACTACGTCCATGGTACGATCCCTCGATTCCCAGCGAAAGGCACCGAGTCGCAAGACGCCTCTGTCGCGATCCTCCCTATGCCGATTTAAATACTGACCTGAGATTGCTAGACATCTTCGTCGATAGTGTCCACATCGAGCTTTCCCTCTGGGATACCGCTGGCCAGGAAGAGTTCGACCGCCTTCGCAGCTTGTCTTACGGTACGGGATTCTAATATTGGGTGGTTTGAGAGGTTGCGTGCTAATTAGGCGCAGACGATACCGACCTCATCATGCTCTGCTACAGCGTCGACAGCAAGGACTCCCTCGAGAACGTCGAGAGCAAGTGGGTTGGAGAGATCGCCGACAACTGCCCCGGCGTGAAGTTGGTTCTCGTCGCCCTAAAGTGCGATCTCCGCGAGGCCGATAATGAGGAAGAGGAGGCCGCCGAGGGCCAGCAGCGAGAGAAGCGTCCTATGATCTCTTACGAGCAGGGCTTGGAGGTCGCTCGCCGCATCAATGCCCTCCGCTACCTCGAGTGTTCTGCCATGCGCAACCGCGGTGTCAACGAGGCCTTCACCGAGGCCGCTCGCGTCGCCCTCAGCGTCAAGAAGGATCGCGAAGAGTCTCAGTGCATCATCATGTGAGAAACATCACCTTGGTGCATCCGATCCTTGCCATGATCGTTCTTCATCTTCTTACGACCACGATCGAACGAGCGGCCCTTGTTTCGAACGGATTCGAATTCCATTTTTTCAGTGTTTGGCACTTGGAAGGCGTCGGCGTTCCTACGGATTGGACCTTTCAACCTCGACTTGCATCTCGGCCTTTACCCTATGTCTTTTTATTGCAGCCCGTCCAGCTCCTTGGGCAGACGCGACCTTTTTCCCTTTCACTTCGGCGGCTATCTACGGATTGTGTCGCCAACATGAGTTCTTGATACCTTTGGGCACTGACCACTTTTGAGAAAAAATGTAAATACCCGTTTCACTTCACAATGCACATACAGGGTTGGAGGGTCAGGTTTCATTCCCTTTGTCGCTTTCGGTCTTCAGCGCATCCGCAGAAGGACAGCACGGCCGGAGGAACGGCGTGCTCGGCAGGTGGCAGGTGGACGGCATGTGGTATTGGTTCAGGGTACTAGAAATCTCGGATGAAAGCTCAACAGCAGCAGTCAGTTGGGTTCTGGTCTTTTTTGCCATTAGCCTACTCTCAAGCAAGCGAGAAAAGTTGTCACTAGATGGATGACCCCTAATGAACTCTGTCACTACGCCCAAAGTCTTTGAAATCAGGAAACTCCTAAACATTCACCACCTTGCCCTCAATGAATCGAACTTGGAGTTGCGGTCCATGTATCAGAAGGCGTCGCGTCACGGATCGGCGCCTTGAGTAAGAAATATCGGAGAATCTGATCGCTAGGGCAGCAAGGAATCTGACGCTGCAGATTCTCGTGTCCGCTCCGGTTAGAGCCAGAGGATGAGGGGAGGAATGAGTGGTGTTGACCGGGTGTCAAGGCTGAGAATTTGCGAGGGGGTGTTCCGGGAACACCCCCGATCCGTGCTTACTCTTTCGGAGCTGAGTAGATTCTCCGGTTACGGTCGGACTGGAGAACTGGAGAATGGCGGGCAGATCATGGAGGGGTCTTGTCAGCCTGTCAGCACTGTCAACCATGGCCTCAGACCTTTTCCTGTCGGCAGAGGTTTGTCTATCTAGTTTGACGAAACTGTTCGTTGGTGGCTCTCAAATGAAATTGGTTGGAAGTAAAACGCTTTCATGGAAATTGCAGCATCGATAGTTTTGCGTCACAAACATTGACTCGGTGTTGTGTTCGTCAAATAGTTTATTTTTCAACATGTTATACAGGTAACGTTTGCGTTTCCGAATCGTCGCTCATGCGTGTATAGTAGTAATACATAGTGTGAAATCTTTTGTTTCGCTCTCCCAACTCCGTATTGTTCAACGTACGCCATGATCCAGATCATGAGCTCATAAATACAAAAGAAATGCTGCTGAGTTCCTCTCAACCACACCACTCATGTTTGTGACCTTAGTCTCCGTGACGTCCCAAAGCCTTGCCACGCTTGGAAACCTCGCGGGCATGGTACTGCTTGATCTTGGCCCGTCTAGCCTCCTCCTTGGCCTCCTCCTCAAGCCTACGCACATCGGCCCTCGCAGCAGCAACGCTCTCCCGCGCAGCCATGAGCGCGCGGTCAGCCTCCTTCTCAGCCGCTTCGGCGCCCATGACGCGCTCACGCGCCTGCACGATGCTGGGGTCCATCTCTACGCCTCCGCCGCCAAACTTGTGCAGCAGACCGCCCCGGCGACCGGATGACGCGTCCGTGGAGCGGCGAAAGAGGCCGCCTCCGCCGGCGTGGTGGCCATCAGGGGAGGTGTGGTAGGTCGTTGACGACAGAGAGGAGTGGGAGGTCGCGGAGGTGCGGGATGTGCGGGCTGTCGGCGTGGGGGAGGGGTCACGGCGAGAGGAGCCGAAGAGGCCGTGCTTGCGGGGCGCGGGCTCGGCGACGGGCTGGTGGTGGATTGGCTCCGGAGAAGGGTCCCGGCGAGAGCCAAAGAAGCCGGTGCGGCGTGGCTCTGAGGGGGGTGGGGTCAGCTCCCGAACTGGTTCGGGAGAGGGTTCGCGACGGCCGCCTCCGAAGAATGGCATTTTGAGAGTATGGAGGTTTTGTGATGGAAGGGATATAATTTGCTAGGATGATTTGGCGAAAGGCTTGTTTTCGCCTACAAGGTTGTCAAGTGTGGTTGGTGGTGTGGGTGCTTCTGTTTATGAAGGCTTGGGATGCTGGATAAGACGGAACACAAGACTCTGGGCGGGAGGAGCATGGAGGTTATATCTATCTCTCTCCTCCTATCTCATACCCTTTCCCCTGATCCTCCCTCTTCCTCATCCTCATTCGTGACATTATGGCTCTCCTACTGCTGTGACCTGTTACAGCTCACCGCAAGGTACCTTACGTCGCTTGGGCGGACGCCCGTGCCGAGACCCTGGCTGCAGACATTGTTGGCAGGCTGGCATGGTTGATGCTGCACAATGATGCCAAGATGGTCATTTAGATGCCCTCCGTCCGTCACTCATTCCTGCTCCGCGAAGGAAAGCTAACTGTTAGAGCCGATTGAAACGCCGTTTGGCGGGTTGGGTGGTTGGGTGCCGTGCGACTCCAAACCTGTTTGTCGGTGATCTGCGCTCCAAGATCACCGTCCTCGGTGACGTCAAAAGTTGGCAAGGGAAGGCTGCAGTGCAGGGGTCGAGGTGTTGCCAGTCAGCCAATGAGAGGCTGATGATGACGACGGACTAACCTCTTGTGGAAGGACCCCTAGATTCTTTCCTCCAGGTCACGCAGGGTCTTGTTCAGAAATGTCTTGCCCTTCCGTTCCCCGAGACCCTGATCTGTTTGGTAATGAGCAGGTAGAGTGATGCAAAGTCGACAGGGGAGGACAATCTCGATCATGACATCTCATATCTTTGGTAAGACGGCGCGTTTAATCTAGCCTCTAAACGCCAAGGAGACTGTGCTGCGATGCAAGGGGTCATTCTGGGTGACGAGATGGCGGAAGCACCAGAATTCGGCTAACGGCGTGTGTGACGGTCGTGTGCCCATCGGTTTTGATGAGCTGGCGCTCGTTCACAGACCAAGACTCGATTGTGGTCCCAACGGTGCGAGACACTATTGATGGAGGCTAGGGATGACCGTTGACGTTGTGGCTTGCCCTGCAGTGCTATGGTTTACCGATGGCTGTTATCGCGAATCTTTCACACTGAAATCGAGAAGCACAGCGGTTTAGCAATGAAATAGTAGGTGGGGATTCTGCGCTGGCATCCAAGTGATCCTGAAAGATGGTCAAAAGACTTGATCGTAGAACTCGCGAATCTTGAATCCGGGCATGTGGGTTACGTCCGGGGTGGGCCATTCTTGGTTGGACCCAGGCGCAGAGCGGACGATGCAGCATGTTAGCCATGTTAGCCATGCAAGCTATCCTATGAAGCTTGATTAGGAATGGGTTGTGGGGAAGTCTTCGTTTAAACAAGGACAGGTTGAGAGTCCATTTCTGTCTGATTGACTGTTCATGCACTAGAGTATCATTGAAGACCCCGTATTTGGCTCACCGGAGTGTGCCGAAATGTCACAGAAGACACGGTCGAGAGCCCGTGGCGGTGGCTTGGTCTATAAATTCAAGATTTGGTCTCGGCAGATTTGAAGCGAGATGAATTGATCATGTCGTCTCAGCGGAGCATGACATACGCTGAGACGACTTGCATAGCCAGCCTTTCTACATCACACTTTGATGAGATGCTGCTGCTATCTGTGGCACATGTTTGCCCATCAGTAGACAGCGACCTCATCACATTTTGCCTCTGCCTCTGGTAATGTTAAATGGTGGCCTTAAGCCCATCATTCTTGCCAAGTTGGATGGAAAGACCCTATGACCCTACATGGCGCGTAACAATTCGTTCGCTAACGCGAATTCCCAATTTGACGAGGAGAAAGCTGTTATGCGGTACTTCGGTCAAGGTTCACAGCTATCACGTATTGTATGCATATATCAAACAGGAGCGGCACCAGGGCGACCGTAACCTTCAGAAGTGCACGTATGTACGTAAATCAGTCTTGGGGTGGCAGTCAGTGAGCCCTGAGAGTTTCCCTGGAGACGGATGTGTACAAGCCAACAACTACACTGACTAGTCTCAGTTGAAACGTCGGGTTGGCCCTTGAGAAACACTGAGAAACACACAAAACCAACCTCACTAATCTTGCCGGATGATGAATCTCATCGAGCGTCTGTCTTGAGAGGTTACGTTTGGCGATACTTGAACCTATAGCAGATTCTCTTGTTCTGGGTGAATGGCCTGCGCGTTTCTGGGGCAGGCAACTCGATCACTTCTCCGGATCGCGTTACCCCTGAGCATTTGGGCTCGCATTCTGCAATGAGACTTTCCCACGAGGGAGGGATCTATTCTGCTGACAGTCTACGGCTTAGACGGATATCTAAATTATGACTTGACGCCCTTCTCCAGCTTGCTCTCAACCGGCTCATTGCTGGCCCAGCCCATCCAGGCGACGGCAATGATGAACTTGACTCCCCCAGAAATCCAAAGAGCTCCAGGCATGCCAGCCCGACTTCTCTGCAACCAGCCACCAATGATACCTCCAAGAACAAGCAAAACAACAGCCAAGAACCTCCTGTTCCTCTTGGGGTTTTCCTTCAGGGGTGCGAAGAGCTTGGGGTCGGAGAGGAGATCACAGTAGACGCTGGTCAGGACGTTGGTAGGAACTTCGTTGTATCCCAGAATCCTGCTCGTCACAATCTGTCCGCCAAACTGGAAGGCCAGAAGCGCAAGGGGTACCATCACAAGAGGGTTTTCAGAGGTCTTGAATTCGTGATTCGAGTCGGAGCCTTGCACCGAGGCTTTTCCAAAGTCGGCGATGAGACGTGTCTGAGCAAAGGCGGCGGCGAGGAAGACGAGAGACGACTGAAGAAGGAACGATAGGGCGAGAGTGCTTCTGCGCTTGGGATGGATGTGTCTCGATTTGGAGAAGAAGAAGCACCCAAGCCAGAACGCGGCGATGGAGCTGAGGGACTTGAGCCAGAGGAGAGGCTCGCCAGCCGGAAGCTTCGAGGCGCCAAGAGCCATGAAGATGGTGTTTCCTTGAAACAGGTCAGTATCGCATGTTGCTTCCCCTGCCTGATAGCTAGATTCTTACCTGTTTGCATACTGACGAAGACACCAGCTGCATTCACTGCTACACTGTCGCACAAGCCGGACACCAGACAGCAAGCGAGGACTGGGATATCGGTATAGCGGATGTTGACATCATCACGGAGCCAGTCACCGAAGCTGCGCCGCTGAGCTTCATTCCTTGGTTGTTCATTTCCGGCATCGGTGTCGGACGAGTCTGCGACTTGCAGACCACTTTGCGCGCTCATGTCGGCTGCTTTGATGGCTTTACGAACGTTGAGTGAAGGCGTGAAGGGTGAATTCGAGGCTCGACAGGGAGATGACTCAGTCAGGAGCCAGGAGTCAGCCCAGTATTTGAGAAAACAACAGCTGAAAATTTCATGGGCTCATCCCGCAGACCTTGTCTGGGGTTGGGATTGCGTTATCGCATCTAAGCATGTCGTTGCAGGGCGGTTTGCACCACTATTACGTCTCGGGTAAGCGTCCATTCTTGAGAGAACCCACCGCCGCGTAATCGGGAGCGGACTGGGCTGCCGAAAATCACGTTTGTTTGGTGAAGTTCGGGGACGATGTGGGTTTTGGCACGGATAGATTGCCGAAATTGGTGTTGGCATTGTGCATACTAAGAAAGAGCATGTCTTTAAGTCAACCTCCAGAGTTCTTGGATCGTTGGTGAGCTGGAGTCTCGTTACTGCAGCTTCTTGACGCGAGTGAGGGTTTGAGTGATAGTGTGATTCAGACAATGTCTCGTTGTGGCTTGACTTAGGTTGACGAGCGATATCGGTCTAGCCAAGCTGTACATATATCACTGTATCACGCGGTGACCGAACAAGGCGGAAAATCTTGTGTTTTAGCGGTTGCTTTGTCATTTAAGGATGTGGGTCTCTCGGCCGGCCCTGACCCGGACGCCTGGGCCCGCCATGCGCCGAATACCCGATGAATTGCCTTTACCTTAGCAGCCTTACTCATCTCACTTTGTTCACCTTATTTCCCACCTTACTCACTCACCTTACTTTGTCCTCATGCTCCTTGTCTCACTCATTTTCCGCAAACCTTCGACGCTTCCATGATTGAAGTTTCGCAAACAACTCAGCACGTTGACGAACACTATTACAGTGTTTCCCACCAAACGGGTCGCAGCAGTAACAAGACACTACGATTGCTCATTTGCGGATGAAAATCATCGCCATCAGTGACCCACAGCGACCGAGTCGCTCAGGTCAGATCTCAAGCCTGTAGATCCCAATTGACACGACACCACAGCTCACGACGCCAATCCCGCCTCAACTATTCCGCGACTGCGCTTCTCTCGCTCATCTTGAGTCGTCAGTAGACGCTTGGCTCTGCTACTCACGAGAAGCTCCATCGCTCTACAACCATCATCATTTCGGATCACAGCTGCAGCAGATCTCGCTAGGCGTCTCTCTTGAGGTTAAGCATTAGTAACCCGCTGTTGCAGTCTCGAGTCAGGCCCGGAAGCTGGCTTGTAGAGGACGATAATTCTTGTCATTGATCAACAAACAGGATGCTAGCAACAACCAAACTCGGTCGTGTTTTTTGGAGAACAATGCTCGAAAGCTGGAGAAGTCCTATCACTCACCGTGCGGATACCGAATTGACCGCAAAGTCGTGAGTATCGGGAACCTAACGCCTTTCCAACCCTCATTTGCCATTTGCAGCCACAACTATCTTTTCAAATGCGGCTTGAAATCACACAACACCACTGCAAGCCGTACCCGACTGCTTGGCAGATGTTGTTTCATGCTTCCAGCTTGGGCAGGTGCCTTGAGATTTACGCGACGGCGGTGTGATCGCCGACTCCTGAAGCGGGCCCTCTTTGGTATCACCTAACACGGGTATTCGCATGGCCATCCATACCCTGAAGTTTGAACTATCAAGAGGCCTTCGATGCGCGCATTCGCTTGCTTCAGTATCACGAAAGTGCCCGGAAGCGCACCCAAACGCGGACCGCGGCCTCTTCGCAATACCTTATACTTGATCGCTTTTCCAACCGCCCATGACGCTGTTCACCAGATCGCCACAGCCGTTTCCCCCGGCCCAAGGTGCCATTTCTCCTCCGGCCGGCCCACTAACAATCTCGGGATAATCTTGAGAGTTTCCCAGTCGGTCGCTTGACCGTTTGGCGAATGTCGAACAATTTCCTTTCTGATAACCTTGCACTGCTGGTGCCACAACGAACCGGGCCCTAGAATGCTGCTCGCCTCTGGTTCGACCGATAGTTGTAACGCTAATCCTGGTTGGCGCTGGTGCGGAAACGCTGCCCGTTGCAGATGCGACTCCAAGAACCCAAAGAGGAGAAAGAGACATTGGCACCCCCTTTAATCAACATGCTGCTTGCCACGCGCCCGGCATCCCCTGGCTTGTCTTGCATCTGTCTCTCCGCTTTGCCCACGTTGAGATGAGGTTGCCTCCTATCATTGCTCTCCGTTTGATTGAGTCCCTAACTCAATTCCCGAGTCTGTGCTTTCGGCTTCTTCCCATGCGTGCCATTTGCCTCCATCTGAAAGGCGAACGCCAACACCCATATCCACACTCATTCCCAGCTTTTGAATTCTTGGATTTTGAACCCCACCATCGCCATTCCTTTCGACATTCCACCAGAGGTTAACTTTCTCTCCCTCTGTTCCAACAGCCCGGTCTGTGTCTGCGACGTTGAGCCTGGTGAATTCGTCCGTCTCAGACAGCATACACTCCTTGTCTCTCACTCTTGTCACTCTCTTGTTATAAAGAAGACCTCACCGCTGGCGCGCCGTGTTCTGCGGACTTCTGGCGATACTAAACGTGTCGCAAACGTCCCAAACCGCTCATTTCGACAACTGTTCGTCCTTGCGGAAGTCCAATTGGATCATTTTGCATTCACACTCCCTCACAATGCTGTCTCAATACACTCTTTCGGCACTGGCGGTGCTGGCATCGCTTGCCCAACCCGCGGTCGCTCAAGTCTCGACGAAATGTAATCCGATGAACACGACCTGTCCTGCCGACCCGGCTTTTGGCATGGACTACAACTTCAACTTCAACTCTACTCCCTCGACTGATGCCTGGGAAACCACTGTTGGCCCTGTTACGTACACCTCGGACAATGGCGCGGAATTCACGATTAGCAAGCAAGGCGACTCTCCGACAATTCGATCCAAGTTTTACTTCTTCTGGGGCCGTACCGAGATCCACATGAGGGCCGCCAAGGGAAAGGGCATTGTGAGCTCTATGATGTGGCTCAGCGACACCTTGGACGAGGTTGATTGGGAATTCCTTGGAATAAAGAACGACGCCTTGAGCAACTTTTTCGGCAAAGGTGTTCAGGACTGGCACAACGGTGCCGAGCACCCTGTGACGGGTAGCATCCAGGACGACTTCCACAACTACACCTGCGTGTGGACCAAGGAGAAGCTCGAGTGGTGGGTTGACGGCAACAACGTTCGCACTCTTCTCCCCAAGGACGCCAACAACTCCCTGGCCTATCCCCAGACTCCCATGCGCCTCAGTCTCGGTATCTGGGCTGGTGGAGATCCCCGCATGGCTGCGGGTACTAGAGAATGGGCTGGAGGTGACACCGATTACGCCGCCGGACCGTACACCATGTATGTCAAGTCTGCGCAGGTGACGGACTACAGCTCCGGAAAGGAGTACTCTTTTGGCGACAAGACGGGCTCTTGGGAGAGCATCAAGATTGCTGCGTAAGTTACGCTCATTGAACTGCTGCATTATAACCGAGCTCGTGCTAACCTCAAATCTCAGCGGCAACTCAACTGTCAAGGAAGCTCTTCTGGAGGAACCTAGCAAGTCTGTGAGCGAAAAGTTCAACGAGCTCAGCCCAACAGCCAAAACGGCTGTATATGCTGGAGGTGTCGGCGTAGGCTGTGCTCTGATTGCCTTTGGTCTCTGGTACTTCATCCGTCAGCGTAGACGTGGTGCTAACGAGGCAAGCCTTGCCGCCAAGAGAGCCGAGGAAGAGCGTCTGGAGCTTGAGGGCTTCCACAAGCGCGGCGTCGACCCTGACTCGTTTGCTGGCGCGACAGGCACCGAGTACAATGCTGGCGCATTCAGCAAGAACGGCATGGTCCAGGAGAACACCTACAGCATCCCGGCATCTCAGGAAAAGGGCGCGTGGGGTGTCGCACCCATGGCCGCGGGCGCCGCTGGGGTTGGTGCTGCAGCTGGCATGCGATCATATAGCGACAACCCGAATGGCCACGGCCAGCTCATGTCTCCCTTGCGTACCCAAAGCCCTGGAATGCCGCCTTCGGGTCCCCTGCCTATGGCCCCAAGCCGTAGCGCATCGCAAGGAGGTTACTCTCGCCTCGGCTCACCTGACGGCCAACAAAGCCCTCCCCCGCCGATGAGCCCGCCTTCACACGGATATAGCGACCATGGATTCGGCGCGCAGCAAGGCTACAATAATGGCGGTTATGGAGGCGCGAATCAGGGATACTTCAACAACGGTGGCGCCCAGGGAGGTTTCCGGTAGCGCCGATGCCCACTCATTTTTTTTCCTAACGTCCTATCATTCTTTCCGCCAACGCGCTTGCGGCCTTCTTGTATTTGTTTCCAGCTATCTTGCATGAATATCCGAGCGATTTCCTTTTCTTTTCTTATCTTGAGCGGATGATATGATAGGGAGGTAAAGAAAGAAAGCCCTCGATGGGGTTTGAGATGTACATCACCGGTGCCAAGATATCCTCTATGTGTCTCGCCCCTTGAGCAAGGGGGCTAACGAGTTTCAATAAATGACATACCCGACTACCAGCTCCCTCGAAATCCTGTCTCCGCTGTTTCTAGTTTAGTGAAACTTCCCCGGATCGCGATGGCGTGTGAACAGCCTCGCTGCGGACCACGAGGTAGATCGCTTCAGCTGGTCTGTTCGTGAACCGGTTCGCATGAAGTTTGCTCACGTCGATCACCAGGAACGGCAGTTCTTGCCTCGCAGCAGGGTGTTGGTGGAAACGTTCATGCAAGCCTCATGGAAGCGTTCAATGCCATGACTCCTTGGCAAAGCCTGCTTGTTCATTCATTGGTCAACCTTAATTTCACTTCACAATCTCATAAGCCAGATCGACTGTTCGTGGTTCAAAAGCTGCCCAAGTCATTCTTCGCGCCGATGAGAAGTTCAGGCGATCCACGTTGGAGAAGCTTAATTCGCAGCAAACTTATCGACAGGAATGTGAGGAGATTAAATAACCTCTGTCTCCCAAACAAGCAGTGGTTCATGCCAGAAGCACAACATCAGCGCGGGACGCAACAATTTGCTCAAGGTCCAGACCAATGCTAGAAGCCGAAACATTTGTGCGAGGGTGCAAAGTGTTTGGTTTATAACTCTCAACGCATACCAGACGAACTGAACTTTGCCCAATCTTGAATCAATCGAACAGCTGTGCTGTGCTCTCCATATTGTGAGTGTGGTTCGTGCTGACAACTGTGCAGTCACAGTGTAGCGCAGGGCTCGCGTCGAGGCTTTGAATTGACTGTGCGCCGCAGATGCAGGATATCATTCCAAGCTACGACCTTGTTCCCATAAGGTTCAAGACCTCATAATGAAAACAATTCCGAACACCTCCTTTACCGAATAGTCATATATTGAGATTACGTTTGGGATGCTGGTCAGTTTGCATGCGGAGCTCTCGGGATTCGCAAAAGGTCGGGGACTATCCCGTGACGCTGATCAGGAAGACAAGTCGAGTGAGCGGCTGAATAGACGCGTGTCAGACGAGACTTACCCGTCAGACAATTTCATACACTATTCATTTACGGGGATTGAACTCGATCTCACGCGATGATCTGCCACCGAAGCCCTGATCAAAGACAGCCTCGAGGGTACTTGGACAGCATATACAAAGTCGAGCTCGCCTTTTGGGGCTAGCGGGAGATGAACAGAGTCTATCTCCCATGAACCTTCCACCCAGGAAATACAATGGCTTAATGGGCAAGGTTTGCGGTTTCTGAGGCGTGCAATGTTTGCCGTCACCTTTGACGAAGTCCAATCAGAGGGACGGAGCGGCACTTATCGGGTCTCCCCGGGCGCCGACTATGATAGCTGAAATGTTTCTTCACATTAGTCTGCACAGCAGTTGAGTTGAAACTTGGCATGATGCAGGAAAGCTCGGGTATAGCAAGGGACCTCGCGGATACGGTCCAATGCAAGATGGGTTATCCACCTGGGGGGTAGAAGAGATCCTGTGACCTCTCCATCTTGAAGATTCAACAGTTAATGAAGCAATAACGTTAGTTGATGGCTGGACTATGCTTGAGCATCGCTCGGAGAAACGACCTGGTTGTCGGGTATGGCAGTGACTTGATCCTACCTTAGTACGTGGAAAAAGGTACCAGAAACTTACACATTTGCTGCTTGGGAGCGCATTATCACCCATCCTTATTCGGAAGACCTGCCGGACTGCCAAGGGTCGATCCCAAGTTGAGGATTTCCGAAATGGAATCAAGCCGCCTTGCTCAGCTTAGCTAGAAAGTTTCGACTCTTCCGAACTGTAGAGGTTGCAACCATTTTATGCTTGCACCATGCGACCATTTCCCCCGTTTACAGCTTGAATAGAGTTAGATGGCACACCATCAAGCGTAGCAAGCCAAACGTGGAGGCATGAACTTCTGGTTCATTTGCCAGGAATCCTGGACAACTTTCACGAACATGGTAGTACAACCGGCAAGCTGCCGTTAGACCTTTGCCTAACACATGCCATCTCTGTAGGGCACCTCTGCTCTTGATACTCCGCCAGTTCGTGAATGACAGTCACCAAACCCACGACGCATACTGATTGCAGCTCATCCGATCTGTGGGACACAACTCAGGATGCCTCGGAGCAAAGCCGATCGAGGTAGCTTGCTGAAAGCTGCACAGCTTAGGTAGCTCTTTACGGATGCGTCGGAGAAATGGACACCCTTGGATGCCAGAGGGATAAACAACGTTTGAGTATGTCGACGAACTAGATCCGGTGCAATGCGAGCGCCAACAGTCCATTGAGTGCTCGGCAGGCGACGTTTCACGGGAAAGATGAACTACAGCTCAAGTGATCCCAGACTATAAAGAACGGCATCACCCCCCGTGAGATATTGTCTTCTTTTCTCTTCATCAGACAGACAAGACAACAATCAGTTCAAGCTCAGGATACCCTTCCAGTTATACCCACCTTTGGTTTTGGATACCAGCACTTGCGGTTCGCTTAGATCGTCAGCATGCTCTACTCAAAGCTTTTCGTTGCCGCCCTCAACGGCATCAGCTGCGTCGCGGCTATGCCCGCTGAGCAGCCTGCCGAGCTGGCCAAGGCAGAGGCGTTTCCCCGTGGCGAATGCCGCGATGAACGCGACGAACTTTACTGCGGCCGCAGTGTCAAGGAGTTTACTCGCTACGGTAAATTATTTCAACGCATCGTGAGACTGGCCTCAGTCAGCTTTGCTAATGGAGCTTGTAGATGCGAAGAACAGGCTCTGCTTCGCGAATGACGGAGGCAACAGGCTCTTCTGCGCAATTCGTGAGCAACAGGAGCTGGCTATCGAGCTGGCTCGCGAATTCGACAGAATCACACGATGCGAGATCGATCAGTACTATGGCTACAGAGAGCGCCGCTGCGAATGCTACCGTCGCCGCGATGGAGACCGTGGCGGCAGAGGCCGCGAATGCCGCGATGGCGATCGTGATGGCGACAGACGCGGCGGCCGTGATGGTGAACGCGATGGTGACCGAGGCCGTGGTGGTCGTGATGGTGACCGTGGCCGCGATGACCACGACCCCAATTGCAAGGGCGATGACCTTGCTTTCTGCGCGGCTAGTGAGGACTTGATCATTACCTATGGTAAGTTAAACATGCTTCAATGTTGGTTCAATCAGGCAAAATGATAACATTCGTACAGAGCGTGGCGCCGAGATTTGCGACAGAAACCGTGGCAACTACGTCTTCTGCGCCAACCGGGAGCGCGGTGCTGCCCGCGACAAGGCCAGAGATCACTTCCGCGACCGCAACAAGAAGCAGGCCTAGGTCTTCCTTTTCCTAATGTGCTTCTCATCTAGAGCATACAGCTGGTATCAACTGAACCAACTTGGGTGTGCAGGTTGGGGAGGGTTTACTGAGCCAAGTCGAGTCTAATGGAATGTTTAGTCTGTAATCTGTATTTCGTATATTGGATTAATTAGTGTGGAAACGACAGAGAGTGGAATGGAATTGTTAGCCTTTGAATATGGAACCGTGACGTGTTTGTCTGCTAAGCCTGCCAATATTCGCTCTGGGAGATCCGATCAATTTTTTGAGCTTTCACATCTAAAGGAATGTCTTGCGCCGCCTGCATAATTCCTGCATTCTAATCTTAACGTGATACTGACCTTTGAAGATGGAGGATACTTGTCTGCGATTATAGGACCACAAACGATTATGAATGCCTAGGTAGGCATGGTCGATCGCTGTCTTCTAGTGGCCGACATACGCTTGCAGATGATCTACTCATTTGATTTTCGCTTTAAAATAAAGTGAATAATATGCTTCAGAGTTGCAGAAATGTGAGATAATTGAATGATCAATATTTGAGCTGTAAGAAAGCACACTTCTAATCAGTTCTTAGCCTGCTTTGTTCATTAAGCAACTTTAGGAAACCAGAGCGTTGTTGGCTGCGGACCAATTGCAGTCCTTTCGTCTCGACTTTCCTTCCTAAAGTACGGCTCGACATTCCTTCCCGAGCTACAAGAGCCCGAATTGTGGAGACAGTCTCGGCTGCAGGGCTACTAATGCGGGGGGTTGGGAAAGATTAACCGACACAAATGAAGACGCCGACGAACGTCGACAAAACAGCCCGAGCAAATTTGTCCCGCTGACGGGCCAATACGACTTGTTTGGAGTCTGTCTAACAGTATTTTTCTTAGGGAATTCTCGATGAATCTGGTAAACCGAAACCCCGAGATTAGTCCAGAGACACCCCCGCAACAATGTCCAAACCCCTGGGCCGTAGCAGCGGTGGTTGTTGGACATGTCGTATCCGCCATAGGAAATGCGACGAAGCAACTCCGACTTGCAAAGAATGCACAGATCGACACATAGTATGCCATGGTTATGGAGCGGAGCCTGATTGGGTCAAGGACCCTGTCAAGCTACAGGCGGAACTTCAACGCATCAAGCATGCTGTGAAACAGAACTTCCGCCGAACTCGAAAACTGCAGGCTTCTTCCACACGTTCATCCACCAGAGCCGTAACGGAGCCTTCCGGGGAAACTCTTGAAGAGTCAGCAATATTTTCGCCAGGCGGGTCTGAGTATAGGGAAGCTGAGCTCCTGACATATTATCTGGACTACATATTTCCCCTTCAATACGCCTATTACGTGGATAAGCCAGCACTCGGTGGCCGAGGATGGCTTTTCTGGCTTCTGTCCAAGCAAGGGCCGCTTCGTCAAGCCGCCTTTACGCTATCCGCTTTACACCAACACGCCATGTCGCAAAGTAAGACAGAGGAAATGGAGTCAGAGCTAATCCGGTATCACACCAATGCGATGCAAGAACTCCGTCAAGTTCTCATTCGCTGCGAGACAGACGGTTTCGCCAGTCATCCCGAGTATCGCGTCGAGTTTCTTACATGTGGGACTTTTCTCATCAGCTTCGAGGTATCCACTCTTCCAATCTTTGTTGAACCCATGGTTACACCCTGCTAATGCTAACCTGGCTAGGTCTTCCAAGGAGGAACCACTAATTGGCAGTCTCACCTGAACGCTCTTGTATTGGTGGCGGGTCAAATTGACTTGGAGAGCGTGGGAGGAAGGTCCGAATCTTCTACGAGAATTGAGACTGGATTCCAGAGGATTATGAGTGCGGCCATCAGATTCCATGTGTCACAGCTGCTTTGGTTCGAGCTTCTGTCATGTGTTTCTACAGGTGAACCACCTAGGCTACCTTATCAAAGGTGGCTCAGCCACGAAGAAATTGATGTGTCCTGTGTCATGGGTTGCCAGAACTGGGCTATGCTAGCTCTTGGAGATGTAGCCTCGCTAGAGGCACAAGTTGCAGAGATGAACCCGAGAGCTTTGAGCCGCAAAATTGCAGACATCACTAAACGTCTCGAAGACGGTGTTGGATACTTGGGGGTAGAACAAAAGGTAGTATACCTTCTCAATACTATGGAGTATGGAATGATACTAATTTGTCCGGTTAGCCCGCTTCAGCTTTAATCTCGCAGTCGATTACCCGCATATATGCAACGGCAGTCCTTGTGCAACTGCACACAATTTCAGCCAACACAGAAGACCCACCAGAAAACGCGCTTGAAACAATTCATAACGCAGTATCTGGCGTCATGGATGCTCTTCAAAGTGTGCCTGATGGCCTGTCTCTGAAACCAGTAACATGGGCTATGTGCGTCGCTGGAGCAATGGCAGCGCCAGATCAACAACGATTTTTCGAGAATCTGATTGAGGGAATCCTTGAAAGCTCGGGTTCCGGTTTTACAAACGTTGATACGGTGCTACGAGTCCTGAAGGAATGCTGGAAGGAAAGAGACTACCATGGTGCCGACAACAGTGTTCCTAGAAATGCGATGTCACGGCTAGGGATATGTGCCCTTTTGATATGAGCTGTGGCCAACATAGATTCTTGCTCCTTGCATGACTTAACGCCGGGCAGGGCTATATTCGGGCATACGAGAACCCTTTAGTACGGAGGAATGAGACCCAAACGTTTCAAATCGGTTGCGAAAGATATGGAAAGACTCTAGGACGTCGACGCTGCAGCCTGCACAATGTTTCGCGATGTCGAAACCTGCAACCCCTATTTACGTCCGGGCGGAACCACTTCCTTGAACGAAGATACAATTAGAAAGCTTAAGCTTGAGCACTACCGCCCTGGTTTCTAATCGTCAAGTACTTGAACTTTCAATGCCAGAGCACTAGGGTCTGAAGCTGTTTTGAAGGCCTTCTCACCATCTTCAAGAGCAAACCGATGGGTGACTAATGGTTTGAGATCAATGACTCCCTCAGCAACAAGGCCAATGGCCCGAGGATAGATATCTCGGTAGCGAAATTGGAAGCGTAACTCAATTTCCTTGCCAGCCATATACATGATGGGAATTGTGGCAAGATCTCTACCGCAACCGATAACGAAGACCATGCCGCCGAATCGGCAACACTTTATATTTCAATTAGCACAAGTATCCCCGTCCAACGAACAAATCGTGTAGATCACTTACGTATATGCCGGTGACCACACTTGACTCAACGCCAGTACATTCTAGTACTATCTTGGCTTCTTCACCAAGAGCTCCCTTGATATCCTCGGCAGTCGCCTACAGCTCCTTTCCAGCAGTAATAAGAACAGTTCGCACTCTAGGAACTGCCTTTTTTACCATATCCAGCCTAGTCTAATTAATATCCGTAATAACAATAGGGTTTACACCTACTACGCTAGCAGCCAGCAAAGTAGTAATACCGATAGGACCAGAACCGCAGATAACCACGGGATCACCCAAGCGAACGCCAGATCGCTCGAGCCCTGTCAGAGCCACTAAGAGTGGCTCGAGAAGAGATCCCTCTTCATATAACATCCCATCAGGAATCTTATGAAGCCAGTCTTCTAGGTGTACGTAGTAGCGGGTAAGGGTTCCGTAATATAGCAGCGTCGAGTAGAAGACCACCTCTAGATAGGCGTTATATCGACCTATATAATAGAAGAAGCACAATACCTTCATATAAGGGATGCCACACTCGATAGCTACCCTGTTACCAATCTTAAACTTCATCACTTTAGGTCCTACGCCAACAACTACGCCTGCACTCTCATGACCTAGCCCGTTTTCGCCCGTCACAACCATCTTGCCAATGTGACCTGCTTTCCAAAAGTGAACATCGGAGCCGCAGATGCCAGTTGCTCGCACGTGGATGAGGCACTCCCCTTCGCTTGGGGTCGGAACATCGAGCTTCTTGAGATACAGCTCATGCTCAGGGTTAGTATAGATTGCAAGGTTGTCCGGTTTTCGGCGAAGGATATCGACTGCATTTGATGTATCCATGGTAGGTATAACTGGTTGATGGATATGACTCTGATTGTGATGGCCAATACAGGCCAGTGACTCGAGATTCTGTGGGTGTTAATGGCGAAGTGAGTTGGGAACATCAGCTACGTGCGGCCAGCTTGTTATATACCGAGTACATCTGATCTCACAAAGGTGGGCAGCTTGATTAGATATCTATCTTTTCTGGCTGCGTCACCTTCGGAATTCTTTACCCCTCCCTTACCCCCTCCGAGCTCGCTGGTCCTGTCGTTCACGTTAGATCGTCTCGTGCAGCCTCAACAAATTGGCCCAAAACATTGTCTCCTCACAAGGCACCATACACGGCGCCGTCTCAAGTCACCACTACCCCACGTTCGGCGCACTGTCACCCGGTTGGGTTTCCGCCACATTGTTGATTTGGATGGAAACCCCCGCCCACTGCGACTCCCCGCACGCAGCCTATGCAGGCCTGGGTTTTTACCTTCTCTATACTCTCTATACCTATACCTCGCCCTTGGTCGTAATCGAAAAGCCCTCAAGAGACCTTGAGAGTAAGGATCAAGATCCATATCTTTCGTTCTCCCCTTCAGCTAAAAGGGTGATTCGAGATATACGACCACTGGACTTCAAGTCATCGTCATGTCTCTAAATGGAAAGATCGCAATAGTGACGGGAGGGGCTCGAGGAATCGGTGCTGGCATAGTTCGAGCTCTTTCTAAACAAGGCGCAAGTGTAAGTCCTGATCTTATTGCCCGAATCAGTTTATCAGGTCGATCAACCAGAGCTTCCTTACTTAGTATATCCATAACGGTCTCATCTTAACCGAGTTGACCTGTGATGAAAGTACTGATGTTAACACAGTGCAGGTTGCATTCAATTATGTCTCTCATTCATCCGAAGCTGCTGCTCTAAAATTGGTTGAGGAAGTAAAGGGGTTCGGAGTTCGAGTGGCGTGCATTCGTGCCGATATGGCGTCTCCTGAGGCTCCCTCTCTTCTTCTGAAAGCCGCTCTTCAAGAATTTCAGACCGACAAGGTTGATATTCTGGTGAACAATGCGGGCGTCGGAGGAAATGCACCACTCGAAGAAGTCACAATTGAAGAGTATGATCGTCTGATGGCAGTCAATGTCAGAGCAGTCATCTTCATGACTCAAAGCGTCTTACCTCACATCAACCGCGGCGGTCGTATTGTCAACTTGTCTTCGATATCTGCCCGCGGTGGCTACCCGACTCAATCGGTTTATGCCGCATCCAAAGCTGCTGTCGAAGGTCTGACACGGGTCTGGGCCACAGAGCTAGGCCACAAATATGGGGTAACTGTGAATTCAGTCAACCCTGGCCCTGTCGATACCGATATGTACCGTGCTGCCGGACCTGTGCATCTTGCGAGGATGGAAGAACAGAACAAGAAGGTTCCTGCCGAGCCCAGATGTGGAACGGAGGAGGATGTGGCAGATATCATTGTGTTCTTGTGCGAAGAGAGATCGCGCTGGGTGACCGGGGACACGATCTGTGCGAATGGAGGTATGGTGTACACATAGAGAAGGATAGTTGTGAACTGTTTAGCCTTCGCGGCATCGGTGGTTCTCCCATGTTGACATAGGTAAGGCACATAACAATACGAAACTTCAGAAATAGAGATCTCGAGCGGGTTACCACCTTTGGTGTCCCTTTGTGTTTCCGATGTCACTACAGAGATCCACCGGCCGAAGCCCCGAAATGAGCCAAAATGGACACGTATTTACCATGAGTGGCTAATGTAGAGATATTGCAGGAGTCGTCGCGTGGTATGAGGGAACTAAGCCAAATAAAAGGCAAGCCGATCGGAAGTTCATGGTAAATTAAGCGTAGCAAGTATATCTAGACCTTGAGATACTGGAGTCTCTCCTTAAAAATCAATAACATAAAGCTAGTGTTCACAGAAGTTCCATTCCGTCTTGAGCCAATCAGCCTCCTTCTCTTTCATCCACGTTCTTTCAGCCATCAGCTCCTTCCTCAGCTCCTTGGCCTGTTCCATTCCGATGGGCCACCTGTCTCTACTAAGGCTCTGTTCCCAACTCTCTCGAGCCTTCAACCAAGCTTCTTCGGAGTTAACCCACTCTTCCTGAGCCGTTTCCCACTGAATCAATCCCTGGTCATCTGATGCTGGCACGGGCAATGGACCAGTCTTAGGCTCAGCAGGCCACCAGTGTTTCTGCTGAGGCGGCACGTTTGACGTGCTGATGATAGGAATGGCTGGATCGACGAGGAAGAGAGCTACAATCTTCCTATGACCAGGCTTTGAGGGATCTGCCAGCTTGAAGGGAGAAACTCGGTGTTGGAGGAGGTTAGGGAAGAATAATGCCCGGCCTCCTTTCGTCTGTACTGATCCCACATTCTGAAATGTGTGGCCCCGAGGTTCGATTGCGAATGCCTGCTTGATACTCCACCAGTCGTACTGCTCATAGTCGAGCGACGTTCGTGACTCAGAATCATCAAGGTCTTCTCTGTTGGCACATGTCCGGAAGTTGAGAGTGCAGTCCGTGATGTTCTCACAATCGTAGTAGTACAGTGCTGTGCTGACAATATGTTCGTTCAAAAGACCTTCTGTATGCCAAGAGCCACCTTTGTATGCAGGGTTCTCTGGCGTGAGATGGATATTGGCCAACTTGACAATGACTTGACAGCGGTCTTTGCATCCAAAGAAGCCACTGCTTCTGATGTCGGAAGCGGCGAATTTGACGTAATCTTTTGCCTCGGGGTCAGCGTCAGGAAGGGCAGGGCCATGAGTCTCTCTGAACCAGGCTTTGTCACGAGCGTTGCGCTCCGGATCCTTTCGGTTTCGTGGAACTTCTCCCTCGGCAAGAGGACGTGCCTGGGGCCTGCATGCACGGCGTCGACCGCAAATGTCCGGACAAGGGCACATTGGCTTCTGAACATTGGATGTTACGAGACGCTGAATCGCAAACTTTTCCTCCCAGTTGTAGATAAGATCCCAAGCTGGTAAAGACTTCTCAATGAGCTGCTCGATGATTGGATAGAGGTGAGCCTGCTCTACAGGATGAAGGTTGTTGATGTAGCTTGCAATTCTGGCTTTTCCAGTCATTCGATCGAGGTCCACATCGCATGGTAGCCATTGAAACTCCCTGCTCAACACCTTGTTTCTCGAAGTGTTCCTCCAAGAAGTGGTGGGAGATAGTGTAGCCTCCGCCTTTGTCGGCTGGCGTATTGTAGTACCCATGCCGCAGTAGTCAAGAGCGTCATCGACGCCGATTGTGCGGTCATGAAGCACCTTAGAGCTACCGTATACCAAGGGCCAGAGGGAGGGGTGAACTAGATCCAAGACTTGATCATTGCTGTTAGGGTGCCAGTCTTTGCAGTCTGAGGGGACATCCTCAAGTGGCTTGATAGCATCTTGGATAGACTTGGCGAACTCGGGGGTAAGGATGCTGTCAGACTTGATGACGGCAGTACAGTAATCGTAGACCGGCATAAGCCCTGTCTGTTCATACACTACCGCCTTCTTCCGCAGTTCACTGATGCACTGGAGGTCGTTAGCGCTGACACACTGTATGAAGACACAAGTCACCTTACCGCATCGGCCATAGAAGGAGTGAAGTGAGCATACTCGATATACGATGCCCAGTCGATTGTCAAAGCCTCCGATTTCCACTTTGAAGCAATACTATCGTCTTTGACCTTGAGCCACCACTGAGGTTTATCAGACAATTCGTTGACAACCCTCAGCATACAACATTCGCGAACCAGAAGCGTGACGGCTTCCCATTCGCCCAAGAACAAAACAGGAAATCTCTCTTTCAGGCTCGGCATATGTCCAAGATTAAGACCTGCCCCGGGACGTTCGACAACCAGTTGTTCCAGAGTCAATTGAAACGTATCAGTGATCGTGACTGGACTTCAGGCCTCTGTAGGCTCACCTTGAATGCGCGATGGTGGTATCTCCATACCGCCTGCTTAATGAGGAGGTTGAGACACTTGAACGAGAAGGCATTGAAATCGAGCTCGGTGTTCTTTTCAATCCAATATTTCGCATCAGATACGTCGGGGTCTTTCGGGCCAGCCCAATTGTCGAAGGCTTCTTGTTGATTGTCAGTAAACTTGACACGCTCGTGCTCGTGCTTCATGAATTCCTCCTCGTCGGAGGTGAGAGGCACGGGACTGCTAAAGGCTTGAGTGGCCATAGCGCAGACCGGTATGTGGAAGGATGGATCGTGTTGTAATGAAGAGGCTTGGTGAGATGCTGTTGTTGCACAGTCTATAAGTAAGGTGAAATACTTTATATATGTATATTTCTAGGTGTTGACTACCTGTGAAGTAATAAGAACCCCTGAAATTCTGTATATCGTGAAAGACTTAGGCAGAAGTGTGGGTTCACTTAATTAAAAAGTTTAATCCTGCAGGCAGCATGAACAGAATCCCTTGTACAAGACTTAACATCCCGAAACCCCACCGGCCATTCCAAAAATGGTTGCGGCGATCAAACTAGCGATAGGCTGTTGCTGAGCATTGACTCACATGCTCCAGCTAGACAAGGATAACGTGTCGGCCACTGGATCGATAACTACACGAATAGGCAGGTCGACGTTAGCTTCCTCGGCTGCGCCTAACAAAGTGAAATGTTCTCGTTTCAACGTCCCCCAGTGAAATGGATGAGATACGTGGCATCTGTTAGAACCATCACAAATGGCTCACAAATTCTATCATCATGGGATTCTAAAGGTGTGTAAGGTGGTTTATGTTTCAAATATCGATGCCCCCAACTAGCGTAAAGACGAGCTACTCTGTGAATCCGATCAATTCGGCTGGATTCTATCCAGATATTGGAATTCCAAAATCTCACTATTATCCTTCAAGCCGTCTCCGTAAAAAGATGAAAGATGTGAGTGGAAATCAAAAGAATTATTGCTCTTGGCCCTCAGCAAGAAAGTCTGCAAGCCTTTCGCTCCTGTTATCACCGCAAAGCTTCATGTCCTTGTGTTATTTCGCCTTCATTCAGCATGTGTCTAGGACTTTGGCCCCGACTCAATGTTTTCCTCCTCTTCGAAAAGATACAACGTAGGCTCAGGCTCGTTTTTCTTGCGCATAATATAGCGCTTAAACCACCATGGCAAGACCTCCAATAGTTGATAAGACGCATGCCGCCTGGTAGAAACCGAGAAAACGTCATCAAGTTCTTCAAGAGAGCGCTGCTTCGTCTCTGGAAGGAATAGAAATATTAGAGTCAAGCATATAACGCCAAAGACAGAATAAAGTGTGAAGACTCCCTGGGGCTTGATGGCCTGGAGAAGTGGCGGGGATGTCTGTGCCACGACGATGGCCCAAAAGTTGTTCGTTGCGACGGCCCAAGCCATGCCAACCTCACGATGTGATAGAGGGAAAACCTCGGCCGAGTAGACAAACGCCACTGGTCCCTCCCCCGGACCATAGAATGCGGCGAAGATATAAATGAACAAGCAGATAACACCGAGGTGCGAGGGACTACTGTGCGGAATGTAGAAGGCCATGCCTGCTGCTAGCATAGCCCAGCACATGTTCGGAAAGGTGACTAACAGCAGCGCTCTGCGGCCCCAGCGATCAATGGTCCATAAAGCCGGGATCGCGAAAAGGAACATTGCCATACCATATCCCCATGAGGCGAGAAGAGCAATGGTGTTACTTGCCCCTGCTTCCTCAAAGAGCGTCGAGGAGTAAAATGACATGAGATTGACTGCAGTTATTAGTCAAGCGTTCTCGAACATTTCGGAAGTACGTTATCCTACCTCCAAAAAACTGCTGAGCAGCCATGATAATACCTGATGCTTGTGTCGCCCGACGGATTCTGGGGACGGTAAATAACTCCACGCATCTGGTGAACAAGTTGCTGTCACCAAGCCCGTCAGCCTCCACTAATTCTTGCTCCTTTTCAAGCTGAGCGTTGACGAAGTAAAGATCCCTAGCGGCGAGTAAATTGTTGCCACGTAGTCTCAGGAGTGACTCGTAGGCTTGGACAAACTTGCGCTTCTTCAATAGCCAGCGGGGTGATTCAGGTGTAAAGTAGATTCCCAGGAGTAAAGGTACTGCGGGGATCATGGCGGAACCAAGTTGAAGTCTCCAGGCGATATCCCCAAATCCAACTACAGCGAGATTTGCAAGGAATCCAAGCATGATCCCAAAAGCGCTGAAAAGTTGCCACGACATGACAAGAGCTCCACGTATGTTATGTGGTGAGTTTTCGGCCGAGAATACGGGTACAGTAACTTCTTTCAGTCCCATTCCCATGCCGAGAAGAATTCGACAGATCAAGATCTGTGGCCAAGTCTGGCAAAGGGCTTGGCCTACGGGGCCGAGAATGCTGAAGATGGCGCCCAGGAAGATTGCACCGCGTCTTCCAAACCAGTTGTTGACGGGATCAGACAGCCAACAAGCGCTATTAGTACGGACAGGTAGTCAGTGATATGTCCATTATGGAATTGGCGAAGGACTCACATGACACAAATAGCCATGTACGGTGCGCTGTTGATGGCACCAATTATCCAGGAGTTTCTTGCACATGTTCCAGCTATTATGCAGGCCTCGCCTTTGTCCGCGATCCCAAATGCTTGCGGGAAAGATAAATTTGCTCCATTTGACCCTGTTTGGTCCCAGCCCTGTATTGCTGCGCTGACCGAGTTCATAAGAATGGTGAAGTAGAGAGCTTTAGGATGCCTCCAGCGATGCTCGATCTCGTTTCTCAGAACGACTCGATCCTCTTCAGTCAGCTCCGGTATGTCTTCGTAGGCTTTCGGAGTCTGTGCAGCCAACGTCCCCTTTTCGAAGTAGGTGATTTCGTTTTGAAGGCCAAGGCCGATGGCGAAGAGTCTTGCATCGATCTTGAGCTGTTCTCGGGGAATACCTTCAAGAGGGTTGCTTGGCCTGTGAGTCCATCGTCTTAGTAAGAAGCATAGGATTGAACCGGGCTCCTTGGTGGTAGCCTACTCTCCAGTGGCCATCTGGCTTTCACTGCGGCGAGGATTGTCATGGCGACTTATTTCGATAGCGTTGCCCACTTCAAAGCCGCCCTTGAAGCTTAGACGGTCAGTTGATGATTTGATCAGGTATGGATGTATGTTGAGACTTACATGGTATCATTTTTCTCTAGAGGTGAACTCGACATCTTGGCGGCTGATGGTTTGATACAGGAATGGGAGAGGTGGAAGGGTTGAAATCTGGCAACAGAGCACCTTCTTGTCTCAGGGAGACTTGTGGGACGACGAGAGAACGGCGGAAGAACCCACAAGTAGTAATACCTATGGCTGATGAACCTTGAAAGACAGGCGCTGCAGTAACTATTGACGTGTGTGGATCTTACGAGGTACCAAGTCTTCAGATTCGGCTGTCGGCAGTCCAAAAGGTTGTTGGAATGGAATTTCAAGTTTTGTCAACGATGTAGTATTTTGTCGACGTAATGCATTTTCAGTTGGGTCAAGTCACCCCCCTTTTTGACGAGAGTCTCAGGGCTCGAAGGGTACATAAATCAAGATAACCCTGTGCCGGATGGCCGTCTTGAAATCCGCGACGACGGCATACGATACCTGAATTCTAACGTGGATGGCATTCGTAAAATGACTTGGCTAGGTTTTGGGAGAAGGGCCCTCTAAAGTCCATCTATCTGTCACATGTGTTTCCGAACAGGAAAGAATCGCCTCAATGTCTTAGCTAGGTAGGCGGCATGAATATCTGTGGAGCTCAGAAGAACTTTAGAATAATCACAAATGTGACCTCTGTGGCCCTTACCCCTTCTTCAATTATGTTCTACTTTTCTGGCAGGTTGATCCATCGTCAAACACCGTCCATTTGATGCCGTTTTCGAATGCGTACCTCTTTAACACTATGTAGCGCAAGACGCTTCAAAATCTCGCGAATTTTGATGTTCGTGTAGTAATCAATGATGGTTCTCAAGATCTTGGTTCAGCACAAGGAAATTGCGCCATAAACAGCGCGCTGCGTAAGCCATGGCGCCAGCTCGAGTACCACGCGAAATGTTAAAGTCGTATTGAACTGACATGTCGACTTGTATCCTATGCGAGAAATTCCCCGCTGAGGAAAGAAAAGACCATGCGGTTCTCCAACTGCTGCTCCAGGCTTGCTTCATGGAGTTTGAGATAACGAAAAGTAACAGTTGGGGGCTTGATAAGCTGTTCAAAGGTTCTCGTCAAAGTCCAACACCGCAGTGGCTTAATGGGGCCGAGCTTTCGACTGCATCTTCCTTCTAATCCTGGCCGCGGTATCGGTGCAACCCCGAACCCGTTGAAGCAGGTCATTGGCCGCTCATTTGTCGAATGTGTTGTGTGAACTTGTCTTATATGTGGCAGTGGACAGTTTTTGTTGCTTAGTAGTGCTAATCAAGTGAGAGCGAATGACTTTAAAGAAGTTTGAACCGGGGCTCTTACAATGTTCGGTCTCGTCTCGACTTTCCTTCCCAGTCGGTGACGAAGGGTGGAGACGCTTCGTCGCGGCCCATCCTCTCGCCCCGTCTTAAGGGCGCATGATATGTCAAGACATGCTTAACGCTGGACGCAGAACATAAGTTTGGCAAAGCGCCGCAATTATGAAATAAGGATAAGAAGAGCAACAGACACACATCTTGGGCTTTTTCAATCAACTCATCATCTCCAATCGGTGAATTAGAGCACCGGTACGAGCTGCAACATCAAATCTGAGGCCCAGTTCACCACATCAACCAACGTCATGGTCCAGATCAAAGCTTTCGAGGTAGAAGAGTGGATGGATCGTCTCGAGACAACGCCTGGTGCTCTAAACATTGCCGAAACATGCTGCGAGTCTGTGTCGATCAAGGAGTTGACAGAGCTGTCGAGCGACAAGTCGGCTGCGGGCCCCCTTGACATTGCAACCCGACGAATGACTTACGGCGCCATTTACGGATCAGAGAAGACGCGCCAGCAGATCGCCAACATGTACGCAAACGATGTTTCGGGCTCTCTCCCCAGCGATCAAGTTGTCATTACGCAGGGAGCCATCGTTGCCAACTTCCTCACTCTCTACACCCTCGTCGGCAAGAATGATCATGTAATCTGTGTATACCCGACCTACCAACAGCTGTACGAAGTTCCCAAAAGCTTGGGCGCTGATGTTAGCCTCTGGAAATTGAAGGCTGAGAATGGATATATCCCGGACATTCGAGAGCTACAAGACCTGGTGCGAGAAAATACCAAGGTGATACAACCATACTTCAGACGAGCAGCTCCCACGGCTAACTCGTAGGACTAGATGATCATTATCAACAATCCCAACAATCCCACTGGAGTCACTATACCTAAGCATGTTCTAGAAGATATCGTCGCGTTTGCCAAGTCGAGAAACATCATTGTCATGGCCGACGAGGTATATCGACCACTCTTCCACAGCCTTCCTGTAGGAGAAAGCATGCCCCCATCGATCCTGTCATTGGGCTATGACCAAACCATTTCTACCTCGAGTATGTCGAAAGCTTTCTCTCTTGCCGGCATCCGCGTGGGATGGATCGCATCGAGAGACCCTGGAATCATTGAGGCCGTCAAGAGTGCGCGGAACTACACGACCATCAGCGTCTCGCAACTTGACGATCAAGTGGCCGGCTATGCTCTCTCGGATGCGGTCAGACCAAACCTCATCAATAGAAACATCGAGCTTGCCAGGACAAACCTTGAGATCCTCGAGACCTTTATCGAGAAGCACCAGTCTGTTTGCTCCTGGGTTAAGCCCACAGCCGGTACAACGGCAATGATTGGTTTTCGAAGAGGCGATGAACCAGTTCGAGATGACGAGTTCTGTCTTGAACTTCTCAAAGAGACTGGGGTTTTGATCATGCCTGGGTCTACCTGTTTTGGTGAGGGCGTTGACTTCAAGGGCCAAATGCGCTTCGGTTACGTATGTCGGACAGAAGTGCTGAAAGAAGGCCTGGAGAAACTGAGTGTTTATCTGGAGAAGAGCTTCCACTGATTGTGTTTAAAGGGGAACACTCTGAGTAGGCATATTTGGGTCGACATAGGACTTGGCACAAGTACCTATCCTCTGCAATAGAAGCGAACCGTTAATCTTAGCCTAGTCGCTGTGTAAACTTCAAACCAGTATCCCTTTCTCTTGTAAATCGATCACCGCCCGCTCATGACTCTTCTGTAGCTTCTTCCTCAAATTGTACCAAGACCGTTCCGGCTTTGCAGATATCCTAAGACAGTGTCAGTGAGGGGCGTGCAACTTTGGGAAAAGAGGACTACTCACGCCTTCCTTATGCGCCAGCTTCTTTACCACGCCGTTTTGGGGTGACCGAATAACAGTCTCCATCTTCATAGACTCGATACTGTGTGTCAAAGTTAGCCACTGGAAGTCATCTTGTGACCGCGGTCTTGGGTCGGGTGGTACTGACACAACCAACGGGGCTCCCTTAGCTACGGCTTGCCCTTCTTCCACTTCGTTCTTCAGAATCTTACAAGGCATTGGTGCAACGACAGACGCGGTGACCTCCTTCAAACCGAGGGCCTTCTCGAACCAGCTTGGTGGCAGAAGAGAAAGCTCGGTCTTGATGCCATGTTGGAACACAGCAATCTTGGTATCCTGCTCATTCTGTGCATTCTGCACAACCGTCGACTCCAATCTCTCGTTGGGAAAGAACGTTGTCAACGCATTTGTTGACGACGATCTTGGTTGAAATTTGCTGATGAGGTTCTCGAAAACCTTGGGTGGCTCCTCTCCTTTCCTTGTTACGCGCGCCTCAAAGAGTTGATGGGACTTCTGTGTGATGCTGACTTCCACAACTTCTCCCTCTTGCTCACTGTATGAATCGAGCACCTTGAAGGCAAACTTGCGCTCGCTGAGGGTGCTGGCCTCGCCAAAGCCTAAGCTACCTCCATGGGGAGCAGCATGTGATAGTTGTGGGGATAACGAGCTGAGGGCAGCCTGGACAAATACTTCGTCATGGATTGGCCGCGGCTTAAAGAGCTCATCTCTCCACTTGTCGATAAACCCTGTCTCGACATCGCCTTCTATGAAAGCTGGGGATCGGCAAAGACGTTTAAGGAACTCGATATTGGTGCTGAGACCGACTACCTCATACTCACGGAGAGCCAGCTCTAGCCTGCGGATAGCTGTTTCTCTGTCCTTGCCGCGAACAATCAACTTGGCAATCATGCCATCGTAGGCTTCCGAGACAGTATCACCCTGGATAAAGCCGGCGTCGATGCGAATGTCCTCGTTCGTCTTCGGCGTGGTGAGGTGAATCAACTTGCCTGAATCGGGCATGAAGCCCTTCTCCGGATTTTCGGCATAGATACGAGCCTCAATGGCTGCACCGTGCTGTTTGATGTTCTCCACAATCTCCTCCTGTGTCATAGGTAGCTTCTCCCCAGCAGCGACGCGGAATTGCCATTCGACGAGATCGGTGCCGGTGACCATTTCACTAACGGGATGCTCGACTTGCAATCGGGTGTTCATCTCCATGAAGTAAAAGTCGCCAGTGTCCTTGTCGAGAATGAACTCAACAGTGCCAGCGCCAACATAGTTGACGGCCAAAGCAGCCTTCCTGGCCTTCTCCCAAAGATCGAGACGAGTTTCTTCGTCCAAATCCGGCGCTGGAGACTCCTCAAGAATCTTCTGGTGTCGTCTTTGTACACTGCAGTCACGCTCCCCTAGAGCAACGCAGTTGCCCAGCTTATCCGCAAACACCTGCACCTCAACATGGCGAGGGCGCACAATGTACTTCTCCACCAACATGACCTCGCCACCCTCGCCAAAGGATGCGCGGGCTTCGGCACGAGCACTACCAAGCTGGGCGGCAAACTCGTCCTCGGTCATAACGATGCGCATTCCTTTTCCACCACCGCCCTTGACACTCTTGAGCAGCACTGGGAACTTGATGTTCTTTGCGTGTTCCAATAGTTGTGCCTCCCCCTGATCGGAGCCATGGTACCCTGGAACACAGGGGACGCCGGCGTCGGTCATAATGATCTTGCTTCGTGCCTTGTCGCCCATATCGGTCATTGCCTGCGCCGGAGGCCCAACGAAGACGATGCCCTCCTTTTCGCATCTCTCGGCAAATCGAGAGTTCTCAGACAGAAAGCCGTAGCCAGGATGAAGGGCTTGTATGCCGTTCTTCTTGGCTAGGGAGATGATGCGTTCGCCGTCTAGGTACGCTCTTGCGTCGCCCAGGTTCAAGGAATGCGGGGAGCACGCGGCATGCTGGCTGTTGCTGTCGGGGTCTGTATAGATAGTCGTCGTCTTGATTCCTAACCTGTCCGCAGTCTTGTGGATTCGCAGAGCAATCTCGCCACGGTTTGCGATAAGGAGAGAGGTAATGGGTGTAATTTGGCTCGAAGCCGGCACCTTCTGGCCAGCGGCAGTGGAGAGGAGCCGAGGGAGGGGTCGGACGAGCCGGTGCTTCGCTTTCATGGAACGCATGATGGATGACTGAAGCTTTGTGACGTGGATTTCAAGCTTGGGGTATCAATTGGATGTTCATGGAGAGAAGGAGAAGAACGCGAAGTTGGTGGCAGAGGAGGAAAGCGCAGAGCTCAATGCGAGTGCCCCAGGTAACCCGAGGTCTCAAAGCAGCTTCGGCTTGTTGCGCTCGATCATCTTGGAACAAGCGGTGCCGACAATAGCCGTGGGTGCTGAAAGCCGCTGAAGGGCGACCCCGGATTTCAGGCGGGACGTGCTAACTGCTAAGGTCCGGTAAACTGCCCCCAAGCCGCCTTAGGTAAGGCGACTGTTGATAAGATTCGCATGCAAGTTCCTCGACGTCATTCCGCGATAACATGGAAGGTCCGATAGCTCTGCCCCGCATTAGTCAGCGTGGGCTGGGACCTTGCGCCCATCTTTCCTCTCCAGCCCGGTCGATCCAGACAGGGCTCCTTCGAAGGAAGCTCACGATACGTTACCCAACATCCACACACACTGTCAAGAACAGCTTCACCAACATGGATCAACAAGTCCCTCTCAACTACGAAGCTTCGGCTGGCGAGACCAACAAGCAAGTCACGGCAACTCTTCCTCAAGAAGTCGTACAATGCTTGGAGAATGCTCGATTCGTAAGCTCTCAGTTCTTCTGCCCACCTCATTCAAGCTTTGCAATGGCTCTTCACCACAACACCAATGTAGACATGTAGCTGACGAGACTGCCGCGTCGATAGCTTCACCTGGCGACATGTACCGACAACACGCCGAACGTCTCTCTCATGAACTACACCTATCTGCCATCCTCGAACCACTCGGCCGGCCCCGTTATTGTCATGACCACGAACCCCGCCTCGAGAAAAACACAGAACCTTCTTTCGAACCCCAACGTGTCTCTATTGGTACATGACTGTATGTTATAGCTCTATTGTGGTAGCGTGTTCGTAAAGATTGCTGACGGCTTCGTTCAGGGTCTTCCCATCGGCCGCCGACGTCTGGCCGACGACCTTCAGGCGGCAGCCCCGGCCCAGAGCACCGCTCCAGCCTTGCATCCCTCCTATTGAATCTTAACACCGCGGCGGTCTCTAGTATTAGTGCTACAATCAATGGCACCGCCAGACTGGTTGATAACGGTTCGGAAGAGGAGAAGTTCTACCGCGAGGCGCACCTGGAAAACAACACCTTTGACGAAGGCCAGAGCTTCAACCCAAGTGTTCAGGCCGAGGATGGTGGCAGGGGATGTTTTGTCGCCGGTGAGGAAGTACGAGTTATCGTGGTCAAGATCAAGGACGTGAGAATCAGTGATTGGAAGGGTGCAGTGCGGGATTACGTGCTGACAGAGGAGACCGCTGCTCCCCAGCTCAATGGCATACGGTAGGATAATCTGGAATCCAAGTAACAATACCATTGATGTCTGAGCCATATATCAAAGACTTGACGACCTCATGTGAGACAACACTGGCGGGCGTATCTTGGATGAAGCCGTCAAGAGGCCTCCCTTGTCAAAGTCTTGACGCCCCTGAGCTTGCTTCGAGATTTTTACGCGGCTATTGCTATGCCTCGTAAACCCAAATGCTATGTATGTGACTGGTCGCGAAGGAGACAAGGATCCCACAAGAAGCATCCATGATGATGCCAAATGGACGGGCAGTGATCACCATTTAGACTCGAATTAGACTCGATTTAGACTCATGGATTGACATGAGGCTTACACAGTACACTGGGTAGAAGTGGGCTAGGCACGATTCGACGCCCCAACCGATACTTTATATCCCTGGCCATTGAGCATCTTCTAGTATAGGATTCTAGTATTTGACGTCCTTATGAGACGCCGTCATTGGATATTTAAAGGCTACTCGTCAGTTCATAGAACCGATGAGAGTTTGCGTAGCGTGGTGCATGATCGTCGGAACACTACATTTCCGTCAGTACCTTATTAGAAGTGTGGCAGCTGGTTGAGGCATCATTTAATGATACCACAACAGCAAGTACTCTACTGGATAACGCAAAGCATTTTCCACAGGTGTCTGGGCAGCAAAGACAAGGTTGCAGTAGAGAAAAAATAGGTAGCGTAGCGTTGGGCATCGGGCGAACTGAGGGGGTCTAGGCATGTTGGACCACCAACCTTGCAGCGCGTAGGCTAGCTGCAGCGGCAGGCAGAGTGAAACATTCAGGGATCAAGGCCTCTCGGGAGTTTCTGTAGCGGGTTTGAAGCTCGGCACATTTTGTTTTGAGCCAAGTGGGATCTCTTTAAGCATAGCGTGCGCCGGTGTGCCAGTCAGGACCAGGTTTAGGGGCGACACGGATAAAGGGCGAAATGGAGGCTGATCGGAAGTTTTGGGAGGGTTGCACAGGTTTAGAGTGCATATTTAGACTCGACCAGAGCCACCGCCGGTTGGCACCGAGGAAAGCCCGAGGGTTCTTGACTCGGGTCCGCAGAGTCCGACGAAGGGATCACATCGGCAGATAACCGACCGACCGACCGCGGGGTTAGTCAAATCCCGCGGGGTGTGGTAGTTCGTGCCGGCATCGAAGTGTGTGAATGGAAGAGTGCTGGAGGACTAGGGATGGAATGCTTCAGTCATTTTGGGGGTAAGTCAATGGATATAAATCCAAGTGACGTGAGTTCATTATAGTAGGTAAGTATTCTCTATGGGTATAATCCTGCCCATTCTTCTATACAGAGTAGATAGAATCGATTAGGTCAAGTCCGATCACAAAGGCTTCCTCGCTGTGACAAATGATCTACATAGCAAAAGTCAGTCAACTGTTTCCCAGTCAAGTTACAACCGTATCTCGAGAAACCTACACTTTGCCATACGCCTCGTTTGCGGTATCGCGCGACTCCTTGTGGACTCTCTTCAGGAGACTCCGGGTATCATTCTCATCCCAACCCCCCCTGCCAAAGACTGCCAACGAGTAATTCTCCAAGCCTGGTGACGTGTTAGTTGAGGAAACTTGAACTTGTTAAGAGTACGGACTCTGAACATACCGTATTCCAGCATCTGAGCAAATTGTGCTCCTTTTCTGACCATCTTTTCATCATGTCCCACAGCCTGTATGGGAACCAGATCCGACCAACGCGCCACCTTCTCAAAACCAACCTCAGAAAACATGGCGGGAATCTTTGGTGTCGGGTCAAAGTCCACGCCAGCAATCTTGGCCATTTCCGAGAACCGCACCTCGAACTCGCGACATGCCGTCATCCCGCCGTGATTCTCCTCCTCAGCCGTGGACGCGACGGGCTCGTCTCCGCTGCTGTCAATGAGGTCGAAGTACCTCGTCCTTACTTCGGCGAACTCAATCTGTCCACCGGGCTTGAGATGTTCGTACGCTTGCCGGAAAAGCGCCTTCCAGTCCGAGACGCCCCCGCCAACGAGGTTCCTCATGTGCACAAAGTCCAAGCTGTCCTTCTCACGAGCCCAGTCACGGTTTGCATCTTCTACTTCAAAGGCGACGTTGGCCGGCACAGTCGTGGGTAAGAGTGCGGCGGAGATGTCGATTCCCATGATCTTGGCCAGAGGGTACTGCTCGCCCATCTCAACGGCCCAATTGCCGGTCCCAGAACCAATGTCGAGAATGTTGAGAGGTCTGTCCTTGGGAAGCTTCGCCGCCGTCAGACCACCTTCTAGACATAGCTTGAATAGTTGGTGCTGAATTTCTAGACGAGCTCGCTCGGATTCGTCATTGGGCATTAGTAGTACACCGGAACCGTGGTATGTGTGACCATAAGCGCGGATGGGCGGGAGCTCGTCAACAGAGACGGAGCTGAAATCAGACCCGGCATCTGAGTCGTCTTCGTCGCCGTCGTCGGCATCTTGGGTATTGTCTGTTCGAGATGGCCTCCTCCGTTCTTTGTGGTCCGTCCGGTTTCTTGTGACACCGGCACCGGCACCTTCGCCCCTGCGTCGATGGCCATCGCCGATGCCGGGATCACCAACAGCGTCAACGTCCTCACCCATTTCGGCGAGCTTCAGAAAGGCCTCCGCTAGAAAACCGTTACCAGGATTTTCTCTTAACTCTAGCTGGCGTCAATGTCGTATCTTTGTCGCGTCTCTACGTTTGCAAAGAAACTTTAGTGGTCTGTTACTCTCTTAGAGCGACTCACTACGGATACACGGATGTTGTCTTCGCTCGCCAGATTTCCCAAAATGGGGACTCAATCGTGGGCCCGGCCGCCTCGGGTGTAATATGGCCACACGTGGGATGGCTGATGAAATTTCCCCAAAGGAGAATAGGAGGGAACGCAAGAGATGATAGATGAAATACCCAGGCCAATATGAGCGCGGGGAAAGGTGGGTTACGCACAGCGTATCAATATGGATACATGAAATGGTTTTTCCTGTCGAGGGTTGGCGGATGTCTTTGTATTCACCCCCTTGACGACCGGTGAGGTAGTCGATGAAAGGATACAAGGAAACGAAGGACAAGGGGAGCCCGTTGGTCTCTTGAATGTTGACAAAGGATGATGGCAGAACAAAGGGGACGAGGACTACGCAATGCACAAGACCAGACGGGAAAGGCTAATTTGAAAGGGGGGAGGGAGGACCTCATGAGGGAAATGGACATTTACCGCGGGATACTTCAGAGCTTGACTTGGACGGGATTCGATGGATGGAACCTCCACGTGTTGTGCATCATTTTTTCTCATTCTCACTCTCTATCCTCCCCTTGCTCCTCTGCCAGGATCTAACGCCATCAAATCACCCTTGGCTTCTGATCGGAGCACTTGTCCGCAAGGAGCCACTGGCTAGAGAGGAGACAGCATGGGAAGTGCGGGAGGCGGTCGACGGCGGGACATGGAGCATGGGATAGCATGGGATGTGCCGCCCAGGAATTGGTGAAATCCATGGAGAATTTGAAAACATGAGAGAAAAAAAAAAAATTCAAGCCGTTGAAAACTCCCCTCCCTCTCCCCCCGACAAAAGATGTGCATGCATGCATGCATGCAGAGAGGGACCAGGAGAACAACGGGGCGGCTGGGCTGTGGCTGGCAAGTTGCATTTACTCTTTGCGGCAAGCCATCTCAACTTCTCAAATCGTAACCTGCCCTACCCTGTGCTTGTCCACACGGGCAGGGCCTGAGCTTGCCTGCACTTGTACGGATAGTAGTGCTAGGATCAGAGAATGAGACAGGGTACTCATGGCACTCGAGCTTGAAGCACGGGTATGATTTTCAGGGCAAGGAACACTTGTGAAAAACACTTGCCAAAGAGAAACGCAAATCAAGTCAAATCCCGGTACACTCTCCGTACATTACATACTGGGCTTACGCCAGCAATGTCTCTTTAGGGTATCTAAAACTTCATCTTCTCTCGAGATCCCATATCATACGCGCAGGGGCGTCAGTTTGGCTACTCAGTATTCTTATCCGCGCAAGGGATCCTGAGTCGGATACTCACCTTGTTCGTGAGGTAATTCCCACCTCACCTGTCTTTCTTGTTCTTGTATTCTGCAGAAGGAATTCTAAACACCTCTCTACCATTTCACGCCGTCCGGTATACCAGGATACGGCACGCCTCCGAACTACCTTGTTCGGATGTTCCAGGGTCAACCGGAGCCAGGCTCAACCCGGCATTCTCTTCACGACCTCGGTCACTGATGTCTTACCTTGAGGGTGAGTACTGTACAGTACAGTATCGGTACTCTGAAATAGCTGCCCAGTCAAAGCACGTCTCGACGCGTCCTCCCAAGGATCGGGATGCCACCCCAAAAGTGAAGGTCTAGAATGGTCCTGGCGGGATACAACGCTAGCCGGCAGGATGCTTTGTTCAAGGGCGCTTGCTCGCTCTTTTCGAGAAAGGCTCGATCGCCAACGTGGTGGACATTGTGGGCGATAGGACTCGAGAGCGGTGAACGGTGAACGGTCCTGGGAGCGATTCCTCGCTTGCCCTCGAGTTCCACCGCAGAGATCGTTGGTTCCCTGGGTTGTCTTAGGTTCTGCAGGAAGCCCGGTCCGAACCGGCAGACCAACCGCGAAACGAGAGACCATTGTGATGACCGTTGCTTTGTAACTTGCCAACCGCCCTCCAGCGGAACTCTCCCGATGGCAAGAGGGCCTGACGACCTGTATCCGTATGAACTGCTCGCATCCTCACGCTGCCCACCAAAGCCACGAGGGAGAACAAGGCAGGGGGGCATGGGGCCGTGGTCGACTTGCCTTCCTTGGGAGCTCCAACCGCCCAGGGTGCCACGCAGTGTTTGCCTGTCAAATGGAGCTAACGGCGTGGCAATCATGTACGCTAGCCTCTGCGGATACAGCAGAGCAGAAGCTAGCCCGCTGCTCCATTGTCTGTGGTGGTGTAGCTGAAGTGACGCTGTTCTTCCCTTCCCTTCCCTTCCTTCCAGAAGCCCAGCCCAGTTCGGCACATGGATGATGGAATGTGGCAGTTGGCGAAATGAAAAATGGGTTCATCAATGCGGTGAGGCAACGCAAACCAATAGCTCGACGACTATCAAGCTTCAGGATCCGGATTCTCTCTGGGAATCAATATATCAGCTCCTACTGACGTACTTGACGTCAACGGCAATGTTTTGATGAGATGGTCCTTTTGGAAGAACCCCGTCACTTGGAGTATCTCGTAGCTGTTGGTTTCTAGGGATTTTATTCCCTCAAAATCAAGTACAGACCTTGGCACCTCGTATTGAGTAAATTTTCTGTCGATTCTTTCCTCGGGCCACCGTCAACGCCGCCCACAAAGACAGTGTTTCCCACCTCACCAGTCGTTGGCTTTTCATGAACACAGTTTAAGAGGACCTTGCAGAGTGCAGCTTGAGAATGAATGGACACCGAGCTTTCACTCGCATCGGAGCTTCCGGTTGCTGCTGCAGCGTCCCCTGTCTGGCATTGCCTCTGAGAGAGGGGAGGAGAGGGGTAGCGCAGCAGCGGCGCGACCAACGAACTTGAGCCTCTCTCTTGACTCACGTCTCCAACTTGTCACGGGCGGCGAACTTGACCGACATGAGGCCTCAACTCAGCTATCGCAAGCCAATGAAAGGGATGTGACCACTCGCAGCAGCCAACAAATCGTACGCCAGCTCCATCACATCATTTGCATGTACGACCCAGTTGAAAGGCACCTCGGCGCGCCGCTCAGAGGTAATGGGTCTCAACATAAGCTTCGAGCGCCCCCCTTCTGGGATTGGATCAGTGGTTCGCTCGCTCGTCACCGTTATGCACCAACGCACCAAGTTGTCACAAAAGGTGCATCCCACATCACCAATCAACCTCACCTCCATGTTATCCTTCACCCTGCACAGCAAAAGCCTTTCTCGAACACGATTTCGCCAGCCAATATCAGATGGCTAAACAGCCGCGGCTGGCGCTGCTCATACGTATATCAATATGTCGGCATTTGAAGAGGGTATCTAGATAGGGTCCCTTTGAACAACGCCGGGCAAAGTAGGTGAGGATGCGCAGCCAAGGCAAGGGAAGTGGAAATGTGACGGTGACCCCCGTCCATCTCGTGAGACGGCAAGGGCTTCGACGAGCTCCATAGTCGCGTGGCTTGACGTCTTTCCCGGGCTGATCCGATATGGGATAAAATATCTTAAAAAAGTCCAAACAAGTAGGTAGTAGAAAAACGCGCTCCGCCAAACTCCCAACGACTAGACCGTTTCGATGTACCGTTTTACCTCCCTGTGTAGGTACTTCGTTAGCCATATTCATCTTGATCACCATCAGATGTTGCTCCAAGGATTGTCACATACCAGTCTGTCACAGCCTCGTCCCAGACCCGAATTTCGTGATCTCTTGTTCCACCAAAATGATCGACAAAGTCATCACCGAACACTTCTCTTGCAATGCTCTCCTTTCGCATGAATCGATCATTTGCTTCACGCAGACTCTTTGCAAGCCGCACGCCCTTGTCAGCTTTACCGCCAACATCCTCGCCCTTGCCCAAAGGCGGGACGGGGATCTCCAGCTTCTTCTCCACACCCCGCCATCCGAGGGCAAGAATTGCCGCCAGAACGAAGAAAGGGTTGGTGTCTGCGCCCGGGACACGAACTTCGAATCGCGTTGCGCCAGGCTTCGATGTCGGTGGGGCGATGAGGCGAATTGATGCTGCTCTGTGCTCCAAGCCCCATGATACTGTCACTGGCGCCCAAAAGTTCTCGACAAGGCGTTTGTAGGAGTTGACTGTTGGCGCCAACATGGTCATGACATCTGGAAGACCCTCCAGCAAGCCGGCCAGGAAATGCCGGCCCAGGTCGGAGAGATTGGCGACGTCGGGGTACGGCGCATTCTCGTCCATCGTCTCCCGAGCGAAAAGATTCTTGCCATCCTTATCGACAATGGAAACGTGCATGTGTCCGCTGTTTCCAGGCAAGCCCTGCTTTGGTTTCGCCATGAAGCACGGCGTGATGCCGTATTTCGTTGCGACCGACTTGACAACGTACCTATGAGAAATGCGGTCAGTAGGATGCAAGCCTAAACGGATCGGCCAACTTACTTGAACAAGCTTGCTCTGTCGGCCATCTGTGCAATCTCTCCAAACTCAAGCGCGGCCTCAAAGACACCAGGGCCACTCTCCGTATGCCAACCCTCGATATCACACTTGAACTGAGAACAAGTCTCGAAAATGTCATAGAAGTAGTCCTTGTTGTGCACCGTCCGGGTCAAACTGTAGCCAAACATGCCCTCTGTTAGGGACGGCAAAGCTTGCGGGGGGTTCTCTTGCAAGTATCCGGCCGTTGAGCTCGAGGTTTCGGCGGAGCGGGTAGGCGCCTTGAATTGGTAGAACTCGTATTCGGCTGTGAGTGGGATCACGCGATTAGCTTGCCTTTTCTCCCAAACGAGAGCAATGACGGATCGTGTTTGCAAACTGACCTCCAGCCATGGCACCGTAGCCCTTGGCTTGCAACTTGGCTAGAGCATTCTTTAGCAGACCACGAGGGCACGCGCAAATGGGCTCTTGGGTATCCGGGTCGAAGAAGCTGACGAGGAAGAAGGGCACATTATCCTCCCAGGGTATGCGGCGGAAGCTAGAGAGATCAGGGATGGCAATCAGATCGTGGTAGCCGTTCTCGGCGTTGCTGATCTTGAGCTCCTTGATGTACGTCATATCGTGCATATCCCAGCCAAAGATGACAGAACAGAAGCCAAAGCCCGATTTGGCGACGGACAGGAACTTGTTCTTGGACACCAGCTTTCCTCGGAGCATGCCGTCGACATCGATACCGGCAAGCTTGACCTTGTTGTCATTCTTGAGAAGCTCGGGTAGCGACTCGATGGTCACGGCTTCGTTGGACGACGCCATTGTGGATTGAGATAAGAGGGTGAGAATGCGCGGGTGCAATGAAGCTACCAATTGACTTTGGATGGCGATGGATGGGACGAAAGCTCGCGGCTTGAAGTTGGGGTTGGAGTTGGAGGTGTGGTAGCAGCAAAGTCTGTTGTGGCAGAAGGACGAGAGGACAGAAGTGTTTGCTACTTTCTACGTGCGTGCGAACTGATAAATGAGGATGTCTAGAAGTAGGCCGTGGCAGAGGGCGGGAGAGAGAGAGAGAGGGAATGGTTCAGGAGAGCGCGCAAGAGACACGAGGAACAGATCGAGGCGGAACAAGATCGTGGGTCCTGAGCGAGGCGAGAGACTGGAGACGGAGGGACTTGAGGGACTTGAGGTCGGGATCTTGAGGGAACGCGGAAAGAGACGTGTAGGGCCAGCGGTACGGAGCAATTATCGTATCTTTGGAGAGGTATGTTATCCGTATGTGGGAATGTAAGGTAAGGTAGGTAGGTAGGTACTTGCGGAGTGAGCGAGCATTGAGCAGCAGCAAGAGTCGCAAGAGCAAGGAAGATAGCGCCGCTGCATACTGCCCGCGCACCCCCAGATGTTAACTCCAAAGTATCTTCCCATAGACATGTAGGTGAGCATATACATGGGCTAGCTCCAAGGTTCCCTCGTCTGCGGCAACTGGTGTGGATTGTCCCGCCGATAAGGGAGCGCGCGGCCAATGGAATGATGCGATTTGGGGATTTGGGGGAGCTGGGGAAGCCGAGTGACGACTGACAACCTGGAAATAACCTTGCCCTCCATTGCCTTGCGCATGCCCTTGATTGCGGTTTACGGTTTATGGTTTACCTAACGCTTCCGACTGAGCAATGACATCCGCCCGGAGCGCCAATCTGTTTACAACTTACTGTAAGCACGTTGAGACCTGAGTGTGGAAGGTAAGGTATCGAGCCGCGTGAGCTGTTTCCCATCCTGTTCCATGTGTCTTGTTCCTTGGCAATCGACGTCTGCTTCCCGGCCACCTACCTCTCGGCTCGACGCGGGGATACCATTAGCAGGTGAGCGGCACCCAGCGGCACAGAGCGAGGAAGGAGGGGGGAGGGACGCTGACTTTCTAGGTGCGTCATTGCGGCAGTCGCGCAGGCAACCTGGAAGACCGGGCTGAGGTGGCTAGACCGCGGTACGTTCCCAGGGGACGCACTGTCCGGGCCACGACTGCTCACCACCTCAGCTCAGTTCAGTGATGAGTCTCCTCGGTCGGTCTCCTCAACCTCAGGCACAGGCACTTCTTCCCGAGAATGGCAGGATCCCATGGGCGCCTTCCATCTGGTAGATGCGTGTCTTAGGTAAGTCAAAGCCTGGATGGGCAGGACGCAGGAAGGAGCCCAGGTGATCTGGGATGCTATTGCTGGATTGTGACAAAAATAATGGAATTGTCTCAACCGCCATTGGGGGCACTTGCTGTTGCAGCTGGCGACAACTTACTTTAGGTTGGTAGTCATCACTGTGTGAGTATATGAGAGATTTTTTGTGAAGACCAATATCTTCTCCATGCTTCCTCGCACGCTGTCTCCATCTCTGTCCACCTGTCTTCCTCCCTTACAACTTTCAAGCTGCTCTCACTCAGTCCCTCTCCACCAGTCAACAACATCACCACCATCGCTACTTCACCGTGAGCTTCTCTACTGTCGCCAACCCATCAACGCCAATCTTACCCCACGTCACGCCAACCGTTGCCCATCCCGCATGCTGCCGCGCTGTGTTGCTTGATTGACCTGAGACCGCGGCACACGGCTGCTCGATGCCAAAAGGAACATCCCCGAACCCAGATAGATCTCTTGGCCCCATGACGGCCAGATCCTCCGCGCTTGACTTGCCGACAGCGGGGAGTTCTGAAATGGAGGGGTTCACGATGGGGATTCAATTTCATCGGTCAATGACCCCTCTGCCGCCTCCACAGCCCGCTACCTACTATCGCTTCTACCCACCCTTGTCATATTCTATTGTCCGCTGATACCGCACACAGCTTTCTTTGCGCAACTTCTTTGTCGCCAGCGCGGCAAATATCTTCTTTGATCCTGTGCAATCGTCAACAATGACATTACTCGAGTACCTGCGCATCCTCGTCTCCATCGCTCGTACTGCCGCCTGCTCGCTCAACTGAAATCAATGTTCTACCGCCGCCCTCACACGGTTTACCCCCCCGGACGCCAGGCGTCTATCGGCACCGCCGCCCCTCGACTCGGGGAACCCCTCAGCGCGGTCCCGAGCCGCGATCTGCCACGATCCACGAATGATGAGTTTGTGAATGGTAATGGTTTCTCCGATGCGTCCGGACTCAAACACCACATGGACGTTTCTCATTCACCGTCAAGGCCCCCGGCTGCCCACATGACGATGTGAGCCTGAGAGGTGTGGAGGGGCTCCAACTGACCGCTTCCATTACCGCTTCGCTTGCCTGGCGCCTCTCCGCCCTTGATTCCCCAAGTCACCAAGTGTTTCCGGATGGTACGGTTACAGGCACACACCGTATTCACTCTACCACCTGCATTCTGCCGCCATGCCGCCCAATCTTACACCGTCCGGAGTACGAACACCTACCTACACACCTTGACACCTGACGAGACGCTCAGTGGCGACTTGTCTGATCAACTTTCAATCCAGCAGATCCCTAGTCTGTGCCTTTCTTGGTCTGTACTCCTAGTCCGATAACTCTGAGCCTTTAGCTCTCGCAATTCGATGCTATTGGCCTGGGTTCGCCTTAGCTCACCAATCCAGCTGCACTCTCGGAACCATGCACATAGGGTCTCGTTCCTTTGTTCCCCAACTGGCTCTACTACCTACTGCTATCCAAACGTCTACCGATGATGGGGTTTTCTTATATCTCCAAGATAGAGAGATAAGGCATGCCGCGAAAGGTGCAGCCAGCCTCTGGAGGTAGCGCTCGCTCGAATCACCCTCTCGCCTACGGACACCTCACCCAACCTTAGCAGCGTACGGAGTACCACAGTGTCTCTCTCTCATATTCCCCCTCCATCAGACACGGAGGGGTTGGTTCCTGACTTGGACGTCCGTCATGCAACGCCGCGGTCTGACCCACTGATAAGAGATAACGCGATATCGGAACTTGCGCCCGTCGACACGTTTTATGCTCCGTATTTGGAAATCCACCAACGCATGCGATGCCGCCTATCGTTGACCGACAAGCTCCGTTCTGATCAGTGGTAGACGGACGGTCCATCGATCACGATCCAAGCCGTTTCTTTTACATCCATAGGACTGTACAGCTGGACAGGCACAACATGGAGTAGGGACAGCATGGCCCTGGCAACGATGCGCAGCTGCGTGCCCAACCCGCCAACCTAGGTCGGTCCTGGCTGCACCCCGTCACCCCGTGTCACATATGGGAGCCGAGATGGTGTTCCCGATGCGCCGTTGTCGGATCAATCTCGCCAGAGGAAGGCTCGAGCAGCTAATCGTGAGCAAGGAAGGGGGTGGGCGTTGATGTCTGGTGTATCTCGATATGTATCCGTACCGCGCTTGCGCGCTTTGTATCCAGTGCCTACTCCGTGTTTGCGACTATCTTAGCAGTCCCGTCCATCATTCTGTCTTAGTCGATGGAAATTGGCCAGGGCGGCAACAAGTGGCCTGGACCCCGGATTTCCTTGACTCATTTCTTGCCAGACGACGGCCTTCTATCCTTCTTCGGCTCCATTCAACTAGACCAGCCCCGTCTTGCTGATTTCTTTAAACACATCGTGCCCGTCGCATCGTGGTGACAGTCCTGCTCTTCTCTCTTCTCATCAACACACTTTGTTTCCAACTTAGAGCTCCAAGCTACCAACGGCACTTTGACTACCACACCAGAACCTTCGAACCCCAACTCACTCCTCCGCCACTTCGCGATTCACCAACTGTGACTTGCGATTCAACATCACAGCAACAACAAAAACACACACTTCGAAAGACATCAACACACTTAAAATGGGTTCCGTTCCTGCTGAGATTGGAGGTCGCCTGGCTGGCAAGAACGCCGTCGTCACCGGCGCTGCTGGGTAAGGTCACCCAATGCAATGTTGCAACCCCCCTCATGGTCTCAGAGGCGCCTTATCAGCACGGCGCATCGGGATGAGTCCCCAGTGGCTGGGCGTTCACCGCATCATACACACATGGCATACAGGATCCGATAAGCTGACAAGCACTTGTGACAGTGGCATTGGCTTGGAGACGACCATTCTCTTTGCGAAGGAGGGCGCCAGCGTTGCTATGGCCGATATCTCTGCCCCGGCACTCGAAAAGGCGAAGGCCAAGGTTCTGTCGCTGCTCCCGTCGGCCAGAATTGAGACCAAGGTACGTTGAGTCAGGCTGCGAATGAAAAGTGTTGGAAGATCCCATTCCCGCCGCTCCGGCGTGCATCAAATCAAACGCCGACAGCAATGCACTGCACAACGCTGGACGCAGCGACAACAGCAGCACGCCTGCACATTGCACAATCCAAAAAAAAGAATTACCCCGCCATGCCCCGCCATTCATCTTGTCTCGTTTTTCTTGCCTCGTCACACGACACAACGCGAAACCCATCGACTGGGAGTGGTCCATTCAATTTGCTAACGATTTTTCTTCGCCATGATAGGTTACCGATGTTTCCAAGGAGGACCAGGTCAAGGCCCTCATCGATTCCGTTGATGCCTGGGGTGGACTCGACATTATTTTCAACAATGCCGGAATTATGCACGCCAAGGACGACGATGCTGTGAACACCCCTGAGGAGATCTGGGATCTGACCCAGAACATCAACGTCAAGGGAGTTTGGTTCGGCAGCAAGCACGCCGTTCTCGCCCTCCGCCGCAACAAGAAGACAAAGGGCTCCATCATCAACACCGCCTCAGTTGTCGCCCTTGTCGGTGCTGCTACTCCCCAGCTTGCCTACACCGCTTCCAAGGGTGCCGTCCTTGCCCTTACCCGTGAGCTCGCCATGGTCCACGCCCGTGAGGGTTACCGCTTCAACTCCCTCTGCCCGGCGCCTCTCAACACTCCTCTGTTGCAGGACTGGCTCGGCGACGACGTGCCCAAGCGCATGCGCCGCGAGATTCACTTCCCTACCGGCCGCTTCGGCGAGGCCATTGAGCAGGCTCAGGCTGTTCTCTTCCTCGCCAGCGACGAGTCCAGCTTCGTCAACGGCCACGATATGGTTGTCGATGGCGGCATGACCAAGGCCTACGTTACCCCCGAGGGCCCCGCGGCGCCTGCCCCCATCAACAACGCCAGCCGCACCAGCCTCGAGTAAGGGTTGCGTTGCGCTGCTTGTTTGATTGAATCCGATTTTCGCGATATGATACCGTATTGGGTTGGAGTTTAGGGCGCTGGGCAAGAGACTGGGGCATTTACGGCCAAAAGGTCATGATGATGAAACTGTGCATAGACAATTTGAAGCCTTTATTCTTGAAGAAGCTCACAAAACCAGTGATGGTGTTGTTCCGTCTGCGAGATCTCGTGTATTGGCCCAACCTCCCGTCTACACGCAGGCAAACACGGAACATGCAGGCGAGAGGTGTACATCAAGAAACGACAAATTGATATCCTGAAAACGCTAGAAGATTTCCACAACGCCGCCCATATGCATTTTATAGATGGCTCTCTAGTGGAACTGGCTCTCAGTGTTGCCCTCGCCCATGCTCTTACTGCTCGAGCTGCCACTCTGGATAGCCCCGAGGATCCCGTCGATATAGCTAGCGCCACTCCACTTCTGATGCGTCAAAACGTCACAGCCACCTTCCTTCTCGCGCCTCTGCACAATGTTCACATACGCCAGCATGCCATCCTTCTTGAAGTCCCTCGCAAGCTCGTTCGTGATGGTGGCGTTGGAGTGCAAGCCAGCAAGCGAGATAAGCTGCAGCACGAATCCTTCCTTGGCAATATCCCAAATAAAGCTCTTGAGCGTCTCGTCTGTGAATCCGTGTGCCATCCAGTTGAACGAAGGGCTGAGGTTGTAGACGAGCCCCTTGCCCGGATAGACGGCGCGGACGGCCCTGACGAGATCTGTGGCGACCTTGACGTTGGGATCACCAGTCTCGACCCACAGGAGGTCAGCGTAGGGGCCAAAGGCAATGGCGCGCTTCGTGGCGGCGTCCATGCCGGCGCGGTAGTGGTAGAAGCCTTCGCGCGTGCGGGGCACGTCCCAGGAGAAGTAGACGGGTGTCGAGGTGTGCTCGTTGGCGAGCTTGCGGCGCTGGGAGATTCCCATATCGCGGTTGGAGCGTGTCGCTTCGAGATACGCGTCAATCTTGTCCTGGGAGACACCCTCCTTTTGCATATGCGCCACGGCGGCCTCGTCAAAGGTCACAAGCTTGGTGCTCTTGACCCAGTTGGCCTCGAAAGCGTCGATTTCGGCCCCAACCGCGCCCTTGGCCTCCATGGCCTGGATAGTCTCGGCGAGGGGCTCGAAGCTCGGATCCGCCACGCCCAGGATGAACTCGTGATCGCGAACGTCAATGGCACTACTGATGAGCTTTCCGCTCTCCGAATCGGTGCGGGCGATGACGAGGTTCTCGCAGCCCATGACGTCCCATTGGAAACGAGCGGCGTTGAGACGGTTGATGTGCTCGCCAATGGGGACGAGGACCTTGCCAGCCAAGTGGCCGCACTTCTTGCCGCCGTGGAGCTGATCCTCAAAGTGCACCGCCGCGGCGCCGTTCTCTGCGAAAAGTTTGGCGAGCTTGAGAACGGCAGAGAGACCGCCGTGTCCGGTGTCGCCATCGGCAATGATGGGTCGTAGATAGTCGACATACGGGGTCTTTGCGCGTTCTTCGGCCTTGAGCTTCCGCCGAGAATCCCATTGTTTCCGATCATGCATCGACTGCGCCTTGGCGAGACGCTGGACTTGGTTCGGAACGGTGTTGTAGGGATAGTCGCCAAAGTCGGGGGAAACCTCGTTGGTAGAGGTCAGAAGGGAGGAGCAGGCCCAGCCTGAGATATACAGGACTTCTTGGTGAGGGGCCTGCTGGGTCATTTGGACAGGATCAATGGCGCCCACTACAAGATATCGGCGGTTAGCATTTACCCATCTATAGAAAGGTGGGGAGAGGAGTGTCCGTACTCGTATGGATAGGCTTGCCCTCAGCTTCCCGCTCCTTGACGAGGTTGAAAAGCTTTCTAGCCATGACGGAGCTCGGGTATGACTGATGCTGCGAACCGCGCTTGGAAACCACATCGGCTGAGCTGTATGGCCGCTTTATTCCTTCGTATCTCGGTGACTGCCACCATGCCTCAACCTCTTTGATCTGTGCTTCGTACAGTTCATCCTCGGCAGCACCGGCCTTCTTAGACTCGGCCAGAAGTTGGAAGTTATCGCTAGGAGGGGCGGAAGCAGAGAAGGGGTTCTTGGGTGTTTGTGCCATGTTCCTTGTTTTTGAAAAACAGCGCACAGCAGCAGCAGCAGTAGCAGGTGTTGAAGACGGGCTGATGAGAGGAACCCTCCGGGTGACTGCTCGCGCAGCAGCTCGTCGCATCATTGTCGTGTCTCTTTTTCCTAGAGGTAGGAGTACCGAGATGCTGCAAAGTGTGAAGGAGAAGCACAAGATAGAATCTGCAAGACTTTCCCCGGTCGTGGTATTGTCTACAGAGCGATGATGCCCGTCTATTACGAGGAGTTTAGCGTCGTATCGCCGGCGAGGCAGGTTTCTACCAAAGCAAATCCGAAAGGCAACGACTCGGTACTCGGGACAAAGGATGTTACATAAGAATAGCTGAATGGGAATAACGTGGGAAATGGCCAGGCGCAATTGGGAGCGCCCAACTTCGGCGAGTCTTAGCCGGGCAAAAGCGAATCAACAGCCTTGGTAAGCAGCGGCAAGACGAATGTCACCACGTGCAAGGGCAATGTGAGGTGCTCCCATTGGTCAATTGACAAGACCAAAGGTCCGCAGTTGCGTCGGCTTGCCTCGGCCCATTCTTTTCCCCTCATCGGCCACAGACTCACAGTGCAAGCGACGTGGGGAAGGACTGATCACGGATGTTAAAGCAGCTATGTACTGCGTACCTATGGTGAAGCAAATATGGGTCTGTGAACTTCCCCGGCCACTCACGGCGCACGGGATATGGGCAATGACGCTCCGGCCGCTGGAACGGGCAAAAAGCTGGGGTCCCGTCCCCTGTGGTTCCAGTGCACTCCCCCACCGACCTTGAAGACCACCCCGCCAGCGTCTTAATAGCCACAATATCTACCTACCTAAGTACCTTAGGTACCGGGCACACAACCCAAAGAAGCCCGCTTAACATGGGATTGGTAGTTTCCCTACCGTGTGATGTTAAGGCACCGGACCGGCATACCTACTACCTTGCCCGTACATGGCTGACGGCGGTCTGAGGAGTGCAGCAGCGCGCTGACTTACACATCCCCTCTCCCGCGGGGGTAGGTCAGTGCCGCTCATCCAGGCTTCCCCAACCTCGGGTCAAGCTGTTTGTCTCGGCCTGCTGCGGTACCTGCTTATCTAGCTAGGTCGGCACAATGTGAAGTTCCCTCGCCCGTCTGCTCGTGACTTTTCTTCCTCAAATTTCTCCTCCTACAGTAGTTTCATCACCAGCTGCTTGTCTCTGTCAACCTACCTCCAGTACTCCTTAGATAAATTTGACCCGATCCAGCCGATTGATTCAGTAGCCATTCAGCTACTCCTGCCTTTCCTGGTCACCTTATTCAGTCCTCCTCTACCCCTCCCCATAACTTCTCCGTCACCGATCCTCCCTTTGAACTTCTCTCGGTTGACAGCCATGGCTATGAATATCACAAAAGGCACCAGAGCTCTTGGAGCTCTGAGGGTAAGTCGAAGCCATACCAATCAACATACCGCTAGACGGTTATGGTCTAACAACCCGTAGCCTCTGGCAGCTCGTTCTGCCCTCAATGCGCGCCAGTATTCAACTTCCGAACCGGACCTCAAGACCACACTAAAGAGCGTCATTCCCGCCAAGCGGGAACTTCTGAAGAAGGTCAAGGCACACTCGTCCAAGGTCATTGGGGAAGTCAAGGTCGAGAATACTCTTGGTGGCATGCGAGGCCTCAAGGCTATGGTTTGGGAGGGATCTGTCTTGGATGCGAATGAGGGCATTCGGTTCCACGGCAGGACCATCAAGGATTGTCAGAAAGAGCTTCCCAAGGGAAAGACTGGAACAGAAATGTTGCCCGAGGCCATGTTCTGGCTTCTTCTTACAGGCCAGGTCCCGTCTACAAGCCAGGTTCGCCAATTCTCTCGCGAATTGGCTGAGCAAGCTCAGTTGCCCGCCTTTGTCAACAAGCTTCTCGACGATTTCCCCAAAGACCTGCATCCAATGACCCAATTTGCCATTGCCGTCTCTGCTCTCAACTACACCTCCAAGTTTGCAAAGGCCTACGAGCAGGGTATCAACAAGGCTGACTACTGGGAGCCTACTTTCGACGACTCCATCTCGCTGCTGGCTAAGCTGCCCACGATCGCTGCCAAGATCTACCAGAACTCCTACCGTGGCGGCGGCGCTCTGCCCGCAGAAGTAGACCTGGAGCAGGATTGGTCTTACAACTTTGCTGCCATGCTTGGGAAGGGTGGCAAGGCGAACGAGAACTTCCAAGATCTCCTCAGATTGTACCTCGCTCTCCACGGAGACCATGAGGGCGGTAACGTTTCCGCCCATGCCACTCACCTGGTTGGCAGCGCCCTTAGCGATCCCTTCCTAAGCTACAGCGCTGGTCTTCAAGGTCTCGCGGGTCCTCTTCATGGGTATGTTGTATCATCGATTGCTGCTGTTTTGACAAGCCAATGCTGACCTCCATATAGACTTGCCGCGCAAGAGGTTCTTCGGTGGATTCTGCAGATGAAGGACAACATCCCCTCGTCCTATTCTGATAAAGATGTCACAGATTACCTGTGGTCCACCCTCAACTCCGGCAGAGTTGTCCCTGGCTACGGCCACGCTGTCCTGCGGAAACCCGACCCTCGGTTCGAGGCTCTGATGGATTATGCCGCCGCTCGACCTGAGATCGCACAAGACCCCGTCTTCCAACTGGTGGAAAAGAACAGTCGAATTGCCCCCGAAGTGCTCAAGAAGCACGGCAAGACCAAGAACCCTTACCCCAACGTCGACTCAAGCTCTGGAGTCCTATTCCATCACTATGGCTTCCACGAGACTCTGTACTACACCGCCACCTTTGGTGTCTCCCGTGGCTTGGGACCCCTTGCTCAATTGATCTGGGACCGAGCATTGGGACTGCCCATTGAGCGGCCCAAGAGCATTAACCTGGAAGGTCTTCTTAAGCAAGCTGAGAGCTCGTGAGCCAAGTTATCTTGAGCAATGTAATGGGGAATTAGATGAATTTGACTACAATAGCTTTGCTGGTATCTAGATATAGCCGGAGTTTATCCAGGAATCTTATGACACATCATCACAGGATACATCTTCCGAAGCTCTCGACACTTTTTACTGATATCGTAAGCCGAGTAACATTCCGTAGTCAAAAACAAACTGTTGTCTACGACTGACGCATGGCCTCTGGCTGTCAGTTTCTGGATAATACATTCAGGCTTGGGAACTTTGATGCCAGGCGTGAGCTTTTGAGTTTTATTGAGCGATACCATTATGCCACGATCCAACACGAAGTGAATTGTCTTAAATAGAAGTCATGAGCACCTTCCTTGTCTCGGACTGCGGTAGCTCTAGAAGTAAGGTTTGGTCAAGACAATAGCTGCCGGGATCCCAAGTTCACAATACGAGCGGCTTTTTGTGCAGAGTCCCCCTCCTAGAGTGCCTAATGCCTAGCAAAGTTAATCCAGGAGATTCACATTTCGCTACGGGATGAATGATAAAAGCCGCTTTCTGCAAGTTAGTGCAGCCTGGCCAATTACATTAGACAACGATGAGCACACAATGAGGCAAAACTTGGATGACTCTAGGCTAAATTCGCCTTCAACGAGAGGCTTTTTTGTCGCCAGAACATGCTCAAGTGCCACTAAGACTTATATGCTCGCCACATTGAGCGATGTCACCTCGGTTGGCCAAAGCAATATGGAGGTCTAACAATGCGTAGCACTGGCGCCTCCGCTACTGTTCTCAGAACATGGTCTGGCTTTGCGCGTAGTAATGCAACTTCCCCTTTTGAAGAAGGCTCGCATTAGACTCAGCTCAGCTTTTCAAGGCCAAGAATTCGGGCATCAGCTGGAATCATTAATGCATAAGCGTGGTCAGCTAAGATGTTTCTTCGCTCCCAAGTTCTGATGGCTGGCCATCGTTGCGCCGAGACATCAAGAGAAGCCTTTGTACATGTGAAATTGTTGGAAGCGGCTGGTATCGTCTGTGGTTTCTCATGTGGTAAAAATCTTTCTCGAAGTGGTGAATATTGCATTCATCAAGTTTACTTCTCAAAGGAACTCTGGGCGCATCCCTAGCCGTATAATACTAGTTTGTCTAGACCGAATATGACCTGCTCCGATATCATTGGTACGGCTGGTCCAGAACATCAAATCCCAATCTTGTGGCGTTCTAGTACAGCTGTCAGCTGATGAATCATTCTGTGAGCAATTTAATTTCATTTGGTCTTCGCTCAAGGCTCGCCCGCCTAATGTGATTGCGGTTTGAACCAAATCTCTTTGATGTATCGTGTAGTCAACTTCTGGTATTTGAGTAACTTCAGGAATAGCTCTATTATTAACCGAATTTGGCACTGCGAGAAGGTTACTTGTGGTGTTTTGTCTCGTATTCGGCAGGCTCAGTTGACCTCGGCCTCAAGGAGAACCAACTGAAGAGGGTCAATATCATTTGATAACTCTAGCCCATCAGCTATCATGTGTGCTTCTTCGATATGGGTATAAATACACGAGATCAACACCAATCTGAGAACTGTGTTTTCCATCACTGCTCTATCGAAACTACTTAGACAAAAGTGTTAATAACACCAGAGACACTGCATCATTCATTCATACCCTTCAAAACCTTACACAGACTCCAACATGAAGGGCCTTTTTGCTCTGTTCCTAGCGGTACAGGCGGTAGCCAACCCCCTGGGGCCGACTGGAGCCTCTGATACACCTGATCCCAAGGAAATCCAGATCGTCAGCGCAAGCTTCTCGGGAAGTGGTTGCCCTCAAGGCTCCGTCTCAACCACGATTTCTCCAGACCGTACGGTCATCACCTTTGGCTTCGACAAGTTTCAAACCTACATTGGTCCGGGACTCTCGGTGGCCGAACGCTCCAAGAACTGTGCTCTTCACCTTAGCCTCAAGTATCCAGGTGGTTTTCAGTTCGCTCTTGTGGACAGCACATACCATGGGTATGCTCAGCTTGAAGAAGGGGTCACTGGAACATTCTACTCGACGTACTTCTTCTCTCAAGACGCTGCAGCCACTACTACAACGCAGACTTCCATCACCGGAGGTGGCATCTGGCTTAATGGCCAGGTCTATACCAAGCAGGACACCATCCCTACTGCAGCTCTCATTTATTCGCCTTGCGGCGCGACGGGCATCCTTAACGTCAACAATCGTATTGCTCTTACGTCCAAGAACTCCCAGGCTTACGGTTCTATCACCGACGATGATGCCACGGTAGCATTTACTCAACAGATCAATATCAAGTGGCTGCCTTGCAAGAAGTAGATTGAACCGTGGTCTCCCAAACTCACTGTTAAGGAGCGCTACCAGTATGTTTCACCTCCTAGGATGGTACGGGAATGATACTGGTGCTAGCTTCTATATGGAGCTGTACAATGGTATGAGAAGTTTGAGAGCGCAGTAGTCCAGTACATGAGGTTACGGAATCAACGAAGGGGGGTATTGGGTATTGGCTCAGCACAGAAACAGACATTGATAATCCATCTTCACCCAATATCCGTCAATCCAGTTAATCCACGTTTTCTTTCGATCTTCCTCTACCTTCTGCAATTATAGATCAAACAACAGATATGAGCTAGCCCCTTACCATGCCTCATTATCTTACACACACAGCCCACATCTTTGACATCAAATTGTTCGATCAAAAGATGGGAGTATCCCGGGTTAGATTGTGACCAGAAGATATCAATGGTGACTTCCATATACGTAGTTACAGCCATGTGCCATAATCTTCAAGGCCCAGGAACTGGTCAAACATCAAGAGGTTTCAGGCGAGAAGAATTCAAGGGGGTATCCACCAGACGGATATTTTAGAGAAGCTCAGATCAGTAAGCAAAGCCAGAGTGAGCCTTTCAATGAACTGCGCGTTGTCGTCGTTCACGATAACTACGTAGCTGGAGAAGTGAGAGTAGACGCTGAGCACCGCCTCACATCCGGCCAGACTATACGGGCGTACCAAATCATTGAAATGACAAAGCAACATGTATCCTCAGCTGTTTCTATGTCTACGTTGACTCCAAAAGAAGCCTACGTCTGTACGCAATCGAAAATTTCCAGGAGAGTTGCTTTTGACGTCTGGAGATCTCCCCGACTTCCTCCACTCAGTGGCCGCGTCTGTTACAGGAACCCCCGCAGAAGCTAAGCTTTTGTCCCGCTGCTCCGCACTCCATGATTTGCGCCGCTAAGTACCTAAGCCCACCGGTTAGTGGAGTAATAAAAGCCCATCATATCAGCTGAAGCCCCTGAGGCGCATCAATGCAGCCTTCTGTCGGTGCCACCTTCCATACTGGCCGGATCCGACCCCCCACACGGAGAAGCAACCTATTCTGTGAATCAAGGACAATCTCAGTGCCCCCAACCACGGGGCCGCCAGGTTAATCCCGCTCCAACCTATCATTGACGTAGCAAGTGCACTAGCAGCTTCAACAACGTGTGCATGTTTCAAGGAAAGCGCCATGATAGCCACTTATCTTGACAGAGTAGAAGGATTATCAAGTGCCCTATAGGCAAAGACAATGATTCGTTGAGGGCGAATACCATATCAATCGAAGGATCGATGAAGATCCACCCCCGCAGCCGAGTAGGACTGCCCGGCCAAAACGGTATAGACACGAAAGTAACCTTGATTATGCCATCTTAATGTTCAACTTGCCTTGGAGGGCCTTGCATCGTGGCGGAGGAAAAAGACTGCCGGCGCGCCCACCGCTGCGCTCGGATCCCGAGCTGCTGTGCCCCCCTTTTCATCGCAACAGCCGGTGCTGTCTGTCTCCTGTCTACCTTCCATGTGACCTACCTGGAACTTCTCCTCGAGTAGTTGGCTGCAAAACGCAAGAGCGTACGACTCTAACCCTGGCGCAATATAGCATGCTATGCTCGCTCTTCGAAAGATATAACTCCACTTGGTGCTGTAACTGCAAAATACCTGTCACCTGCATCAGGGTTTTGGAACCATCTGTTGAGATCCCAGCGACTTATCCTCATTCGCCCATCTAATCATATCTCTGGAACGATAAACTCAGCCAACCGGCCGTTCTCGGCATCTTTGGAATTGACTCGGGGTCTGTCCCTGGATCATGTCAGCCAACGGTAAGGTTATACGTGCTCACGTCAGTTCAATTATCCGCCAGGCCTTCCTCCTTCAGCAGAGTTCAGGATGTTTGGATGTACGAAGTCACTAAGCATTCAAAATGTGTGATAATAGTTCGTAATCTGCGTATGCTTGGTATCATTAGCTTCAACGAGACCCAAGTTTAAGGTAGCTAGGCGCAAATAGCGGATTTCTATCTGCGCCAACTTTGCGATGGGAAAGTGACACGCAATTACAACGAAGGAAACCTCTCCAAGCGAAGAGTGCCAGTTGATGCTAGATGAGCTGCTCATCATGAGCAATACTGCTTTCCCCTACTCACCACCAATCCAACTGATTTCTAGCTCAAATGCCAATCAGACGCAGAGCATACCTCTACGACCAGACTGGCTGGATCGGTTGATTACATCCAGGCTTGAGCATGGGAGTTCGGCCCTATTCAAAGGAACCATGAAAAGCATTCTTCTAAAATAAATTGCAGATCGTGTTCTGTCTCAAGTTGTGAAGCAACCTGGCGTCGGGTGTTGGAATGTCCATTCCCAGTGCGCCCTGGAGAGGCGGCAAGTGATCACGACTGATATCATCAGACGGTGAATCCAGTCAGTAAGAGAGTGACCCAGTCCAGTCATTTCAAAAAGACCTCGAGTACTGGGAACCGCCAAACACGTCCATGTTTCCTCAGCGGGGCTCATAGCCATATAACTGACTTGCGTCTGTACCGCATGGAGGCGGGGACTCCCTGTTTCATCTGAAGCTTGAACCAGTCAAGCTCTTTGATCCAAGTCCAAGCCACCTCTGATAGTACCGCTGCATATACCCGTCGGCTACCCCCGTCCCGGGGTACCCAAACCCACACTGCGTTTTATCCTTGGCGCAAATGATGGAGATCTCAAGTGCCGATGTGGAGCAGATGTCTTTGTGCGCGAACAATATCCAAACCTCAAGAGCCATCTCAAGCATATTATCCAACACCACACTAAATGCCGAAAGACCTGTTACTTGACAGGGAGACTACTGAACACTCAAATGATTCAGGATCATGACTACTGTCCGCGGACGGTCAAGTTTTCGCCGTAGCTAAATAAAGAGACAAGCAGGCCAAGGCCAATCATCGAATGGGAGTACACACCAGAAAGACGCACAGTTCTTAATTTGGCATCGGAATAATACTTTGGAACATCAAGACGAGAAAGGGTTGTCCCGGCAGCTCGCCCGCCGCAGCTGACATCGGAATGCCACTCAAAGTTTAATGCATGAAATCAGTCATCCCAATACTTCGCCTCTTCTAGGTAGTAGATTGCCGCATTCTACCATGGCAAGGTATGAAGTCTGACCGCACGGCAAGAAAGCCGTTGACGCAGACACATCCGATAAAAGGTATTGATCTCACCGTCGAAGGTCATGGTTCGTTTGATGAGGTGTGCTGTCTCGACCTTGATGATTACATGGCAGACACATTCTTTCTCTTTGCTTTGATCACTTGCCAGATTTCCGCTGACGGCAATAAACATGAAGTTCTTCGAAAACGCCAAGTCTGAGTTTCAGACAGACAGCACTATCAATACAGTCCGGAGAAAGGTGGCCTCAGGGCTCCCAAGATTGCCCCAAGCAACCGGACAGTATCTCATCGAAAAAGTTCCTATTGTTCAGTGGCTTCCGCAGTATCACCCAAAATGGCTCCTGTCCGACTTTATTGCAGGAATGACGATTGGTGTCATGATGATTCCTCAAGCATTGGCCTATGCAAAGATAGCAACGATCCCCGGGGAGTTTGGTCTCTATTCTAGCTGGCTACCAGCTGCCATTTACGTCTTCATGGGGACTTCGAAAGGTGCGTACGACCAATATGCTCAGGTGTATTCATTTTCTAACATTGATTCAGACCTCTCTACCGGGCCAACTTCCATCATGGGCCTCCTTACCGCCGAGATTATCACGGATCTCAAGACAGAAGGTTTTGCTGCCCAAGACATCTCATCAGCCGTCGCGTTGATGGTCGGCATATACTCGCTCATTGTTGGACTGCTAAAACTCGGCTTCATCTTGGAATACATTTCAGTCCCAGTTCTGTCTGGGTTTCTGTCTGCAGCTGCTATTACGATTCTTTTGGGCCAGGTTGGCTCGCTTGTTGGTCTTAGCGATGTTCCCTCCGGCACCTCGGCTATCATCAGTAACGTTCTGTCACGTATCCCGGAGATGGAGCCTCTTACGATCGCTATTGGATTCAGTGGTATTTTGATGCTGTACATCCTCGAATTCATTGGAAAGAAGTGGGGAAAGAAGAGCGCAGCAATCAAATTCGCCTGCAGTAGCCGAGCGGTCATCCTATTGCTCATCTACACGACAATCAGTTTCCTAGTCAACAAAGATAGAGCAGACCCCTTGTGGGCTATCAGCAAGGTCAAGGCCAACGGTCTTCAAGCGCCAAAGATTCCTGCCGGAGACCTTGTCTCCAAGGTTACCACCAGAGCAATCGCCCCTCTCGTAGCTTCGGCCCTCGAGCATCTGGCCATCGGAAAGGCCTTTGGCCGAAAGAACAACTACGCCATCGACGAAAGCCAAGAACTCTGTTATCTCGGCATCACAAACACCATCAACAGCCTTTTCGGAGCAATGAGCGTGGGCGGTGCCATGTCAAGGACAGCTGTGAACTCAGAGTGTGGTGTCAAGAGTCCGCTTAGCGGCGCCTTTACCGCTGGGTTCATTCTTCTCACCTTGTATAAGCTTTCAGGAGCTCTGTTTTGGATCCCCAAAGCTACTCTTTCTGCAATTATCGTACGTTCAAAACGCCCCTCCTCTCTTATATCGGCGTAAGCTAACAGACTTTCACCAGATCATGGCCGTTATACACATCATTGGCCCTGTTTCTGTATTCTACCGTTACTGGCGTATTTCGTTCATGGACTTTGTAGCTTCGATGCTCTCTTTCTGGGTCACACTTTTTGTGTCTACGGAGATGGGCATTGCTTTCGCGGTGTTATTCAGCATAGGATACACCTTGGTTCGATCCGCATTCCCGAAGGTCAAGACGTTCTCAGCTACAAGCGGCCAGAATCGCACGATTCAGCGAGAGCAGGCAGCTGTGCCTTCTGTTGCAGAAGATACATTCGTTCCCGAAGACGCCATGTTAATCAGTTTCACTGACTCAATCTTCTTCCCAAACGCCGGCCGGATCAAGAAGTCAGTGCTTGAGTCAGTTAAAGTACAGTTTGAACGACAAGAGGTTGGTGATCAGTCACAGAGCAAGTCAGTCGATAGATCTTGGAGTGTCGCATCGTCTAAACGCATCGAAATGTTGCGGAAGCGAGACAACGTCATGCCCTCGAGCAAGCAGATGGCTGTCATGGTCTGGGACCTGACACATGTGCCGTTTATCGACGTAACGGGAGTACAGACACTTTCCGAGTTGAAGGAGGAAACGAAACAGCATGTAGGAAAACAGATGACACTCAGGCTGGTAGGAATGAACAGCAAAGCCCGCCGCAGATTCTCTCGCGCTGGCTGGAAAATTGTTCAAGACCGCGAGGTTGACGACTCAACTCCAGAGCACGTCGACGTTGCGTACGAGTCTATAGAGGCGGCTTTATGGGATAGAGACTTTGCGGATAGGGATGAAAAGTCAGGACTCCAGGGAAGAGCATACTACAGCCCCCGAGAAGGGTCTCCATAGCGATGAGCTGGGTGTCAGGTGTGCAGGTCGATGCTAGGGTTCTCGAGGAGAGGCGAGCGTTGAAAATCTGCTCCTCTCCAGTGGCTGTATCTTATCGTTCTGGTTCTGTTATTCTCGTTGACGAGAGTTTGGGTTGCATGCTTGGGACTTTTTGCCTTTGGAGGAAACGATAAGGAGCCCTGGTGGCCCCTCGAATGAGTACATCAGAAAGCATAGCAAAAAAAGATGATCAGATTTCTTCTAATTTTGTTCAATAAATTCTAAGCGGATTATACGTCTCCAAGGAGTAATTGAATGAGTTATTAATTATTCTACTTTGCACCCATTCATACACTTCTAACGTCACCGTGCATTACTTTTATGTCGACAAAGCCCACGCGTTTGCCGAGAACCACCAAACTAATATACTGCTTGAGTGAGTTCTTCTTCATTTCGCCGCATCATTCGTTTTCCCAGCCGCTCTTGTAGATTTCTGACCGCCGTGGCCCTGGCTGTTCGGGGTGTCTCCGGAGTTGCCGGGCGGGGGCTTTCCTCCGCTTGCTTCTTGAGATTCCTCTTACCGAGCCTGTCTTGAAGAGTCTTTACCGCTGCGGCTCGGACTGTTCTCGGTGTGGCAGGAGAAATCGGGGTGCTTGGAGACGCCGGTAAAGGTCCCTCCACCTGGGACCGCCTGGCATTTTCGGTCTCCTGCTGCTTGAGTGCACGGAGACGCCTAGCAACTTTTGACTGCATTCTAGCAGCTGCCGAGGTTCGAGGCCTGGAAAAGTTGTGCACATCGGATCTGATGGACCGGACTGTCGATGTCGGGCTCGCAGGTCGTGTAGCTAGTGCTGCTATAGACGGATGTTGGCTTGGCGGACGTGTGCTTGGCCGCGAGCTTTGCTCAGATATGACTCGACTCTCTGTCCTGTACGTCAGACGTCGCCCCTCAAGAGAGCTGACACTTGATATCCTACGCCTCCGTCGTCCCTCGTTTGGCAATACATTGCTGTCAGGTCGAATGCTATTGGTAATGCCATCCGCTCTGTTTACGAGGGTTGCAATGTGTGGGAGTGAAGGAGGATGGTCTGGAATAGCTTCAAGACCATAACGAGACGATCTAAATGTCGTCGTGGTGCGTGAACTTGCCGGCCGGCTAGCTTGCCTCATCTGTAAATGATAGTTTGCCTCCCAATCCCCATCCCGGGTCGAAGGTCTGCGCCCTACGAGTCTGTTTTCTTCTTCCATGGTCATCAATGGAGTCAGCGGCCTTCTGAATGGAATATCCAGAAATCGACCGTTGATGGGAGGTGATTGCATGCCGATAGCAGTCCATCTTCTTGAATCATATCTCCCCTGTTCTTCAAGTAGAGCCTGACTACGCGGAGAGTACTCAGCATGCCGAGGCATGGATGGCAGAATCACTTCGCCAGGCTGTGCCGAGGCATTGGTGGATATGTCAGAATCCCCTTGTCGCATACTGGCATGTTCACGACACGTAACCCAATCATCGAGTGCCACTCTCGCGGCTGCTTTTGGTGTCGCGCCATCCCTCGTCGGTGGCTTCCATGCGAATGCACTGGAGGACACTGGAGAGTCGGGCAATGAGACACCAGGGCGATCCCCGAAGACAGCATTCAAGGGCGTTGGCATGGATATGCTTCTGGCGTGACGTCTAGCGATTTCGTTAGTTTTGAGTCATATTATGAACAGAAGTAAAGTTACTTACAAAGCTCTTCGCTGAGGCTCGTGAGGATTCCTTTTCGTCAGAGTCTTGCGTTTTCGCTTCTCGGGTTTGCTTGACACACGGGGCTTTTCGGCGTGCTTCTCTATATTCGCCTGGAGGCTCGGCGTCATATAGACAACTCCCGGCTCAAGGTCGTCGTCATCATCAGGACACGCTAGTGGATCCTCGCCTCGAATGAACCAAGCTTGAGAAATGCCTAGAGTCGCGAATGGACGATCTGCCATCTCAATAACTGCAAGTACTGCTGCGAGAGAAAACCTTGTGAAGGTATTAGCTCTGACCATCCAGTCCCTTTGGATTCAATCACTCACAAGGAAGATATGCTGATTATGACATTAAGCCATGGGAGGTTTTCTTGAACCCCCTTGGAAAGATCCAGTCCAATGTTTACAGCCACAAATATCGACAAAGTGATTGCTGCCACCCAAACGGGAAGACCCAGCCTAGCCAGCAAAAAGGCAAAGCCGGCAACATATTTGCCGTATTTAGTTGGAGATCCATAGTTCTTGATGTACGCTGTTCTTCCAGCGACTAAGTGCGTGAAGACGTAGACGAGACTCATGCAGGAAGCGACGAAGAAAACAGCTCGGCTAAGAGGATCAAGGACCTCTGTTGACTCGAGATCCTGGAACAAGACCACAGCTGATAAAGCTATACCAGCTCCGGCCGAAATGAATAATAGTATTACCGAGAGAAGAGACAGTACGGGATACAATCGATTGGCTTTCTGAGGGGTTGTTTTTGGTGACAATGCAAGCGGCGGCACTGAAGTCGTCGCGTTCTCATAGTGCTGACTCATTAGTACTCGATTCCATCCACACGACGCAAAAGTATTGTCCGGTGTCGCCTCGTGTTTGTAGTGAGAAGACTCGGATTGATCGGCTGCCACTGACGATCGACTTTGACTCAGCAGCGTCGGAGAGCGCGATCACACAAGGCAGTGTTGCCTGAACCCCAAAGGTGACATTGAAACCTTGTAAGAAACGTGATAATTCTCCGTGAATGTGGCTTGAAGTTGAAGTACAGCTGGACAGCGGAAGAGAGGGGTTTTGTTTGCACATGCCACATAAATCAGCCTTGATTCATCTGAGTTTCTGGAGTGAGCATGACGTGTCGCCTCGTTCAGACTCGAGATCAATAACACAATCCGAAGTTTTTGAGGTTCCATCCCCCGGCAATCTAGCCGACGCATGGATGCCGACTGAGTCTCTTTGTGTGTGATCGGTTCTCATCTGATGTCCGCACCAGCATGTGAAACAATGCGATGGCCGAAATGGCCCAAACTCACGTACAGCAAATGGGCTGCGCATAGACTTTAGAACGTTTCGGGTAGCCGGATCGAACGCTGCAGCGAATGATTTCATTACATCTTTTCGTCTCCTCCCGTGTTTTCATTCAAGTCGGTCGCCTCGGTAGGGCCGTTGGTGAGACGAACCTGAAGTACCCAACAATGGGCGCTTTTTGTCCTTACTTAAATTCAATGGTTTCGAGGTTGTCTTCGATCCTGTTGACAGGGGTCAATTCGACGGGTTTCAAAACACTGGTAGACATGGAATTCCTTTGCGCTTAGCTTGCTTGGAGTATAGCCCAGAGCGTCTGTTTGGCCATGGGAAAACGCAACTCCTCCATAAGGGCATTTGATTGCAAAGGCCAAGCGGGAGCCGACTCGGCCAAGAATTGCCTTCACTGGAATGGTCTCAGGACCTTTAAGCTCAGTGAGTTTAGCTACTGTGCCTCCCCACTTGTGGGCCTGCGTTGTGTTGTTACATTGACAGTGGCCCACGTGCCTTACACAGTAGGTGTATCAAGCGCGTGTCAAACCCTGCCCCTAAGCTTCGACCACAGTTGTGGCATTTAGCCTTACTCTCTGCGTTGTCTCTGTGCGAACAACACAAATACCAAGCGTGATCGAATTCATCAGCTTTTATTAAATTGGCGACGCAATCAGAAGTTAGGCGAGTGCGATCAAATAATCGTTCCCCTCCCTTGCCAATCGGGTTCTTACAAGCCCACTCATTACGTTCTCCGCGCCCCGGGCGCGGGCTTTCCCTCTGGGCACAATAGTGTTCAAGGCAATGCCACAATGGTACATCAACAACCCAATCACTATTACATATAACCGGGAATGAGGCTCTCGGTGATCGCCACCAACTTTCATATCCCCGTCACGCTCAAGACCGCCCATTCTGGCGGTGCTAGCCTCCGTAGATGATTGACATAGTGTTCACGCTCCCGACCGCGACCAGCGGCATCTTGTTGATCACCATTGCAGGTCTCCAAGTTTGATAGGTACACGAAGCATACGGTGCCCAGAAGCCGTTGGTTGTGGCAGCTTGCCAGCTCGGATGTTTGTCTGCAGGGACTGGTGAAGTAGCTTTGGCTCACCGAGCTTAGCATCGCGCTCTTTGCGTTGCGCAACGAATTCCTCCTCGGTGATACCGTCCCGTAAGTGTTTGTTCAGCTTTCTGTGGTCGCTGACTGTCATCCATGGTACCGGGCCTTCTCGATCGTCCGGGGGATAGTCATGGCCTGTCCAAACTTTGACGTGGTCTGGAAGACTAAGAAGCCTGCGGCCCGAGTGATAAAGGTTGTTGGCGCTTCCCCCAGGAAAGTCACATCGAGCAGTCCCAATGTCCACGTGGAAAAGGGAATCACCGCAGAACACATTGTCTTGTCAAGAACATCAGCAAAAGTAAATATGAAAACGGGGCGTCTCAGGGGCCTTACCTCCGATCTTATAGCCCAGATGGTCGGGCGTGTGCCCGGGGAGATGAATGGCAGTCGCGCTCAGGTGACCAATGCTGAAACTCTCATCGTCTTCAAAGAGTTTGTCAAAAACACCATGACGCTCTTGGCTGGACACGTCATATCGTTGGCCGAATAAATCTTGTACCTGTCCGATGCGCCTTCCGATGCCAATCTGTGGCTTGTTACCATGCTCTTCTGCGATGCGCTTCTGTAGGTATGAAGCTGCAGTGAGGTGATCTGCATGTGCATGAGTTTCTAGGATCCGCAAGACTCGGTAGCTCTTTTCTTTGACCAGTCGAAGCAACTCGTCTGCTGAAGAAGTGGTGATAATTTGAGTTGTGCGGTCATAATCCAAGACTGGATCAATGATGACAGCCGCTTTCGTCGCTGGGTCTGCAACGACGTATTGCCAGGTTCCTGTGTTTGACTCAAAAACATCGTGAATGACAGGCTGTGTGACATCGACGGGGGCTGTGCTATATGAGTATCTTCCGGACTGACTTATCGCATTTGGGAGATTCCGCCATTTCGAGAGGGGCGTTGCAAAGCCGCCACTTGGTAACATGGCATGCCGACGCGCAGTGAAGACATCTAGATGGACGGCCCTGGTTGCCCTAGTGTCATGCACAGCACGCACCTGAGTGCTGCAAGTTCTTCGGATGAGTGGTGATTTTGCAATCCCTGGTGTCGATAAAAGACAGCACGACTGGACTTGTTTATTCACACGCGCGCGCATGCATGTCATTTTGAAGGTGAGTCGCGGCGGTGAATATAGGAGAGAGCGAGTGGGGTTTGGCGATGCAAGCTGCTGGAGGCAATGATGCAACTAAAAGTTGGAGGATGCACAATACAAATGGACCGAGTGGTGGGGGGGTCAATCTGCCGAAACCTTTAATACTGGGAGCAACCGAAAGAAAGTTTAAACATCGAACGACACCCCCACTGCAACCCGGCGGCTGCCCGTGCCGGTCGGGGAGTTGTAAATGAGATCGGCGACCATTCTCGCCGACTAGTCTCGCCGACAAGCCGGCCGGCCGGTGCGGCTCTCTCATTGAAGAAATACCAGTGGGATGTCAAGCCCGGGAACGAGCAAGTTTTCTGTAGCGGACGCTTGCGGCTATCGGGGGATGCTCGGCGCGGCTTGCAATCCTGACAACTTGACTCGCCTGTTGGTTCCGACAGTGGAGTGGGCCCCCGCACCTCTTTTTAAGCTTCGGCGTTTTCATTTTCCAGTCGGCGCCCCGTTTCTTTCCAGGCGCCATACTTACTTGAGTTGGTTGGCTAATCTCTGTGCTTTATCATCACGACATCTCGTGGTCCAACCCTCCCGTTGAAAAAAATAACGCCATCACCTGTTCTGCAAACTTTTTACAGCACTCCTTCTTCGTTTACTTCGAAATGCTTGCCAGTCGCGCGACTTTGGTATCGCGCCATGCCGGCCGCGCCCGGATTGCTGCAAAGGCTTCTGAGATTCGGAATCTCGCGACAGTAGCCCCCGTGAGCTCAGCTGCTCGGAACCACAAAGTTGTTGTAGTCGGAGGCGGCAGCGCAGGTCTGACCATTAGCCACCAGCTGTTGCGGTCCGGCCGGTTTTCTCAGGATGACATTGCTGTTGTTGATCCAGCCGAATGGCACCACTATCAGCCAGGCTGGACGTTGGTAGGCGGTGGCCTCAAGTCAAAGCAAGAATTGCGAAGGCCCCTCGAGAGCCTGGTTGACCCCAAACTCAAGTTCTACCAGCAGGGAGTAAGCTCCTTCAACCCCGAGGAGAACAACATCAAGCTTGGAAACGGCGATAAACTTGGCTACGAGCAGCTCGTTGTCGCTCCTGGTATCAACATCGATTACGGCAGTGTCAAGGGCTTGCCCGAGGCTCTTGCAGACCCCGGTTCCCTTGTGTCTTCTATCTACGGCTATGACACTTGTGACAAGGTATTCGGCACCTTCGGAAGACTTCAGAAGGGAAACGCAATCTTTACCCAACCCGCCGGTGTGATCAAGTGTGCTGGCGCTCCCCAGAAGATCATGTGGCTTGCCCTCGACCACTGGAAGCGTGCCGGCCTGTATAACCCCAACGACCCGGCAAGCTCGTCCATTAAGATCAGCTTTGCCACTGGCCTTCCCACCATGTTTGGTGTCCCCAAATACAGCGCAAAGCTTGAAGAATTGCGCAAGGAAAGGGGTGTCGAGGGACTCTTTCAGCATGATCTTCTCTCCGTGGACGGTAACACAGCCACCTTCGGCCGTCCTGATGGAAAGGAAAAGGTCACAAAGCAGTTTGACCTCATGCATGTCGTTCCGAAAATGGGGCCCCATGCTTTCGTCAAGAGCAGCCCTCTCGCCGACGCTGCTGGCTATGTCAGTGTTGATCAAGCAACAACCCGACACACCAAATTCCCCAATGTCTGGTCGGCAGGTGATGCATCTAGTCTCCCCACCTCCAAGACTGCTGCCGCAATTACATCTCAGGCCCCCATCCTTGTCAGCAACCTGCTGCGGTCGTTGGACGGCGCTGAGCCTCAACCTTCTTACGATGGCTATACCTCTTGCCCGATTCCTACAGAGTATGGTAAACTATTGCTTGCTGAGTTCAAGTATGGGGGAGTTCCCAAGGAGACTTTTGGCGACCTCATTGGATTCGATCAAGCAGTCCCTAGACGTGCGTTTTACCACTTGAAGAAGGACTTCTTCCCGTGGGTTTACTACACCTCCATGGTGAAAGGAACTTGGGGTGGCCCTAATGGCTGGAGAAACTGATCTCGCCGTCTGAGCACGTGTGACCTGTACTAGCTATGTATTCCTAGGAGTAGAGTGGCGGTAAAAGTCTTGAATCCGCGCGGTTTCCGGTCGATCTTTAGATTTCTCTACTGGCTGTGTGATTTAATTGCGAGATCTGTTTCACTTGGTTATCTTCCTTGAGGACCTGTGCTGTCCCAGCGAATGTGAGTGGCCGTCAATCCATTGTAGTACCTGCAGTAGCGCGTGGTTAGTTGGATATGTAGTGAATCGTGCGTGTCGGTTGATCCAGCATTCGGGGATGTTGCCCGCGGAGGTTCTTTTGAAAGCGACTTGGTTATACGTGCCGACTTCCATCCCAGGCGCTAGCGTGACCTGGCATTTCCCATCTCGGTAGCTCTGTAGTGATACCAATTTGACTAAGCTCGCGTACCACCGGTGCGGCGCCCCGCGTTAACGTTACGCTCGTATCTTCAGTCGTATTCAATTTTCGCATCCGTCCTTTTTCGTATCAAACGGTCTTCCAGATCTCCGCGGATATAAAACTGTGTGCAAAACCAAAGGATTCGGGAATTGCTTTGATGAAGTACCGAACATGATTTCTTCAAGATGAAACTAATCGCTCTTGTTTATTCCTTTGCGGCTGTAGCTGAGGCCAACTTTTTCAACCCCATCCTTTCTGGCTTTCACCCCGATCCAAGCTGCATTCATGTCGACAATGCGTTCTTCTGTGTAACCTCAACCTTTACGTGGTCTCCTGGTGTTCCAGTCTATACAAGCACAGATTTACGCCACTGGACTCTTGTGAGCCATGTCCTCAATCGACGTGAACAGCTCCCGCAGCTGGAAAACGCGCCAACTGGCCAAGATGGCTTATTTGCATCAACAATTCGCCACCACAACAACACCTTCTATGTAACAACTACCTTCGTGTCTATCACTTCCTATAAGGAATTCACCATGCAAAACCTCATATTCTCAACAAACAACCTCTTCAACGCATCATCGTGGAGCATTCCTACTGAATTCAATTTCACCGGCTACGATCCTTCTCTCTTCTTTGACGACGACAGCGACACCGTCTATTTAACTGGGGCTGCTGTCTCATCTACTGGAACCGCGATTGCGCTGACTACCATTGATATCGGAACAGGAGTCCTCGGGGATTTCTCGTATCCATGGAACGGCACCGGGCTGGGGACCGCCGAAGGACCCCACCTTTACAAGAAAGACAACTGGTACTATATCCTTGTTGCCGAAGGAGGTACTAAAGAATTGCATCGCGGCTCCATCTCCCGTTCCCGCACTGTCTATGGTCCTTACGAGAGCAACCCAGCCAATCCAATCGTCGCCGCCGAGCACTTGAACTCATCATACATACAAACAGTTGGCCATGCTGATATCTTCCAAGACAAAGCAACCGGACACTGGTGGGGGGTCGCACTCGCAATGCGTTCAGGAGCCAAGTTCGAGACGTATCCTATGGGCCGAGAGACGGTCTTATTCCCAGTTTCCTGGTCAGCAGGCGAGGGCTCGTGGCCGCGTCTGCTCGAACCCGTTAGAGGACAGATGATGGCGTCACTTCCTGGCACACTTACCAACTCCAGCAGTCTGCCTGGCATTCATCATGGGATTGATGTGGTCGACTTTGCGTCAGACTCCGTCCTGCCCTCACATTGGGTACATATTCGATACCCAAACGAGTCAGCGTACTCGATTTCTCTCGAGGGACATGCAAATTCGATGCGACTCGGCTTGTCATCAAGAAACTTATCGTCGATGATTTTGCCTCATGACACTCTTACAAAGGACATCACATTTGTCGGTCGCCGGCAGACAGAAACGCTCTTTTCATTCAGTGTCGATCTGGACTTTGACCCCCAGTTACTCGGAGAAGAGGCTGGCATTTCCGTATATCTGGATGAAAAAAGACACATTGACTTTAGTGTGGCGTTTGACAACCAGACAACCAGCGGGAAACTGCTTCAAGTTCAGTCATTCAGTAGCAACGAGAATGTCACTGTGCCGCAACCCGTCACCTTACCTCTGCCTTCAGAATACCGAAACCGCACACCAATTCGCTTGGAGGTTTTGGCATCAAACACGACGCATTACACATTCCTTGCTGGTTTTCCAGATTTGTGCAAACCCGAAGCTGTTCATATGATGATAGTTGGGCATGCAGGTGCAAGTCTAGTGAGCGGTGGATACACGGGGGTTGTCATTGGGGTATACGGAACCACCAACGGTCAAACTATCAAACGAAAGTCAGCAGCATACGTAAGTAGATGGAGGTACTCTGGCAGAGGACAGTATATAGACTATGATCTCGTGGTAAAGGACGTTCGTGTTTGATCCTGTCAACAAGCAGAGCGTGGAGCTTAGACACGAAGCGCAAACACTTATTTTGGAAGACTAGGTAGCCTGATTACTAGGCATGGTAAAATTTGATTGAGGGCTGAGTATGGGATTGTTGTATATTGGCACAATACCAGGCTCAGTTTTGACACCCAGCTCTGATACGTATCAAACCCTGCTTCATTTTGCCTGACAAGTCGGGATTTCTTCTTGATATGGCAGCACCACATGGCGACAACAATGCCGCATTGGGACGGCACAAACCCCACACCAATCTGCGACTTATAATCCTGGCCAAGTTGTGACCAACAACGAAAAATAGCCCCGCCGATATCGAATGTAACAAACATGCGAACTTCGTTGGTGCATCAGACGGCCAAATTTCTATTCGCGCGGGGAAACACCCGTGCCCACCCAACCGCCTATGGACATGGGTTTCTCTGAGTGTTTGGTGCAGAAAGGCGGCGCTGCATGCGCCAAAAAGAGGACCAACGCCGACCGTATATTAGTCCACCCGCCATTACAACTCTGTCATTTTCCTCTGTCACTTCTGTTTCTCTTTTCTCATGCTCGGGGCTTCTTCTCTGCCCTGAAGTTTCGCACCGTAAGCCATCATGGCCAACCCACCTCAAGATTTTGAGGTCCAGATCGCTGCTGATGAGGAGGTTCGTTGATACACCGCACCGTCAGTAAAATACTTTGTGTCTGATTGAATTTCTACAGCAAGATGATTCTAGTTCGGAGATGGGAACCGTGAGTGTGGTCAATTTTGCCAACCATTGATGCTGCAGACACTGAGTTTGTAACAGAGCATTGCCTCCTCTAGCACTAGTCTACGCAGCTCACTTCTAGACTATCGCCGTGAGAATGGCCGGACTTATCATCGTTACAAGGATGGAAGTGAGTTTTGAGATTGACTCAATGAGTCAGGTTACTAAAGTTGTGCTTTAGAATACCAATTCCCGAACGATGAACGCGAGCTTGACAGACTTGGTATTGATTCTCAACCATGACCGTGGGTTTGCCATTTCGCTAATCAGCGCTCTAGATTTGGTTAACCATCTATGTCTTCTCACGCTGGATGGCGAGCTTGGCATCGCCCCACCCTGTAGAGAGGACGCCAAAGTTGGCCGCGTTCTTGATGTCGGTACAGGCACGGGCATCTGGGCGGTTCAGTTTGGTGATGACCACCCAGAGGCCGATATATTGGGAATCGACCTTTCCGCCACTCAGCCAAGTAGGTATGTTTCAACCGAAGTCGGTGGGCTCCTAACGAGCATTAACGTCAATATTCTAGTGTGCCTCCTAATGTGAGGTTCGAGGTCGATGATATCGAAGACGAGTGGACATTTTCACAACCCTTCCAATACATCCACAGCCGCTTTATGACGTCTAGCATCAGAGACTGGAGGCTTTTTTTACAAAGATGCTACGAGTAAGTCTTCATCGCTTTGTAAATCACAAGACGAGGCCACGCAGCTTGGAGCTGACTAGCGCGAACATAGTAATCTTGAGCCTGGTGGCTATGTTGAGCTTCAGGAGACCGCCATTTTTGCTCAATCTGACGATGGAACCTTGAAGCCCGAACATGCTTTGTCCGATTGGTCCAAGTACCTTATGGAAGCTTCGATCAAGCTTGGAGCAGCGTGGGTTGATACGCCCGAGCTAAGGGAGATCATGGTCGAGGTCGGGTTTGAAGATGTCGCGCTGAGCACTTATAAGTGGCCGACGAACACCTGGCCGAAAGACGAGCACTTCAAAGAGCTGGGCTCATGGAATAACGAAAATTTTATGACGGGGATGGAGGCAATTACGATGGCACCCCTCACACGTGCTTTGGACTGGAGCCCCGAAGAGGTCAGAGTCTTTCTCATCGAAGTCCGCAAGAATGGAAACGACCGAAATATCCACGCTTATTGGCCTCAGTAAGTTCTCCCGCTGTAGAACCGTCTGGCTTTTTCTTACTGGCATAGGCATGTTCTCGTTGGGCGAAGGCCCATCCAAGAAAAGGAAGGCACTGCACTATCTCCGACCGCAGTTGTGGGTGAGTCTGCAGGTGCAGTCTAGAGTGGCAAGAGCCTGGCTACGCCAAAGAATATTATAACTGTCGTACCTTCCCACAGTCTTCTTGACAGCACCTTTTACGGTGAATGGCATCGAATGAAATCAAATGAATCTTCAACATTCGAAATCCCTGGTTTCATCACAAGTTCCATCAGTGAATGGTGCCATAGGCATTTATCAATACACGTGGATTGCGATTAGCTCGTATGCACTCCGATAGAGCGTTTAGCGTACACTACCGGTCTGCAATCCGAGGTTGGGGTTCATGAGAGTGGCATAGATGGCTGGTCTGGGCAACGATGATGCCGCCAAGAGAACCTCAAGTCTTTCAAAAAATGAAATGGTAGTTGTTGGATTACAGCAATCAGTAGAAAAAGAGAATACGCGACGCGGTCACGGCTTATACAAACGAACCTCCCACTTTCATTTGACTTCTGAATGAATCATGGGCTTTGCCTAGTTTCTCCTCATGAACCTCGCGCAGCATCAATAAAAATAAAGATCTAAGAAGTTTATTACTAGTACTCATCTGATGAAATTCGAAAATAAGCGCATAGAACAACAACCTATAGTTGTTAAAATAAGTAGTGTCCCGCACTTGACAAGTATTTAGGCAACCCTATTAGTGTTTAAAACCCTATAAATTATTTTCTTAATTTGTCTTAGAATAAAAAAATAAAAATTCATAACCTCTAGCTTTTTAATTACTTTGGGTTATGAGTCAAAGAACGAATGAGCTAAGGACCGCCTTGTTGAGGCCGCGTCCTCATCTCAAACCACACTTAGTCGATAGTGCCGAGCTGGTATCTTGTATAAGTAGAGAATCAAAGAACCGTGGCTGTTAAGCCTTTTGCAATAGGTGGTGATAAAATGTTCGTTTGATTGACATAGATTGCCTTGTTTAGCTGATCCAAACTCGACAAAGGTGTTCCATTGAGTAACTTGATAATACTTGGCCCTCGGAAATGCTAGTAGCATTTTGTGGCAGACAAAATGCCCCGAACAGGAATATTATAATAGATAGCGGTCAGTAGAGATATCTTGTGAAAGAAAGTCCTTTGTCGCGCAACCAAATGATAAGCCGTAAGAGCATAGGGATTGTTAACTTGAAACGCAATATCATGTATCTCTTCTCCGTTCCAGCATATGAGCTTAATTAAATCATTGACATAGAAGTTCATATGTAGCTCGACCTGAAGTAAACGAGTAGCGATTTCGTCATCCCACTGTAGGAGAATGTCGCCCGTTTGGACTGCATGGTCCGCCGGTCTCTCAGGAAGAACCACCTTGGTAGAGACTCAATGCTCAGCCTCATGAGACTCGGATCGGGCCAACCACTGCTCTCCAAGTCTAAGTCTCCTGCACTCACAGATGTATGCATCATGCCAGTTTAGGAAGGTCCAGTCGAAGGCAGATCCAACCAACTTCAAACTTATTCAGCCTTAGGCGAAATTGCTGAGGATATGTCGATCAGGCTGTGATTGGGCTTTGCTCGAGGCGCCCAACTCGCCAGCGAACCACGTCTCAGGCAGGCAACTTACGGATTGCGTCATAACTATTGCATAGCACGCTAATAAGGTCGATGCTGGGACTTTGTTAGCCTTCGACACCTCTCAAGTTCCAAACTCTATTGTTCTCGTTGAAATCTATTCAGGCTACGGTATTTCGGACAGCATCGTTGATCTTCAAGTCAAGTTCGACTTTGTTCCAATTAGCGGCCCGGGAATGTCCGATACGATCCATCCCGCCCTCAAATGGTTGCGTCTGGCAAACGATGAACCATCAGACATTGTCTTTGGATGTCTCGCCGCCATTATCAGCAGCACATTCCTGGCGCTACATCTCAATGTCTCGCCTACACGCCCTAGGAGCCAATCCACCTTCTTCCTCCGGCGATGGTGGGATGCCGCCCCAACTCGACAGCTTCGGCGCCAACTAGTCTGGACAGGCATGGTTGTGTTTGCCCCCGAGTTTCTCGTAAGCATGGCATTTGGGACGTGGCGAGCGTCATCTATTGGCGCCGAAGTCTTTCGCTCAGGTCATGGGAACATACAGACCTGGGGTAAGAGGCATGCCTGCTTCGCGAACATGGGTGGAATAGAGTTTAGGCTGCAGAAAGACGGCGACAACATCCCGGAATCTCATGACCGTCAGTTTCTTATTCATTTGGCAAACAGCAGAGAGAGGGAGAATACGACGCTACGGAAGATTGCGGTCGTTTTCGATCCTACGACAGAAGTGCTACGGACATGCCTGGAAAAGGCATACTGGGCCGTCACCATAGCGACCTTCCAGTATTTGACTAAACCTTTCTCGAGAATAATCGGAGACCCCACAAGTGAACCGGCAAGGGCTGAAAGAGAGCCTAGTGGTCCTCTGCGATCCCCAGAAACATCAATTGAGCTCTCAGAAATGGATCCTGGCGCTATCGCTACGTCGTCCCGGCATCCGGAAATAACAACGGCAACCACTATCAACATATATCCTAGAATAGGCGAGTCTCCAGCCGGACCGTCGAATGTTCACAGGGATTCAATAGACCTAGGACTAGTGAACCTCGCTGATGTTGCCAGCTCCGAAAGCAGTCCTGATAATACTGTGTATGCTCAACAGAATGAGGCCATTCTTGCAGATCCAGACGTATTCAGTCAGGACATTGCACCGCAGGACAGAGAGAGCTCCTCTACCTGTCTCTCTAACACCACCGATACAATAACTCTCTACTTGAACGCCATACAAATCGTCGCTGCTCAGAACCTGGGTCTTTTGGGCGAAGGCCCATCAATCAGCGAGGAGGATATAAAAGATAAAGACAAGACAAGTGCCTATGCCAGGGGTCTGGTAGTCTTCCAGCTTGTCTGGTTCGCGATGAGGAATGTTACGCAGCTTTGCCTCGGTCAGTCTCCCGCCCAAATCGAACTCGCAACGTTGACGTACGTCTTGTGCGCTTTGATGGCCTACGCGATGTTTTGGAACCAGCCTCAAGGAGTCGAACGGCCGATACAACACGCTGTTCAAGCGTCTTCGACTAGGGAGATTCGTCCAGTAACCGCTGAGGATATTCACTGGCTGAGCTTCTATGGCGGGTCACCTTTTCTTGAACGCAACTTCGTTCCGCCATTCGGCATGGGCAGCATGGGATTCGACGCCACTAAACTTCCGCCTACTGACTTGTCGCTCACCTGCTTCACTACATTCGGAGACGTCCTGCTGATGGACGACGACTTCGCGGGCATCATTGTGGGAATGATATTCGGGACCCTCTACTGTCTCGGGTGGAACCACTATTTCCCTTCAAAGTTGGAGCTATGGGCATGGCGTGCATCCGCCCTTGTTATTACGGGTTCCCTGGTCCCTTTCGCTCTCGCTAATGCCCTATGCTCAATGTCTGCCCTCCGTTACCAGGCAGATCGAGTGAGGCCATCAACGCACTCTTTACACATTTTATCTCTCTATATGTTACTAGTTTTGTATATTCTTTGCCGGGGATATATGCTCGTGGTTATGGTAAGGGTGCTCTGGCTATAGAGTTGAGTTGTCACGGTTGCTCGTCCTGAACAAATATTGGATTCGCAAACTGTCTTTTCTGTATCTGCTTTTTAGATCTATAATACGAATGACTCGGACCAGAAGCCGTTTTGCTCGAACCTATTAGTACTAGTCTGTTTAGTAAAGATCGGCGAATGCTTGATGTTGTGCTTTTCCTCGACTTCTCGACTGGATATTTCGGACGGGCATGTATTAGACGTTGATGGATAGCCCTGAGGATGATGCTATCCAAGGCATCAATCTGTGAGGCGGATGTAGCTCAGTCAGGAGAGCGTCAGACTGAAGCGGGTTCACCCCCGAGAAACTTCTTTCAATCAAGCTGAAAGAAACACACTTACGTGATATCCACTAAAGAACATGGACTTATATCGCCACTCTTGACGCCTATTATGCTCCTGCTGGAGACTCCAGTGGCTTGAGTGCTAGGGGTAGATGTGTCTCGGTCCTAGAAGGCATAGAGCGGGTTGCAGACTATATACCTTAGAATGGTGATGGACTGCCCTTGTACTACAAACTGTCTCCGTAATACGCAGTGCAATACTCTATTCCAACCCTTCCGTCTAGACACCGGCCTTCATGAACACCCAGATTGGATGGCTTTGAAAATGCTTCCTTGTGGCTTGTGGGTCGCTGGCACTGCGTGAAGGTGAGTCTTGTGGGTAGCCTCTGTAACACTGGAAGACAAAAGGGACTAATATCAAGGTGGGACGAGTTCTTGGAATTAGTGCCATATACTGCGAGCGGCATGAGGGAAGCACCAGTGAGAGTTAAGCTATTGACTCAAACTCGGCAAGATAAGAGTACCACGCACAGCAAAGGGAAAATCTCAAGCCTCGAACCTGTAATCACGCCAAGCACGACATCTTGTTCTTCTTGAATTAATGTCCATTCTAATGTTTCATTTGTGGTGTGTAACTCCTATCCGTTCTGTACTAGAGTCCAACGATGAATGCAAGATCGGGAGCATGACACAACTGTAGGCGTAACCGCTTGAAATGTGACCGATCCGTTCCGCACTGCCTAAAGTGCACAAGTAGAGACCAAAATTGTCTAGGATATGGCGTCTTGTTACGATAAGGAAACGGAGTGGCGAGTCATAGTAAATTAGCGATCGTTACCTCCGACAAAATCAGGCAGATTACCAAAAGAGACACGATCTCAACTCTACAGGCATCTTGGGGTTCTATCGAGTCTACACGGCAGCTACTATCCGCCAGTTCTGAGCCGAAATCTCCTCATTCATTACCTCGTTCATTATTAGACCCGCTTGCAGAAAGTCTAGACTATCGATCGAGGAGATATCTGGCCTATTGTACTTCGCATCCGCCTTCCCAGCTACTCTTTGTACTAACACTGTTTGTTCAAAGTCGCAAGTAGGGCTTACAGGGACCTCGTTCTCTATAATATCCCGAACCAAAACCCGTTCCGCCAGCTAATTGCGGTTACGTATCAGCAGCCGATCTTAATGCAGACCATCGTCGCCAATACAGCTTTGCACATGTCAAACGCTTATCAACGGCTGCCACAATCTTCAATTATGTCAGCCATGATAGCCTCGACTCAGAGCAGCACAAGCTTACTGAGCTCTCTATTGGCTGAGCGATGCGGGCCGGACCTGCCGGAGACTATCCACGACGCACTTATGGCTAAGCAGCAGGCACTTGGTATGCTTCAGTCTGCTCTCGAAGATGTGGCCACGGTAAATGTTGATCTGATCCTCGCGGTGGTGCTCCTCCTCATTTCATGCGAGCTTATAGACTCTGGGCAAGGCAACTGGATGTTTCACATCAATGGTGCCAGAGTGATCATTGGGAAGCTCATTACATCTGCAATGGCAACGGAGACTGCATGGAGTTCACTTTGCCGCAGTTTGATATCAAACTGCTTAGTGTAAGTCACCCTGTATCCTGACCGATGGCTGCTGACTTGATGTACACTAGGTATGATCTCTTTGGGTCATCATTCGCAAGTTCTTACTCACCACGAAGTTGGCTACCAACGGCTACGTTATCACTTCAACAAGATGCAGAAGGCAACCACTGCTCCTCGTTTCCGGCTGCTCTGCTTCCTTTGATACAAGCAGGTTCTCAACTCTTAAGGACTGATGACGGTATCACGTCTTCAGATGATTTTATCAACTCAAAACAGAACAACGCGCTTAATCTCTTGCAAGCTGCAAGGTCGTTCAGCCCAACTGCCTGGGCAATTGACTTACAGTCACGCTCATCAGCCGAAGACATGTTTCAGCGAATTGAAATTGCCTCTGCACACAGGGCAGCTGTCTGTATTTATCTGTCCCGCGTTGTTCTTGCTCTATGGCCCAACGCAATATTTCAGGACAATCTGGGAACTCTAGCAGCGGAAGTGATGGCCCACGTTTTGCATATTCCCCCGGGAGATCCTCTATTCACAGCGACCGCGTGGCCAGCTTTCGTTACTGGCCTAGAAACGTTTGATTATACAAAGCGTGCCTGGGTTGGGAGAAGATTCCAAGATCTCTGGGAAGCTGAGCCTTGGGGGCTTACGAGAGACGCACTTAAAGCCTTAGAAATGATTTGGGATAAGAGGCAGAGTGAAGGTATTAGAGAGAGTAGGAACTGGATCGAGGACCTTAGAAAAATAGGGGTACATTGGCTAATTGTATTATGAAAGGCCTCTTGTTAAGATTTATGATTTACGCTCATGGAAATCTGTCTCATAGTCAGCCATAGACATTTAGCGTCCACGATAGAGATAGTTATAGTGTCTTAGGTCAAATCAGTGCGTTAGAGCCGCTGTTTGGTCATCTCCCTACGGGTGGCCCTATAGCCCTGCAGCCTACGAATTTAGGAGGATACTAAGAATAAAAGTGGCTCATGTCGGATGCCGCTGGATTCATATCATGCTGCGATCGGAAAATAATGGAAATATTGAACAATATAAGTGATCAAATTCTTATTAACAGTCCTTTGTAATTACACGTCCGTCAACAAACTGCGAACACTTTCTAATATACGGAAGCTGGTTCGCCGTGACATGATGTCCATCAATATCGTAGCGGTTGTCAACCAGCTCCTCCATCCTCGCCATCCTCCTCTCGGTTGCTCTCTTATTGCCCAGGGTGAGGCGTTCCAGCATTAGCCGCAGCCACTGCGCGACGTCATGATGGCCAGCCGCAGCGGCGTCGTCGGCGGCGGTGTGGCCGTTGCCGTTCTTCCTGGCCAAGAGAACAATGGCCACCATGTAGTCGGGGACGTACATTGGTTCGGGGTCGTGTTCGAACTCCCCCAAATCTTCGCAAACAGGCGCGTAGGCATCGGACCCAGACTCGTAGGAGGGTTGTTTCCATCCTGGATGCATCCAGAAAATGCGCCAAACTCCGTTCACGACGTCCAAACGGCCAGTGCGAGCCGCAACGTGAAAGACAGTATCCCCAGCCTTGTTTCGGAGGAAAAAGGGGGCTCTGAAGCACGTCAAGAGCCAGGGGTTGGCGCTCCAGTCCCTCCCAAAGCTCTCGATGTGGCTGTCGAGGGCACGAATGTTCCGAGCAGCAGCAGCGACGTGGACAGCAGTGTCACCGGTAGTGGGGTCGGTCACCCAGCGTAGCAGCTGATACAAGTGAGCGTTATGAGGTATGACGGCCTCGTATCGGAAAAAGATCTCCCGGGCGTCTTCCTTGCGAAAGAGGTCGAGAAAGCTCCGCGCGGCCTCGGGACTGAATCCCTCGGGAGGAGGTGAGGTGAGGATCTCCTCATCGTCGGAGTCGTGTTCGGCCGGCTCAGCCATGTTGCCGGTAGTTTAGACTTTGTAAACCGCAGAGATAAGGCAAGGGATAGCGAGGGAGTAACGTGAGCCCGAAATATGGCAAATGAGTGATTCGGCTCTTAATGAGGGCTGAATTAAGGAGAATTGGCTGCTTGACCGTGCCGCAATGCGCCTCTTTAAGTAGAAGTAAGTAACGGAGTCCGCGGTGTATTATTAGTCATAAAGTATATACAAGGACGGTCACGTTGGGGCACTAACGTTCCCGGGGAAAAGGGATCCAACGTACTAGGATAGTCTACTAAGTATACCTTATCTTACTAAGATTAAACTTTAAAATAAGAGACTTGACCTTTTCTTTATATATAGGCCTAAGTATTATTCAGAAGCAATTCAAATAAAATCGGCTATATAAACTATAAAATATAATCCGAGCTTTAAAGTAATATTAATTAGAATTAGGTTAGTACTATAATTAATTAGTACTTCTTATTAACTAAAGACTTAGGGTTAAGGTTATATAAGTAATTATTAAAGTTAAGCTATAAAAAGGGTACTAATAAAGTAATTAAAAATAATAAATAAAAGATTACTTTATACTATTTATTTATTATTAAAAATAAAAGTAATATTAAATTACTATAAATAACTTCGTTAAGATTAATAAAAATATTATATACTTATTTATTAAAAATATAAAATAACTATCTAACCTAATAATAATATTAAGTCGTACTTTTATTACGAGTATTAATTAAAAAAAGTTCTTAAAAATATTAAGGATTATTATAATTACTTAGATCTAACTAATTTAAAAATTAATATTTTACTTAGTAATAGTAGCTTAGCTATTAAATAGCTTAATATTTTATAGGAGTATAGTTACTTTATATATTACTATTTTATTATAATAAGAGATAATATTATATATTACTAATAAGAGGCTAAGTATATAGTAATTAAGTTAAAGTTAATAAAAGTTTAGTTATAAATATAAATACGTAAAAGTATATATAATACTAAATTATTAATAATAATAAAGCTAAAGTAGGACCCGATTTAGGTAATAATAGTAAAAGGATATTATAAAACTAATAATAGCTTAGTATATAGCTAAATTTAATATTAAGGATACTAAGTAGTTAAAAATAAAGGACTTAAAAAATATAAACTAAAACTTATTATAAATAAAAAGCTATAATAAGTTAAGTATTTTAAATTTTATAATCTTCTTAGGATTTATAATACTACTAAATAAATATAAACTAAGAGTATAGTATTAAAATAAGGCTAAAAACGGGATAAAAGGCTATAAGGAGTAATTAATCTTACTTTATCTTAAAGAGAGCTTCGATTATAAAATAGAATAATATAATTAATAACTAAATAGTATACTAACTAAAACGCTTTAATAACTTACTAATATTATAAGCACTAGTATTACACTAGCTAGTCGTAATAAATATATTAACAAAAGTTAAGGCTATAAATACTAAGTAAATAATATTA